GTTGACTCATCATTAATCTACAGTGGTTATTGCAGACGGCCGAAAAGACGATATGTGCGAGGCTCTCTTCTGCAGGATCTGGGCTTGATTTTTCGATCCTTACTCTGGAAGAGCGGTACACGACACAGAGGATTAGATACATTCGCTATAACTCTTCCTTCCAACCCCCCTCTCTCCTTTACTTCTCTCTTATCCTCCTTTTATTCCCATCTCTCTCCCTCTCTCTCTCTCTCTCTTCTCTCCGTCACAGTTTATTACTAGTACTCTTCTAATGTGGTTCTCCAAGAAACAGCATGAGAGGGTCCGCATTTTCGGACCGTCGATGGCGGGGATTTTTTGGGGGGGCTGCTTAGAAGCATTGCACATCCAAACTTTTCGCCCCCGGTTTGTCATTCATTATGTTGGGAACCTATCTTACTGACAGATAGCATCACTCACCCACATTCAACGATTCACTGCATTGTGATCAAGGTTCTCTGGCGCGGTTTCAGTGCCGCAAGCGCGTTTGCGGCGCTAATAATAGTTACTTACCCCGCTCGTTATTATGCGTATCCAGTTTGTGATCTTCTTGACGCCACACCTTGGCGGCTTTGCCAGTCTGCCGCGCTCTAGGTTTTGGCCGGGGCCGCTGGACCCCGTGATGTCTGCAGGAAACTATGAGCCACTGAAAGGCGCGCTCAGATGACCAGGTGGGGGTCGGCGCTGTTGTCGTGGATCGGAGAAGAGGCACGAAACTGATAGTCCTGTTTCATGCTTATGCAAAGTTTCTTCAGGCGCCCGTTTTTTCTCTTTTACAGGACATTTTTCACCACATCCATAGAAATGAGGATATACCGCTTCGACGTTTGTGTGTATTGTACTGTGGCACGGCCTACGCATTGGAAGTACAACAGCGCGTGACCGCTCGCAAATTGTTGTCACGAGTAGTGGCCATTATAATACTTCTGAACTTTCATATGAAAAAAAGATATTCCTTTGATCAATGATTAGCATAATAAACAGCTCCTGGTGAGCAAATTGTCACTGGCCATCAGAAAAGAAAACCACCAGCCACCTCCAAGTCACTCACATATTGCTAACAAGAACAGTAAACACACAGGTTCTGCCTGCAAACACGTAATAAGACTGCCCATCAAACTCCGACAACACTTAATAAGACTGCCCATCAAACTCCGACCACCCAGTCCCAAACAGATATGAAAAACCATCACTACTAATGACGCATCAAAATCACCGAACGACACATACACATTCAAGAGGTGCTTATGTTACTTGTTCAGGCAAAGTGATAACTTGTTCAAAGACAGCCCCACTCGGCAAAGTTAGGAAAGAGGGATGCGGTGGGCTGAGACAAATGACACCGGAGGAGATCAAATACCAACAAGGCGAGGCACAGTACTCGTTAGGGCATTGTTCAAGAGACTTAATCGTCATTAGAATATTAATGAATCCTGAAAACGCTGGAAGTACATGAGTAACAAAAACCTCACTCGCCTGTGCAGCGCTCCCTCAAGTTGCTTGATTGGTTCTCACACAACAAGCCTCTTGTGCACTTCAGTAAGTCGCACCGTCTAAGTATAAGCAAATACGATGACGTCGTAGAGCCAGCTTGCAACAAGCTCTCTCTAAAGTATTAGTTCTATAATCAGCAACTTATCATGGTTCGTGAGCAGCAAGATTGTAAAGACGTGACCATGATGATATTATTCATCCCACCCGTAATTTATCTACGGTACTATGCTTAGGTATACGCGATGGCATGGATTTTTGTGCAACTATTCGCCCACTTTCTGCAGGAGAGGGAGAACGAGGGGAACCAGCAGTGTCTTGTGATACAAGAGGGAGTAATTCTCGTATTAGCCGAGGCTTTTTATGCTGGGAGCAAGAAATTACGGCCAGCAGAGTGCCAATTTCTGGCGGACGGAAGGGTGGAAGCGGGTGGTTGTTAAATCGGAGAGGCATGCAAAGCGGGGAAATTCCGACGAGCTTCTTCAAGGGGGGGCGAAAGGCAGCGGGGGGATTTCGCAGTAGGGGGGGTTCGGGGGACGGGTAGTAGGGATGGTGGGGGTGGAAAAGCGAGAAGGTGGGGGATGGCGGAACGGAGAAGCGGATCGTGAGGAAGGAGAGGGTGTTTTGTTAAATCGGTTCAACAGGAAGATGAGAAGAGGAAGGAGGACGGCGCCGAGAAGAAAAACAGAAAAGGAAGAAAAAGAAAAAACCGGACGTAACACCGTAAACCAAAACGAGAGATGAATTCCAAACACCAGAAGAAGCACAAAAATCCGGCCCCTTCGCTTCACCTGAAAATGATGGTAGCTCCTCCAAGAATCCCCTGCGAGAAGCGACGATTATCTTCCAGAAATCTACCCACCAACCTCGCCTAGATACAACTCCTCCAACAGTGACGAGCCTTCGTGTGGAACACTTTCACGAGCTCATGACGCCGAAAATCCTTCCCCGCAACTACGAGGACCCTTCGCTGCCAGCCTCAACCTCAAAAATGTGCTGCGAGGGCACAATGTGCCCAATCCTTGGAAGTCCAACGACTCTACCAAGATGTTGATCATGTTGCAGAACCTCACCTTGCCGGATGAGGGCTATCACATATGGAAGTCGGTTGGCACCGCGAAAGGATTACTCGCCTCTTGACCCCGAACGTCACCAAAGAAAACGTGATTAATTCTTTTGACCGCTTAACAAATCAGATCTTCGATGGAAAGGAAAAGCTTTCGCTGCATGGTCGCCTATTCACACCCTGAGTCATCGTAGTTCCATGGATTCCAATCTGGATTTCTAACAGTACCATGACGATTAGGGAAATGAGCCATGAGGGTATTATTTGCCGCGACGAAATCGTCGTTACTGGACGGAGGGGGATCCCCAACGGAGACAGGTTTTTCTGGGTGAACATCCGAAGAGCGAAGGCCGCATCCAGATCAGGAAGAAGGGGAGGATGTTCCGTCTTTGGTGAATGCGGGGGGGGGGTGAGCTGCGGGGAGCAAGCTCCACGAGCACCTTTCACACTACACCCAGCAGGGTCAGTCAGAAGACGAAACAGTCCAGCCCGCAGTAATGAGTAATGTAAACGGAGGAGAGACTGTAGACGAAGCGGTAGGATTAGGCTCTTTGAGAGTAGGAATGAGGAAGTATAAACGAAAAAAAACAGGGTCAGTCAGGAATGTATCGTGAGCGAAAATTCCCATTGTCCGCCACTGGTTTGGCTACAGCTTGAATTTAGTGTTTTGTTCTCATCTACAAATTCCCCTTGTAAAGATGACATAATCACAGGTGACATAGTGTGTCATGTTCATACAGGTGACTTGTTTGATGTCACAATTGCATGCGCCTCATAACTTTTCTATTCATTGTTTGCTCCAAGATCACTCAATTTCCCCTCACACAACATTATTAGATTAAAAATTTTCATGTGATTCAGTATATTTTATTTCAGGGTTTTTTGTAAATTACATTCATGTCTTGAACATCCTGCATGCCGGCTTATAACAACAACATAAAAAACCTTTTAGGTATAATTGGGATTCCGGGGAGAAAATCTTTCACTACACAGATACACCATCACCAACAAAACGTGAAATTCTTTAGCGAGAACTATATAATCAGATTCAATGGCCGGAAAAGCACTCTCTGCATAACATCCAGAGCCTCATAATCCATACATGTGCTCGACATTGTAACAGACTGCTAGCAAAGAGAAGTATCTTCATCTTCACATCAAGCTGCATCTATAAAAAATAAAATAAAAACAAAGAGGAGCTATAAGAACCGGAGTCACCATAGCCTTGACATTGTTTGACCTGAGAAATATATAGGGAGAGGGAGGAGAGAGTGAAAAAGAGAACGTTGACTTATCTAGCCCAGGACCGACAGGGGAATACCCAGGGGAAAACCCAGGTATTTACCCATGCGGTGTGTTGCGTATAAAACAAAACGGACGGGGAGTGTGTGCATTATAGCAAGAACGTGGAGCGCAAAATGGAGTCCCGCTTATCATCCATCGATCACAATAGTAAGCTAGCTATAGCGGAGCTATTTAGCTATTTGTTTATCTCTCCTGAACAGTGGCCGTGAGGCTCATGGAACGGTTGATACATTCTCTAAAGACGGTAGCCCTTCCCACCGCTCGTCGTCTGGGTGGCGGACCTACCTTGTAAGTCTACCCCATCGACGCGCATGCGCAGTGGGTTTATTGTCGTTGTTAGGTAGGTTTTGTGGCATGAAGATAATAATATAAAAGGTGATGTTTGGTGTGCCTTGGAGTGCATTATTCACCGGTTACTTTTTGGTGACGATGCGAATTTCAACTCTGTTGCAAGTAATCATGCATGCGACTTGCAATGTATGGGTATGATGGGTGGACACAACATAATGTTGCATGAGATAGCTATTGGACCATACAATGAGGCTTTTTCACCCAACACCGTGCATGTTGGCACATCGATTATGCGCAGCCAGGCCTCGTGCATTTTTACTGAATATTTAGAGACAATTCTGTTTGTGTTCACAGGTGATACCAAGACACCCCTGCTTGCATTGGCTGTAGGAAAACGCCTTAAAGGGCTGGGGGATGCAATTGTATCCACCGTCACTGAAAAAGATGCATTCAAGGAAATAGGTGGGGTCCTTGGTAGGATCCTGGCTACCGTGAGTGCCACTCTCCGAAGATGCGAAACAGGGAGCTGCAACGAGTTTCCTAGCAGAGCAAAGATAGACGAGAAACGTTCTCCAGCGACCTGGGTGTGTCAGAATCTCCGTCTTCGTCCGCGCAGCTCCGTGTGTCTGGGTCAACACTCCGCACACACCAGTTGCTCAGTTCAAAGTGGCCTGGTCGTCGAGGATCCTAATCAACTTGCATTTTTCGCTGGAAACCACTTTGACGACATTTTTGCACCCGAGTGCAGTGGTTCTTGAGCCTTTTGCCACAGGCTCTAATCAACCTGAATCTTCTGATTTTGAGAGCCAAAAGAAAACCCGTTTTGGGCATGTCGGAGCATCCGTTCTCGCCCGCACTTCCCTGTTCGTCAGGGTCAACCCCCCCTGTTCGCGAAGAACAGTATGTCCTGCCATCCCTCGGCCCCCAATTGCAAAATTCTTGTCAATCGGTTATTGCCAAGGCTCCTCATCAGGACGAGCCCCCCGCAGGGGTGCCCCCGTTATTACGGCCGTTTCAGGCCACGTCTGAACTATTAGATCTGCCCCCAGACCTTTCCTGCATCATTCTGTCGGGAGACTTTAGTTTAGAACTGTATGAGGAGGAAGAACAGGCCGTCGACGAGCTAGTCACTGGACTGGAGTCAGAGTCCTCTGCTCCAGATCAGACACAGTTGGCTGACTACCTAGTTCCATTCTTCTCCCTGGCCGAACCTCACAGCAGCTTGATACAGGACATCTAGTTATTATTATGAGTGTTTATTTACCGTTATTATTTCAATTCATGATCTCTGGAATTATCATTTTGTATGCACTGATGTTTGTCGTTTAATGTATATCGCAAGGCAAGCGCAAGCTGAAGACATCAGTTTTGAAGGTGTATTCAGACTTTCAGAGTGCAAATCTTTCATAGCAGATTGTGTGTGCCGCCCACAGCACAAACGTATGCATGCAATAAGAACGTCCTGCAGTAGATACAACATATTATCTATACAAATTTAAAGTAAAACATCCATTCAATTTGAAAGATTTAACTTTCCACAAATGAAAAATACTTATAAACCTTCACACAGAGAAGACGAATACAACATTGAAAATTCTTTTGAACGATTGAAAATTGTGCAAGTGACACACTCAAAAAATGACAATATGTACAAACCACTGAATAAAACGAGGAGGAGCCCCTGTTATTAGGGCAGTAATTAATGATTATGGAGATGACTGCTAAGCAGTTCTATACGAGAGTTTCTTGAAGAAAGCCTCCACTTCCGTTGAGCTTAAGTGAACTAGTACCAAGTAGCATCAATAGCAGAACTAACTTACACTATGACTATATACACGTGTTTACCTCTCTCCCTATCTCTCTTCAGTCCAACAAAAGCTCAACGGAAGTGGAGGCTTTCTTCAAGAAACTCTCGTATAGAACTGCTTAGCAGTCATCTCCATAATCATTAATTACTGCCCTAATAACAGGGGCTCCTCCTCGTTTTATTCAGTGGTTTGTACATATTGTCATTTTTTGAGTGTGTCACTTGCACAATTTTCAATCGTTCAAAAGAATTTTCAATGTTGTATTCGTCTTCTCTGTGTGAAGGTTTATAAGTATTTTTCATTTGTGGAAAGTTAAAATCTTTCAAATTGAATGGATGTTTTACTTTAAATTTGTATAGATAATATGTTGTATCTACTGCAGGACGTTCTTATTGCATGCATACGTTTGTGCTGTGGGCGGCACACATCTGCTGTGAAAGATTGCACTCTGAAAGTCTGAATACACCTTCAAAACTGATGTCTTCAGCTTGCGCTTGCCTTGCGATATACATTAAACGACAAACATCAGTGCATACAAAATGATAATTCCAGAGATCATGAATTGAAATAATAACGGTAAATAAACACTCATAATAATAACTAGATGTCCTGTATCAAGCTGCTGTGAGGTTCGGCCAGGGAGAAGAATGGAACTAGGTAGTCAGCCAACTGTGTCTGATCTGGAGCAGAGGACTCTGACTCCAGTCCAGTAACTAGCTCGTCGACGGCCTGTTCTTCCTCCTCATACAGTTCTAAACTAAAGTCTCCCGACAGAATGATACAGGAAAGGTCTGGGGGCAGGTCTAATAGTTCAGACGTGGCCTGAAACGGCCGTAATAACGGGGGCACCCCTGCGGGGGGCTCGTCCTGATGAGGAGCCATGGCAATAACCGATTGACAAGAATTTTGCAATGGGGGGCCGAGGGATGGCAGGACATACTGTTCTCTGCGAACAGGGAGGGTTGACCCTGACGTACAGGGATGTGCGGGCCTGAACGGGTGCCCCGACATGCCCAAAAACAGGTTTTATTTGGGCTCTCAAAGCCTGCAGAAGATGCAGGTTGATTAGAGGCTGCGGCAAAAGGCTCAAGACCACTGCACTCGGTTGCAAAAATGTCGTCAAAGTGGTTTCCAGCGAAAAATGCAAGTTGATTAGGATCCTCGACGACCAGGCCACTTTGAACTGAGCAACTGGTGTGTGCGGAGTGTTGACCCAGACACACGGAGCTGCGCGGACGAAGACGGAGATTCTGACACACCCAGGTCGCTGGAGAACGTTTCTCGTCTATCTTTGCTCTGCTAGGAAACTCGTTGCAGCTCCCTGTTTCGCATCTTCGGAGAGTGGCACTCACGGTAGCCAGGATCCTACCAAGACCCACGCTTATTTCTTGAATGCATCTTTTTCAGTGACGGTGGATTCAATTGCATCCTCTTTAAGGCGTTTTCCTACAGCCAATGCAAGCAGGGGTGTCTTGGTATCACCTGTGAACACAAACAGAATTGTCTCTAAATATTCAGTAAAAATGCACGAGGCCTGGCTGCGCATAATCGATGTGCCAACATGCACGGTGTTGGGTGAAAAGCCCAAAGCCTCTCATTGTATGGTCCAATAGCTATCTCATGCAACATTATGTTGTGTCCACCCATCATACCCATACATTGCAAGTCGCATGCATGATTACTTGCAACAGAGTTGAAATTCGCATCGTCACCAAAAAGTAACCGGTGAATAATGCACTCCAAGGCACTTCGATTCAAACAGTAACATCACCGTCTATATTTTCATGCCACAAAACCTAACAACGACAATACTAACCCACTGCGCATGCGCGTCGATGGGTCGACTTACGATCGACTGGCGAGAGCAGCCTGGCCATATCAAAGGTTTCCCCCCACTACTGTATGGTCCGCTGAAACAGAGCGCTGGGAGCACGTCTTAGAGCTGCATCAAAGCGTTCCTGAGCTCACGCACTGTTCAGGAGAGATAAACAATTAACTAAATAGCTCCGCTATAGCTAGCTTACTACTATTGTGTCGATCGAAGGATGATGAGCGGGACTTCATTTTGGCTCCACTTTTTGCTATATATAATGCACACACTCCCCGTCCGTTTTGTTTTATACGCAACACACCGCATGGGTAAATACCTGGGTTTTCCCCTGGGTATTCCCCTGTCGGTCCTGGGCTAGATAAGTCAACGTTCTCTTTTTCACTCTCTCTTCTTCCTTTCCTCCCTCTCCCTATTTTCAGGTCAAACAATGTCAAGGCCATGATGACTCTGCTTCTTATAGCTCCTCTTTGTTTTTTCATGCAGCTTGATGTGAAGATGAAGATACTTCTCTTTGCTAGCAGTCTGTTACAATGTCAAGCATACGTAGGGATTACGAGGCTCGGGATGTTATGCAGAGAGTGCTTTTCCGGCCATTGAATCTGATTAGTTCTCGCCAAAGAATTTCACGTTTTGTTGGTGTATCTGTGTATATAGTGAAAGATTTTCTCCCCGGAATCCCAATTATACCTATAATTATAAAAGGTTTTTATGTTGTTGTTATAAGCCGGCATGCGCGCAGGATGTTCAGACATGAATGTAATTGAAAAAACCATGAATAAATATATACTGAATCACATGAAATTTTGAATCTAATAATGATTGGTGTGGAGGGGAAAATGTGAGTGATCAGTGGAGCAACAAAGATAGAAAAGGTGATGAGAGCGCATGCATTGGTGACTCAACAAGTCACCTGTGAATGACATGACACACTAGGTCACCTGTGATATATGTCAATCTTTACAAGGGTGAATTTGTAATGAGAACAAAACAATTCAAGCTGTAGCCAAACCAGCGGACAATCGGAATTGTCGCTCACTCCTACTGACCGGTTTGTTCGTTTTCTTCCTCATTCGAGCTCGAGCCTTCCTCCGCTTCGCTAACAGGCTCTCCGTTTACAATTACTGCTGGCTGGACTGTTTCGTCAGTCTGACTGACCTGCTGGGTGAAGTGTGAAAGAGTGCTCGGAGCTTGCTCCCCGCAGGCACCAGACGGAACATCCCCTTCTTCCTGAGCTGGATGCGGCTCTTCGCTGTTCACACCGTCTCGTTTGGGATCCCTCCGTCCGGAGACGAGTTCGTCGTCGGCACAAATACCCTCATGCTCATTCCCCGAATCGTCATGGTTACTGTTAGAATCCAGATGGTGGGAACTACGAGGCTCAGGGTGGGAAGCGCCATGCAGCGAAAGCTTTTCCATCGAAGCTGATTTGTTAGCGCAAAAGAATTTCACGTTTTCCTTTGGTGACGGTGGTTCAGGGCGAGGTAAGTCCTTTCGCGGTGCCACCACTTCCATTGTGATGCCCTCAGCCGCAGGTGGAGGTTCTGCAACATGAGCAACATCTTGGTAGAGTCGTGGGACTTCCAAAGGTTGCACATTGCCCTCAGCAGCACATTTTTGAGGCTGCAGCGTAGGGTCCTCTAGTTGCGGGGAAGGATTTTCGGCCGGCATGAGCTCGTGAAAGTGTTCCACAGGCTCGTCATCTGGTGGAGAAGTGGGTTCTAGGCGAGGTTGGTGGGTAGTTTCTGGAAGTATATGTAGCATCTCGGCAGGGATTCTTGGAGGAGCTACCACATTTTCAGGTGAAGGAATGGGTGCCGGATTTTGTGCTTCTTCTGGTGTTTGGAATTCATCTCTCGTTTTGGGTTTACGGTGTTTACGTCCGTGTTTTTTCTTTTTTCTGCGCCGAGTCTCTTCCTCTTCCTCATCTTCATTTGAACCTGATTTAACACCCTCTCCTTCCTCACGATCGCTTCCGCCATCCCCACCTTCTCTTCCACCCCCACCTCCACTACTACCTCCCCCGAACCCCCCACTCGAAATCCCCCCGCTCTGTCGCCCCCCTTGAAGAAGCTCGTCGGAATTCCCGCTTTGCATGCCTCCGATTGAACAACCGCTTCCACCACTCCGTCCGCCAGAAATTGGCACTCTTCTGCCGTAATTTCTTGCTCCCAGCAGAAAAAGCCTCGCTAATACGAAGATTAACTCCTCTTGTATCACAACAATGCGTGGTTCCCCTCGTTCTCTCTCCTCCAGAAAGTGGGCGAATAGTTGAACAAAAATCCATGCAATCGCGTAGTACCGGAAGCGATATAACCGGGATAAATTACGGGTGGGATGAATAATTTCCTGGTCACGTCTTACATCTTGCTGCTCACCCATGATAAGTTGCTGATTATAATACTTTAGAGAGAGCTTGTTCAAGCCTGCTACGACGTCAATCGGTTTGATTAGACTTAGACGTGACGACTTAGCTGAATGCACAAGAGGCTTGTTGTGTGAGACAATCAGCAACTTGAGGAGCGCATGCACAGGCGAGTGGAGGTTTTTGTTCTCATGTACTTCCAGCGTTTTCAGGATTTCATGTATATCTAATGACGAGTTAAGTCTCTTGAACAATGCCATAAAGAGTACTGTGCCTCGCCTGTTGGTTTGTGAGTCTCCTCCGGTGTCATTTTGTCTCAGCCCAACCGCATCCTCCTTTCCTAAACTTTGCCGAGTGGGGCTGTCGTTGAAAAGGTTAATATCTTTGCCTGAAGCAAGTAATACATAAGCACTCTTGAATGTGTATGTGTCGGTAGATGTGATGGCGTCATTGTATGGTTTTTCATCTAGTGTGGGAGACTGGGTGGTCGGAGTTTGATAGGCGGTCTTAAGTGAACCTGTGCGTTTACTGTTCTGGGTAGCAGATGTGAGTGACTTGGAGGTGCTGGTGGTTTTCTGATGGCCAGTAGCAATTTGCTCACCAGGAGCTGTTTTGTGCCTAATAATTGATCAAAGGAATAGTCTTGCATATTGAAAGTTCAGAGATATAAGGGCTGTACAATACACAAACACGTCGACAGCGTATATACCTCATGTCTGATGGATGTGGTGAAAGATGTCCTGTAAAAGAGAAAAACGGCGCTGAAACGTTGCATAAAGCATGAAACACTGCAGTTCGCGCTTCGCCGATCCAACGCACAGCGCAGACACCCACCTGGTCATCTGAGCGCGCCTTTCAGTGGCTCATAGTGTCTGCAGACATCACAGGGGTCCAGCGGCCCCGCCAAACACTAGAGCGGCGGCGACTGGCAAAGACGCCAAGTGTGCTCAAAAAAGATCACAAGCTGGATGACGCAATAATAACGAGCGGGGTAAGGAACTATTATTAGCGCCCAAACGCGCTTGCGCACTGGAAAACCGCGCCAGAAAACCTTGATCACAAGTGCAGTATACTTTGAATGGTAGGTGAGTGGATGCTACTGTCAGTAAAGATAGTTCCCACGAAGGAATGACACCCGAAAGTTGGATGTGCAATGCTTCTGCAGCACCCCAAATCCCGCACATCGAAACCGAGATAGCGGAACCTCTCATCTGTTTCTTGGAGAACCACGTTAGAATGAGGACTGTAAAACTGTGACAGGAGAGAAGAGAGAGAGAGAGAGGGAGAGAGAGTGGGAAGAAAAAGAGGAGAGAAGAAGCAGGGAAAGAAAGGAGAGGGAGGGGGTGGGAAGGAAGAGTTAGAGCGAATGTATAACTAATCCTCTGTGTCGCTGTACCGCTCTTCCAGAGTAAGGATCGATAAAATCAGCCCAGAGTCCGGCAGAAGAGAGCCTCGCACATATCTCCTTCGCCGTCTCAATAAACTGTAGATTAATGATGTGTCAACTACGAGGTAGAAAGGGCACGGCAAACAAGTCAACTACACCCGGGGCAAGAAACAAGACAAACAGAGCTACAATGGTTGTGTGTCTGGCTCACGTGTTGCATGACCTGTTCCCTCTCCTCTCCGACAGTTCGAGACCACGACGTCATGTCATTGGCTGTCTTCTCACACAATGTGATCACCAGCAAATCACCTGAAAATAAATAGAAAATAAACTATAAACATCTTCTCTTGAAAAAATATTCAACATTACAGTAGCTTTGCAAGGGCCTTTGGTTGGGGGTTGTACAAGCACACGCCAAGGTTGTACAAATATACATACATCGAGTGGTACATAAGAAACAGGAAATACAAGTATACATCGAGTGGTACACCAAGAAACAGGAAATACAAAGTTTCTACAGGGATATAATTATAGCTGTTACATACGCAGTCATGCATGAAGTGAGAACGCTTAGGAGACCATGTATTCTCATATATACACTCAGCAAAAACCCTATAAAGAAAAAAAACTTGTCCTCTTATTTCCATTCAAGTTGGCTACTACTGTATATACTCTCTGCACCTTTCTTAACAGATACACCAGGGAAGAGGTCCATGAAGCCAGTCTGGAGAGATGGAGGACACTGCTGTACCAGACACTCCACCACTCCTTGCTCTGTCTCACTCACTACACACAGAAGACATTAACATATCACGTACATACCTTACAAGATGCTGAATCTGCCCTGTAGTGGCAATTCGGATAGCTTTTGTGAATTTCATGGTTTAAGGTTTTATCTCTGAAAATTTTGTGGATGAGGAAAAATTGAAGCAAACTTTTAGCACATTTCGTGGATTGCTAATGTGCAAATGGATTACTCGCCACAATTATTTTTGGGGGAAAATGTCTCCTTTGGAAAGATTCTTGACTATTGCTTACCTGATGACAGTACTGGTGGTGAAGATTCGATTGTGGTGGGCGTGGTTTCTTGAGACAGCGGGGATACAGGTGCCATCGCCCCTGGCAACGGTAGAAGGGGATTGGCAGAGACCCCTGTAATTTCAGCCTCTTGTGGGGTGAGGGTGGGGAGGAGGGAGAGTGTGAGGGAGTGAAGGTGGGGAGAGGTGTAGAGGGAGGAGGGGGTAGCAGAAGTGGCACGGAGACGGTGGAGGATGGTCCGGAGACCCGGCAAGTAGGCCACCACCCGCGAATTAGGACCCAGAGCCTGGAATAAACGTCTACTGAACGTCTCTTTCGTTCGTAATGAACGAAAATATCGCGTCTGAAGGGTATTACTTACGCTCATGTCCCTTGGTTTCACTCTGAAACGGCCCTCCAAGTCGCTCCGTCTGCTTTCGCTCTTCACGGCCTCTGAATCGAAATTCATCGGGTCCACAGAGTTCACGCTTACGCAATCCAACACGAACGCGCATGCGCACTATGGACTCCGTACTCAAACCGTAACAAAAATTCTTTGAGTGACATACAGTATGAGAGAAGCAGATGAGGGCTGTCTAACAGTCATGAAATGGGGGATTACAAACACTTGACAGAGAAAATGTACTGTGCAACAAACAAAATTCACGTGGGGACAAGAAAATATCTGTATAATTATAGTGAAAATGTCAGCGTTGCAGCTGGCAGTAGATGTAGAGAAGCCTGGAATCACTCGGGTGCATGCAGGGGACGAGACCCAGCTGCATGCGGCGATCGGCTGTGACAATGTCGCCGACCCTCATGAACCCATTGGCTGACCGCACGGCCCACACCTGAGAGATGCCAGCGGGCGCCTGTGGAGTGGAAAGAAAGACAAAACAGAACATTTCATAACGTACACATCACGACAGGGAGATTGGGAAAAGCAAGTAGAGAAAGAAATACACAATACGCTATGGTCAAGAGTAAGGTCAAATCACACACTCTGTCCTCAGACTTAAAATGTTTCGAGTGACTCACAATCTGAGCGAGGTCTCTGAGGGCAGTCTGGAGCTCCTCCCTCTCCAGACAGTAGAACACGACGGGCAGGGACACGTCCACCTCAACTTTACACACCCTCTTCTCACCGAGGATACGGGCCGCCTCCGCCATGCGACAAGAACTGCCAACACTCCTAAGACACATCTGAAATGACGCAAGTGCACTCTTGAGAGCTGGAGAAGCCTAGGGGGGAGAGAGTTGGTGGTCAGCATTAATTAGAGTAGCTAGTGGGCATTATTTGGAATATACAGTGGGCATTAATTGGAAAATTGGTGAGCATTAATTGGAATAGTGAATACTTACATAATGTGAACGATTTCTTTGAAGACATTGTGTGGCTATCTTGAACTTACCCATGAATCGCCTTTCCCGATGCAAGGAGGCACGAGATTGGTGTAGATTTCGCTGACTGCAATCACATCGAGCATGCGAGGGTCCATTCTACGATCTCTCACACTGTGCCGCCTCCTATAGGAGGAAGTGGTCAGAGAGTAATACAGTAACCACATGGACGGCACACAAAATCATGAATAATAGTAGCCCTTGATAGTATACACAGCTAGTCACGCTGTCTGGGCCATTTTAACATTCATTAGCTAACAAAATTCCCCAATTATTGCATCACATCCCTCGGCAACTACTGGCAAAACAGTGTTATGAACTGCATTGCTTGCCTCTTGTTTTCTGAGTAGGACTGGAAAGTCGACAAGCAGATACGCTCTCAGATCACTCGCGACCCAAACTGCAACAAAATCACAAGCAACACTCTTAGTGCACGAGTAGACAAACCTGTGTACATAATGCAGTCATCCATTGCATAAGCATTTTCCAAAACTTTTACCCATAGTATCCTTTGTACACAAGACTGCGTGCATTCAGAGACTTAGTATTACACACAACACAGATGCCCATAACTAGTTTACTTGGCTTTCACTATACAGCCCAGCCCTTCCTGTGCTGATGTGGTATCGACTTCCTCTCACCCATGAAACTCCCCCACAGAGAGAGAGTGTCTTCGTGCCCTCGCGTGTGGATTGTGGCGATGGTGTTGAGGACTTGCTGGAGGACGAGGAGGCGATCTTTGAGGTCTGTGTTCTTCTTCAGCCACTGCTTTAGCGGTTTGCCTGAAAGGAGAATGGGTTTGAAAGAAGATGTAGAGGATAAGTGGGAGGAGGAGGAAAGAGGGAAGATAGGGTGTGTGTGGGTGTGTGTGTGTGTGTGTGTGTACGTGTGATAGTGGGAAAGGAGAAGCGAGAAAAGGAGGAGGAAGGAAGAGAGGGAGGAAGAGAGTAGAGGCTCTCACAGTGTTTGGGCACGCTGAAAGTGACTGTGAGGGTAGGATAATCGTCAAAGTCAAACTCGCACATCTTTGCATGAACATCGGTCGCGACCTTCAGATCCACCTCCTGCTTGGCACAGCGGTACACGCCGCCGTAGAACGTGTTGATGAAGAACATTGCTCGCACGGCCAGGCCACGTTGGTTGGAGGATCAAGTCTTGGGAGGTACTCAACTCGAAAACACGCTTGTCTCCTTTGATGGAAGTGTCAATGACGAAGGGGCCGAAGGTGCGAGAGGTCGCTGGGGTACATGGGGTACCCGGAGTAGATGGGGGTCGGGGTGACGGAATGGGGGCCAAGCTTGTTGGAGTAAGTGGGGGGAGCGGGGATGGGAGTGGATTGATGCCGATCGAATGCGGTAACGGAGAGGCGGCCATGTTGGAGTGAGCTGAAGGAGTGGGGGACAGAGGAGGGTGTGGAGTAGTCGGAGTAACTCCGGGGTAACGCAGGACGTTGCCGGAGAAGCTCAGAAGGTGACCTCCGAAACTCGGGCGCTTGCTGGTGAGTGGGTTGATGAGATGGATGATGTCAAAAGATTCCTTGATCTCGGACGATTCCTCCGTAGCAGTTAGCCCACTAGCATGTTGAGCTGGCTGCATCACCATCGAATGAGGAGGAGGAACCATTGCCTGCTGGGCCGGGATCTCACTGTTCATTGGTAGCGGAGGTTGGGACGGTAGGACCGGCTGCGAATGCGGAGTCGTTGACTGGGTCTGCACGGGCTCCACCAGCGTCTGGAGAGACTCTGTAAAGTCGAGTTCCCACCCCACGGATTGCGAAATCTCCAACGGTGTTTGCTGAAGAGGTTGGTAGGAAGTGAGTGTGGTCTCTTCGGCTGGCTCGACAGCCATCACGGGCTCGGCAGGCAGATAGTAATCGTTTACTGATTGACACAATGTGTCGATGTCAAATTCCATTTCCTCGGGGATACCCCCAGTCCGCGTCGATTCGAGACTCGCCGACAGCGGCTCCTCGTAGGGCCTGGTGAACTGGGGGAAGAGAGGATCGTTAACCATCACTTCTCCCACATCCAGAATGGCAGACATGGCGTGGCGCAGCTGCTCGTCTTCAGTCATGCCCTGTTCTTCAACACAACCATGTCGTTGTAGTGGGACGGGACGGGATTGAAGGGGAGATGGTTGTTAGGGTCGTCGTCTCCGCCCCCAGCGCCCCCCACACCTCCCCCTCCACTACCGAACCCTCCAATCACGAGGGAGCTCTGGCCGCTCTGTCCACTCTGACTCGCGTTCGATTCAGTCTGGCTTCCTTGACTGGTACCTCCCGAGCCACCGCTTCCTCCTCCTCCTCCGCACTGTTTCCCTCGCTCCGAAACAGCCTCGATGGCTCGCGGATCGATGTAGATTTTCTCGCGTTTCGGGTGACCCAGGAGTCGTGCGAGCACATCCATCACCTTCGAGTCCTGCAAATCCTCCCAGCATTTCCTCCAGTTGCTTCTCCTTCGCCTCGCGGACTCTCTCCTTCGCCTCGCGGACTCTCTCTTTCACCTCGCGGCTGATAGCTTCGTGGTCCGCCACGTTGTTGGGAAAGTTTTCCGTCGACGGAATCGCGAGCGTTTCGTTTCCGAACGCGATGGAACCCATCCCTTCGCGCTGCTCTTGCTCTGCGAGTACCATCGTGTCTTTCCCGCCGTGCAGCGGTAGGTTGTGCTCGCTGAATTCCTGTCCCTCCGAGCGAGGCAGCTTCCCGGCGAGTAGCGGGTACTCCATGTTGTTGACTAGAACCGTATTATCCGAAGCGCGTAGTGGCGGAATACTGTGGGCGGAAGAGAAGCGGGTGATGTAATACCAGTATTTTTCAGGTGTTTGTTTCTCTTACCTGTCTCGCGTAGCTTCGGCCACCACAGGGGCCTGGTGCTGCACAGTAGCAACTTCAGTTTCTGCGTGAAAATGGTCATATTTTCACCAAGGGCTCATGTAGTTTACGTTTACACCCACTTTACACCAATTTACACCTCCGGGCCCAAACGAAGGCTGCCCTCTTTGTAAAATATCGCGATCGTTCAAAAACTGTGTCAAACGGACATGTAAAACACTTGGACAAAATGGCGCTCACACTAGGACGAGTGGTCATGTCTCGATCTCGCGCTACGTGCCGCGTAAAACGCTCCGATTTCGGCACAAAACTCACCCTTCCCCATTTCCCAGCCTGTTTCAGAATAATTCCTTCGAGCCTTTCTTCAGATTGCCGTGAAAAACACGTCTCTTTCGAGAGCAATGGTCCACGGTCGCGCGGTACACTTGTTGACAGTTTTTCCTTACGTCTGGTCACGAGACCGCTATAATCCAGCAATCTTATTGGTCGAAATGACCCAAATGGATATGATGTCATGGATTTGTTATCAAAATTAGAATCTATGTTCGGATATCACGTGCACGATCCTGACGTCACAAAGGGGTTGCGTAACTACCAAAATTACAGGGTTTTCCTCATCGCGACGAAGACAGCCGCCTTTGATATGGAACAGAAGCGGTGCATATTGGGAAGTGTGCAGGCAGATCTCGTGTGTTCGCTGCTGTTGGCAGAGCGACAGTCCAAGAATTCTCAGAAGTACAGCATCGCATAAGGATTCCGTTGCGGAGGATTGGCAAGTAACGCCGTCTGCAAGCTGCCGAGCCGATCTCATCGACCGCACACCAGTCGAGTATCCGTCCCGCGAGAATTACACTGCGTTTACGAACCACTGGCAGCAGAAGGAAGCGGTTTTTCAGTAGCTACTAGCTGTGGTACTGCGAAGGAGCGCAGCCGTTCTGTTTGTCAGTGTAGCCGGCGCGCTAGCTCGTACCCAGAGAGGGAGCAAGAGGATCTTTTTACCTGTGACATCGCCGCCACTCGGGTGGTCCAGAAACAACGAACGAGGAGAGAGAGAAACGAGTGAAGACAAGTCATGCCGATATCGGACGTGGAGAAGATAGTGCGGCACGAGCCGCTCGAGACCTGCTACGAAATCGGCAAAGAACTGGGAAGGTGAGGGATAGGCAGACGCACACACACGCATGCTTACACAGTGTTAGCAGTGCTCAGCCTTTGTTTAGATAACACAACGACCGTGTGATACTTTCCAAGTAAATGCACGTATGTAGCTCAACCCAGTGCTCTGTAAACGTGTGTGTGTTTTAGGGGGAAGTTTGCCATTGTGAAGCGATGCACTGAAAAGAAGACGGGTGCACAGTATGCTGCCAAGATCTTGAAGAAGCGACGTCGGGGAAAGTCTGTCCGCGAGGACATCCTCGTGGAAATTGACATAATGAGGCAGGGAATGGACCATCACCAGATCATCAAACTCTACGAGGTTTTCGAGAGTCAGAACGAGTTTTATATCATCATCGAACTGTGAGTCAAGTAGCTCGATTACGATGCTAAAGTGAGGGAGAAACGAGGGAGAAGTGCGTGTGTAAGAGAAAGATGATCGAATGGGGGAGGGGAATAGGATAGCTCTTTCTGAAAGTGATCGAGGGAAGGAGAGAGCGTGTGTATGTACATATAAAGATGATAGAAGGGGAGTTTAAAAGAGGGAGAAACAGAAGATTTGTAGATGCAAAAATTTAGCCATGGATTTGTTGTTGTGTGTAGGTTGTAGGTATTCGTAACGTTTCTGTGATACAAGGTGGTGGTGATATGGATGGATGGGTCTGTGCCATGAGTGTGTCTGTGTGTGTGTGCTGGTTTTCCCTGCCGTGGTGTATACCAAGGCAAGGCCGAATGTGGCATATCATACAGTCTATGTGAGCCACCAGTACCTTGGCAGTCGCGAGGCCGCACAGATTCCTGTGGTATAGCCTGGCAGTCTTATACCACAATGTGTGCATATCTCCATCTCGCCTCCGCTGGTGCACTTTGCAAGCTAGCAGTTGGGTAATCTGTCGCCGAAACTCAATACCGTAAAGTAGAGATTCTCTGAATTTGTCTTTCGTCCATTCGCCGATTTGTCGAAACGATTAATCAGGATTGCGTCGTTGCTGAATCAAAAGTCTCGATTTACTTTTACGTAAGTATACGCATGTGTTTGCGTGGGACAGCAACACAAAGAAATACGACTTGTAAGGCCAGTCTATTGTCCTTCGACCCACGAGTGTGGTAATTTCGTAAAAGACTCGCCAGCTGTCCCGCTGTATTCGCTCCCTGGACGGCAACTCAACGTCTCTGCCAGTGATAAACACTCGCCCCTTTCACATCTTCGTCACACGCACACCCAAATCCAGGCCCGTGCTTTGCTGAGCCCGCATTTGCACGGCCAGTTTTAACCCTCTGTGAACCTACATGTATGGCAAAAAGGGGTTAAACATTTCGAGTACACGATAATCCTATAAAGATAAGAGCATACTTTAATTGGGTTAAAAGGACACATTAAGAGTGTCTCTATTCCTAATACTGTAAAGGTATATACTATAGGGGGGCACATGTTGTGTAGGATGAGGTTTCAGTGTGTCCACTGTTTAAACCACACGCCATGCGGCACTGAATCAACCAATTAGGCTCCTCTTTCCTGTATTACATATTATATTATACCCCAGAGCCAGTACTGCATATATATACATACTACTTCAATAGCCCACAGACACACACACACACACACTTACCAAACCCATTTCTTTTAGTTTTCGAGAGCCAGAAACGAGTTTTAATCATCATCGAACTGCGAGTCAAACTTATATCTTGCAAGGAATACAGTGGCACTGGTCACGTGTATACCGTCGCAATGATTAACTGAAATCTTGGATCGTATGTCATACAGTCTCTAGGTATATACCATTGCTGACACTAAAGCCGTCACTATCCCATGTTGCTTTCATCTACACCTATTGCATTCTGTTACGTAGCTTTATAAATACAAATAGTGGGCTATATATACCTTTACCGAGGACGCCTTTGCTTTCTAACCAGCTATACTTTCTAATTAGTAGGTCTATATATGTAATTGCCTATGCTGAATCTGCGATTATGTATGTCACATTGCTTATGGCATTCTGCTGCCACCCCACAAATATTTCTGGCTAGTCTAGTCTTTGATGGGCTGGTTTGCTATTGCTCTAGCCTTGCACAAGGCCTGTTATAAGCATGGGTATAGCATGAGGTCCTCACATTGCTATGTACCCCATTTGCTCTGCCTGGCGTACAGCATGGGTAATAATGTACACGTGCTTGCTTGTGTATCTAATGCATTAGAGAAATCGGGTCGTGTGATAGTATTACTGGCTGCTGTGGTTTTTGTGTGCAATTAGTACATGTGTGTGCGTGCATCGTTCCAGCCAGGCATATGTGTGCGGAGTATAAACATCTATATATACATTTATTGGATGCTTGGTTAGTTACATAATCTCGAGGTAATAATAATTATAGTCTCTACTTCAGTGGGTATAATGGTGGTGGAGTGACACAGTTTATCGCTGTGTGCTGTAATGACCAGTAAACGCTATGTGTGCTCACGGGTTGTAGCAAAGTGTAGTCCATTAGCTCTCGATCATTGACCCAACACTCTACTCCAGTTTGTTCAACACTCCTAATTCACACAAATACTTCAAGCCATGCACGCCTCATACCTTTACCCAACCACTCCGTTGCTTGCAAGTCAGTCTTCAAAGGACAGGCTTTCTATATGTCGTGGGCACTTGGCCTTCTCGCGTACATATGTATGTGCGTAGGTAGGAAGTGTGGGAGGGAGGGAGAGGAAAGGTAATAGCTAGAGCGGCTTGCTGCGCTTTGATCACGAAACGGCCGAAAGCACTCTGCCCGAGGGAGCCCCTGGAATCTGGAGTCAAACGAATGTTTCAACACAAAAATTACGCGAGCATTTCTGGGGTAATGGGGTTGCATGTAAAGGACGTACATATTTCTGTGGACGTTGAAATTTCATTTTTGTGTCTCCCACCCATTTTCCTTCCTCTTGCTCCCTACCTATTTCTCTCCCCCCTCTCTCCTCCCCTCTCTTCCTCCTCTCTCCATCCTCTCTCCCCTCCTCCTTCCCTCCCCTCTCTCCACATCTCTCCCCTCTCTCCACATCTCTCCCCTCTCTCCCATCACTCACAGGGCATTGGGTGGAGAACTATTTCGTGTCATAGCAGTCGACCCGCTCCCCGAGCTAAAGGCCAGAGACGTGGTCTTCCAGATTCTGGAGGGAGTCCGTCACCTGCACTCTCTCAACATTGTGCACATGGACCTCAAGGTGTGATTGTAATTTCACCCTACATCAATACATACAGCAATTGATACATTACACATTCACCAGCCCCAAATGCACGGTACTAGATTATATGGACAAAGCTTTTAGCGTAGTATTCAAAAGTAGTGTACTGTTGGTAACAGGGAGTGAAACGTGGATAAAGAGGAGGGAAAAGTAACGGTGGCGAAGATGTGTTAGATATACTCTGCCCTCCTTTGGGTCATGAGGTCTGTATATCATGTATCCAATAGACTATTGCTCTGTGCGTCCATATATGCACCACTGCTTCCCCCAATCCTGCAGTCGCTGGTATTAGGCAATGTTGGCAGATGATGTCGTGCAGCCAAATGTATTGTCGTCCCTCCTCTCTCTCTCTCTCTGTCTCTCTCTCGCGTGTGCCACATTTCTAACTATACATTCAGACATTCCTCTCAGGCTGTAATTGTCATTACCATTCCTTCACCGCCAGCAATCCCATTTACCCGCTTTTGAAATGTCCGGAATTTCATAATTAGCTTGATCGTAATCATGTCGTCTACCTAAAGAAGAATGCGGAAAATGTGTGTCTCAGTAAGACCATTCACGCATGTATGTCCAGACGGAGTAGTGGGTATATACAGAGAATAAATCGTGAATTGCATTTCGACAACATGTTTACTCCACCGCTAACAAACACAGGCCGTTTCCTCACAAAACTGTTGCGTATACTATGAATAATCCAAGAGTTTTTATATTAGGAAATCTATAGTAGGGGAATAAAACGATCAACAAGAGTGTATGGTCTACAACTTTTAACTGAGAAATTATAATGTGGAAATGCAGCAACGTATGGTGCAGGGGAGAGAGGTGGAGGGGTTAACGTACAGTCTTATTATTTTGCACAACTCTTTGCTTCTTTGCTACATTTTAATCCATTCTCCGTACGTTTTAAAAAACTGGCTGTGACTGTAGATAAAGCATTTGTTATGACAATCAATCATCATTAAAAAAAATCGGTGACGTGAAAGTATCTGCTCTACCCCATAGCTCCGTAACATAAATAAATCGCTCAGTGAGTGCTCAATACGTGTGGTTGCTGATCGAATACTGACTAACAGAGTTAGTCCGACCACTACCAAGTGACTCATTAGCCGGCCAATACTTACAATGAGTCGCAGCATGTAAACTTGAACAAATGTGGCAGCGGCGAGTGGCCGTTGGCAAGGCAGTGCCCTGCGAGACTGCCAAGGGTTTGGAAGCGACACAGCTGGGTTTTGACGAGGGCTCCAGATACGGCGGAGCAAACATGGTAGCACGCATATGTCGTTCGGTGATGACACGGCGTCATTTGATTACGGAAGGTGACGGGGGGAGGGGAGGGAGGGAGGAGGAGGGGGCGGGGTGTGATTAGGTGGCCATTTTTGAGGGCCTTCGTTTGTTTAGGTTGGGCCAGGAGCCGTTCATAAGCTGGGGAGAGTTCCTGATCAAACTGTTGGAATATAAAATATAAATCTACAGTAGTTATAGTACCTGCTCGTGCAAGTCTGTTAGTACTGCGTGCTTGATGCTGAAATCACTAACAATTGACTGGATGTGTGGAAAAGTTTTGTTGACGTAAAATCAGCTCATTTTGTTGGGTCATGTTGATGTCGGTGCACGCACGTGTGGCCTGCACTCGTAATTCAAAATGTGCCCTCCTGCCAAGGTATTCGGCACATTTGCTTGGGAAATACTTCAGTTTCAGGTAGCCCTTCTTTAGTCTGTGTTGGCGCTACATTCACAGCTTATAAACACACACATTCAGAAACATGCTTTCATCTGGACGCTATAGACACCCTTGCGCCCAGTTTCAACTGTCTTTTGTGTCTCGGACATTCGAGGAATTCCAAAGGACCATCTGTTTTCCGGCTCCACTTGAGGAGCCAGGAGGAGTTTTACCACCAACTGCAGTGGACACGTGTTTCGCTGCCTGTGTGTAGTCATGCGTACATTGAGAAATGCGTACTGAGATGAAGTCCGGTGCTGAATATAATGGTATGGTTGGTGGATTTCACGTTATGACATGTATACGTACGCTATTTCAACTGCGTGACGTTGCAAATTCGGAAAATTGTCAAGAATCTTAGAAATTTGTCGGGTAGCATACATCTGGGTCACTTGTCCCTCCCCCCTTTCCTCCCTTTCCTCCCTTTCTTCTCTTTGTGATGAATGAGCCTGCTCAAAATAAGGGTTGACATACGGAATCGTAGCTACATACGTATGGTGGATACATTAAGGTGGAGGGCTCTGCCAAGTGCCTTTTTTGCCAGCCAGTAGAGACTGTTTGGCAAGATGTGTGTCTAGTGTTGGATGGCATGTCGGTCTGTTTTCACTGGGACTTAATACATATGGAGAGAGAGGGAGAGAGGAGGAGGAGAAGGAGGGAGAGAGGAACGGGAGGAGGGAGAGAAAAGGAGGGAGGGGAAGAGGGTGACAACGAACCCCTCATCATCATTGTCATCAACTTTTTCCGCAGCCTGAAAACCTGCTCCTCTACCGGAAAGCGTCCCTGGAGATAAAGATAGTCGACTTTGGTCTTGCCGTCCAGCTACAGGAAGGTCAGGAGGTGAAGAGTCTGGTCGGCACCGCCGAATATGTCTGTGAGTTACGCAACCTCTTGTTAGTCATGTAGCACTGATGTTTTCCCTACAAACTGCCTACAGGGCTTACATGGGTTTCGAATTTTGAACGACATGATGCACATGATAATTGACCAAACCCCCGTTTGATATCTCGTTATCTTGTACGATCGGTGTATCGGGTTACAAGTTGAGTGTGTTTGCTTGTAATTGTGGCTCACAGGTACATACGAGCGTGTAGTGTGTGGTTGTGTGTGTAATTGCAAAATATTTTCCACCGGTAGTATATAGAACGCTTTTTAATCAGGACACTGTCCTACATACGTACCAATCCAACTTGTTGGGGGATTTCCCTGTGATGTAGCGTTCTTGTGTTGACTTGGTTGCTCTAAACACAGCTGACAAAGAGGGCGGTTAGTAGATTTCAAACACAGATGTCTGTTGGTAATAGTATAGAGCTTCCACATATTTCTTAACATACCTGGAGATATCAATGGCTGGAGCAGGTGTACAATACATGGCCATCAGAATGTATGAAATGGTCTTTACATAGTGGGCCCCCATACATTATAATGGGGATGAATGCGGTCCAATACTGTAGCTGCCATTCAGAGAGTTACACCACACATACTATAGATACGTATGCATGTATTGTTAGTGTGGCCCATAGAAGCAATGTGTAGAGATAGTAGGATATTTTCAAGGAATAAAAAATTTTTTTTCACTCAAGGAAGTTTTTTTCCGCACCGTTTGTTGGCAGAGACAGTAAAAGCAGTAGAAGAAATATTTTCTCCTTCGTCAAGTTGTATTAATTGATGACATAGTACCGAAATGTCAACGCATATGAAATAGAAAGTAGTCTTCTCTGTGTGTATGGGGTGTGTGTGTGTGTATGTTTGGTGATTGGCTGGTGTTTGGCATTAGGTGATGGGAGCCGCCCAAGTAGCTGGCTTTGTCGGCGACCAATTAGTGGGTGTGAATCAGCGTGACTCTTTTGATCTTGTGTTCTGTCTGTTATATTATGTGTTTGTGTGTGTGTCGTGGGCTACAGGTTATAATATACAGGCAATCCTTGAAACTTGCCAAGTCTCCTGGTTTTTTTCCCAAAAGTTTTGAATCGGCTTACTTTGTGGTCGTGGCTGAAGGCTAGCTCGTCCTTTACGGGGAGGTGGGAGAGAGTGAAGCCCATAGCGTGATGCGTGAAGCTGTGTGTGAATGGAATGCGGAGAGAAAACACTGCGGCCAGTGCTGACAGGGCAACTACTGCTGACTCGAGGTTTTAAGGCGAGTGGAGATGTCCGAATCTGGCTTGTCGTTCTTTGTTAGGCTATATTATACTGAGCTAGAAGGCGTGCGTGTCAGTGTGTGGCTTTTGAAATAATGAGAAAAAGAATCGATGAAGAGAGAAGAGAGAGAAAAATGAGACCCTGGGTGTGGGGGATGCTATGTTTGCCAAGAGCATGAGACATTAATGTCACCATTGGCAGTCTCAAATGTACGTCTCTCTCAATAGCAAATTGGGTTAGTGGTCTGAGTGTTTGTGTTACTGAGAGGCTATATATTGGATGAGGTGTGGGGGGTACTGTCCGTTTGAGCTCTATAGTGTAGTCTCAAGGGTAACATCAGTGAGGGGTTCCATTTTAGCTGTGGATCAATCATCCTTGTGGATCATCCTCTGTGGATCATCTCTGTGGATCATCCTCTGCTTATCGTGTTTCTTGACTCCCACTTTTGCTTCCGCTTCTCTTACTCTTGTTCCATCTCTCTCTCTTCCCCCTCTCCTTCTTCTCTCCCTCTGTTACTCCTCTCCTTCCCTCTCTCCCATCTCTCCCCTCTCTCCCTTCTCCTCCTCTCCCTCCTCCCTCCCCTCCCACCCTCCCCCCTGCCTACTACGCCATAAATCGACCCCAATCAACCCTACATGGCACGAATCCTACACACCACAGAACCACAGCCTCTCAATACTTGGCAAAGCCTCTCATACCCTCGCATTCCTCAAATTCCTCACTCGCATCTCTCTCCAAGACATTAGCCCCCAAACTGCTACTCCTTACACTGCGGTGCCAGTGTATGCACGCACGCTAACATAGATTGCATAATGTGTACGTACGTACTACTGCCTAGCTGACCGCAGGATGGCCAAATTTGGTGCTCGCTTCAATCCTCGAGACGCACATGGGGAGAGTTGTAACTTTGTAATTTTGCCACCTCTGCACCATACGTATGTGGGAGTATATGTGTGGTTTGTTCTGCGTTGTACCATCAGTGATAGAGTTACTGATACTTATATGGCCCTGTAGCGAGGGGAGTATTACATGACATATGAACCTGCATGTCCACTGAGAGAGTCCCTATAGCCTTGCTGAGAGAGTCCCTATAGCCTTGGAGAGAGTCCCTATAGCCTTGCTGAGAGTCCCTATAGCCTTGCCCGCACATGTAAGTCTATAAAAGCACGACGTCGTGTTGTACATATCGCCACACATTGCATATATGCATGGTCTAATTTCCTATAACCTTTGCTGCTGGGGGGTATATATAGTATATTGTTAGGAGCCTAAATTCCATGTAATCCCCTCCATCTATTCATACTGACTTCCTGTAAGACAGAAGAATCCTATATGCCTCACACGTGTTCCAGCCAAGGACACATAAAGCAGATCCTCATGGCATCCAAAGGGTTAATTAACAAAGAGAAATTTGTAGGTTGCAGCATAACTATGTACAGACTTCATTATCCTTGTGACATCACTAGTCACTAGTCTGCTAGGCTCCAAGATGTGTATATATTAGAGACTTTTTGTGTGCAGTAATAATTTGAGTCCCTCCTCCCCTCTCTTTCTCTCCCCTCAGCTCCCGAGATTCTGAGTTTCGAGGCACTGAGCACCTTCAGCGACATGTGGTAGGTGTATGAGTCATGTTATGCAATGTACCGCCATCAATTTCGTGTTCTGGTTATGTAGCTAAAGAAGGGTTAACAAACTATTGTGCCAACACGCATGTACACATAATACACAACCCTACAATTGAACGTGTCACGTATACCGCCAATGTGTTTGCCAAATCGACACGTTTATAACCGTTTAACCCCGAGCTTTCTGAATCGGGTGATCGTCCGTGTACAAACTGATTAGTCGTGATCCCGTTGTCCCTCGCACGATCCTCTGTGGCAACAGCATTCCTGTCCCGCTAATGACTTCAGAGTGCGCCAACTTCGGGGGAAAGGAATTCCTAGTGTTTACAAACTCTATTGAAACGATGACAAAAGAAATTCTGTGTCCGATCGAGTCTTCGGTGACCAATTAGCAGTAGGGAGAGGCTGTCGGTTTTATTTCTACCAACGTTCTATGAAATTGGAATTCTTTACCGTTGAATATTTTGCTTTGGCTCTGCCTTGTGCGGCCTTGTTGCTGTTTATGTGTTTAGTTGTTTAGTTGTTTAGCTTTCCGCTTTTCAGTCTTGTTGTTGTTTATGTGCACGTTGTTTAGTTGTTTGCAGTGTTGTTGCTGTTTACACGTGTGTGTTTAGATATAGGTGCCGGTTTCAGTGTTACAAATTGCAGCGTGTCTCCAATAGACTAGTAGTCGTCACACCGTAACATAGACACTGCTCCATTTCACTGTCTGCTGCACTTGAATAGGACACTACTGGCTGCGTTTGTCCTCGTTGTAAATAGAGCCATTAGTGACCAGATATTACATCATAATTATAGAGCTGTATGGTGTATGTTGGATATCCCTAGGCAACCGACATGTATGAAGCTAGGTAGTATCAGCAAGAAGGGTTCATACATGTCGTTTGCCTAGGGATATCCAACAAATCTGTTGCAGTGCCCAGACAGGACAGCATTCACCCTTACAGGGCTCATGCTGTCCTGTCTGGGTACTGCAACATATAAATACGTATACTGAATGTAGACCCTGTATACTGCCTGGTATTATATCTGCATACTCACATAGACTCTGTATCATGTGTGTATAAGTAACCCATGGTCGGCTACAAGTATTGCCCGGTGAACCATATAGTATATATACACTTAAACTTCCGGGTAATATATACAAAACTGGGTATCATAAAAGTGATATCTAGTGGCACCGTTGTGTCTGCCACTTCGGCTGAGCTATAATATAGTAATTACAACTACGTGGTTATGCCAGTGTATCAATTGTCTGCTCTCTATATCATATGTGACCCTCTGGACGTAGGATTTGGGATTGTGGCTGACTGTCAGCCAGTTTGCCCTTGTTAGGAGGTTTTGGGTGAACATCTTTCGTAGCGTAGTAACTCCACGTTCCATGATTATGTGTAGTCTGCATGACCACTGGCAAATGGTGTGTGTGGTTTATGGTCCCCTTATCGCTCTTCTTTGCCTTCTTCTCCCCCCCTCTCTTCACAATTACAGGAGCATTGGAGCGTTGACCTACGCACTGTGAGTTACGTAACAGACCAAATCTACATACTACTAAATACAACTTCATAACTAAGTTTACCAGCTGCTAGATTTCCCCGTATTATAAGCTATCATGAAAATAACACAGTTATCCCGTAGTTCCCTTAACGACCTTAGAATTACGATGACTGGTGATTGTTTGACCGGAAGCCTCTGCAATAACTAGCCTTGACTAACTTGGTGACCTCTCCCTCTCTCTCTCTCTCTCTCAGTCTTGCAGGCTACTCGCCGTTCCAGGGCGAGACCCATCAGGAAACGTTCCTCAACGTCTCCACCTGCGACTACGACTTTGAAGACGAAGTTTTCGACGTCGTTTCGAGAGACGCCAAAGATTTCATCGAAAAGCTGCTCGTCAGACGACCTAAGTAAGTGCTGACCGATACAAACTTGTACATCTCTGCATTTAACAAAAGCCTTTTGCAGGCAGTATGGATATGTTCAAATCTTGTCGAATGTCCTTTGCAATTTTTGTCAAATTGCCCCCTTTTTTTAAATGAAATGCTCTCGTGGAGTGCATTTTGAACAACACCAGTTGTTACTTATAAATTGTGTGGGGGATGTGCCTAGGTGCATGCACAAATTAAGGTACACACATACATGTATGGAGATGCAAGTAGGCGGTTGAAGTTGTGGAGAAGTAGCTGGAAGGCAACCCGTGATCTGTGATTGTTGTATGTAGGTGTCATGTAGTAAGACGGGTGGGGCAAAGGACCTCTTTAGGTCACAGCTGTAACTTTTGTGAGTATCAGAACAGCTTTCTTTAGTAATTAGTAATGTATTAGCTAATCCTTATATGTAGCTAAAGGTAATTTGTGGGTGTGTAAAAGTCTGGAGCATTCGGAAACGAAGAGTGAGAGATACACAGATTTCATTTTTCACTTTCTGTTTTCCTCTTCCTCTTCTTCACTCCCATCCTCTTCTCGTTTCTCTCTCTCTCCCTCCTTCAGCAAGCGTCTAACAGCCGAGCATTGTCTCCAGCATCCCTGGATCAAGGCCCACGTGGCATCGACGGCCAACAACACCAGCAGTCTAGACGGCTCCATGAGCTCCCTCGACTCCGCCCTATGTATGGACTCCGCCTCCTCCATGGAGCCGTCTCCCGTTAGCTCCGCCTCTTCCTCGTTCAGCCCCGCCCCCTCGGCAACGAGTCGCAGCGGGGGAAGTGGTAGCATCACCTCGACGACCACAACCACCACGGCCACCACAACTTCAGCTGCGGTGTCCGGGAAAGTTAGCAGCAGCAACGAGTTCTCGCGACCGGAAGACATGAGAAAAGTGAACGAGAAACTGGGGCAGATGTCGAAACTGGCCACGGAGCAGATAATTGCCGAGACAACAGAGAAGCCACGCCCAGAGGGAAGCCCCACGAGCACGGCGAGCAGCACGAGCACGCTTCGGGGGGAGGACGTGGGCGAACCGGGCGTCTTGTCGGCCACACAGGAATCAGTGGTGCCCTCGTCAACTCCAGAAGTCACCACCACGGACGGCAGCAGCTCTAAAACATGTCTGTCGTCAACAACAGCCCCAAAACTCAACCCGAGTGCTTCCAGCGAGAACAAAGAAAGAAGGACGGTCTCTTTTGAGCGTACGCAGAGAGAGAAAGAGAAAATGCCAGAGGTTCCGTCCTTCAAGAGCAGAACCATTAGCCGGGAGCAAGCTGCGTCAGAGAAACGAACTACGTCGTTTGAGCGAAATCCATCAGAGAAGCGAACTACTACCTCATTCGAGCGAAATGCATCAGAGAAGCGAACTACGTCGTTTGAGCGAAATGCATCAGAGAAGCGAACTACCTCGTTCGAGCGAAATGCATCAGAGAAGCGAACTACGTCGTTTGAGCGAAATGCATCAGAGAAGCGAACTACGTCGTTTGAGCGAAATGCACCAGAGAAGCGAACTACCTCGTTCGAGCGAACCGTGGGTGAGAGGGAGACCACACCGCGATCGGTCGCTCCGTCGTTCAAGAGCGCAACTCTCGGTCGAGAGAAAAGCGGCAGTGATGAGCGACGCACCGCGTCCTTCGAGCGGAGAGAGAAATCATCCCTCCTTGAGGCACCGGCGTCTTCGATGGCAGCCAAATCAAAGAGCGCTACTCTCGGTCGCGATCGCAGCCCCTCGCGTAGAGACGGCGAGGGTGAGCAGCAAAGGACAATCTCGTTCGAGCGCAGAGAGCGTTCCCGCTCGCCCTTTCCCGACCAAGACGTGACTTCCCTCGACCCAAAAACAATTGAGAGCATCGAGCGGTTCAACCGCCTCAAGGAACGATCCAAGGCACGGGAGTCTGAATCCTACATCCAGCCTCTTACATCGCGTGACATGTCAAAATCACCCGAACCGCGACGTCGAAGCGACGGAGAAAATCTCACAGCTTCCCAGCGTCGCCTCAGTTCCAAGCCGCTCGAGGCCAGGCTACCGACCTCAATCAACGAATCTCCGAGGTCTAGTTCCTCTCCCGAGAATGTGAACACGCAGAAGTCGTCTTCTCCCGACCAAGCGACTGCTGCTACTCTCGCTGCTAACAGCACGTCCAGAAACAGCCCGCGGTTGAGCCCCGATTCGAGGAGAAAAGATGAAAAAGTCGAGCGCGAAGATCGCTCTTCCTCTCCCGCCCAACTCCCGACACAAAAGACGGAGGTCGAGACACAGCAGTGTGAGATAGCTGATTCCACGCCTTCCGCAAAAGAAAACGAAGTAGAGAAGGAGAGGTTAGAGGAGCCAGTAGAGAAGGGAAAAGTAGAGGAGGCTCAGCAGAGCGAAGAAAAGGAAGAAGAAAAGTTTGAGAGGGCCAGAAAGGAGAGGGAGAAGGCGAGGGAGGAGAGACGGAAGGCCCGAAAAGAGGAGGACAGGAGGAAGGAAGAGGAGCAGAAGAGGAAGCGAGAGGAAGCGGAGAAGAAGATGGAGGAGGAGAGGAAACGCATGGAGCAGGATAGAGAGAAGGCGAGAGAAGTCCGCCGAAGAGAGAGAGAGCGGAAAATCACACAGAGGAACAATAGCTCGGGAAGCAGCGAATCTCTCACCAAGTCGTTGGACAGAAGTCGGTGGGCGTGGTCAGTGGAGGCCAGAACACCCGATTCGACTGCCCAATTCAACGGCGTTAAACCACACCCTCAAGGGTCAGAGTCCAGTGGCAACGAGACTAAGGAACAGACGCCCGAAACGGAGAAGAAAGACGAAGTAGCTGCAGTCAGGAAGACGCCGCCACAGACAAGCACCAGCCCCCAGCCTCCTAGGAAAGAAGAGAGAAAGACTTCCTCCAGTGAGTTCTTTCAATTCGGGATCGACTATTCGAGAAAACAACGTCGTGACAGTTCTGATAACTCTAACTCGACCGAAGCTTCCAAAACTCCTTCGCCTCCTCTGCGAGCGAAATCTCCCGCAAAGGTCGAAGTAATGTTGACGACTAAAACCCCGGGGGTCCAAAACCCCCCTCGATCAGAGTCCCCCGTCGTCATCGTCTCGCCGCCCCCCACTCCCGAAGTCACAAAGGAAAACCATGAGGTGGCCCCTGTTCATCAGCGTCGCGAACGCTCACCAATTGCCGAGCAACAGAGGCGGTTCAACGCCAACAAGCGCATGACTCCGGTCATATCCACTGATGCACTGGACGCAATTCTTCGCGGGGAAGTCGAAGATGATCCAAGCGCCCTCCGTTACGCCACAGAGCCCAACCCCTATCACTACAGCCACTTAGAATCATGCCCCGAGGAAAACGAGCCCGTTTTAACCAGCTCGCCCAGAGCGAAATCTCCAAGCCCACTCCTCAAAGAAATGAAAAGCGATGGATCATCCTCGAGCGGGCAGCCATTTCTCGCCCATCGCAGAGAAGGTGTCCTTCCGTCGGCTCTCCCGTCGGCTCTGAAAGATCCGAACCGGTCCATTAGCCCCGAGAAACGAAGGGTCACCCTCCTCACCAGCAAAACGCAGAGCGTCGACTTTGATTGCATGCTCAGCCCCGAGGGTAGCGATTACTCAACCAGTCTCACGTCCAGCCCAAGCCCCGATACCTTGTCCAAGAGTTTCGACTCCAGCCGCACGCAGGGCGTCATCCCGAAACCGGAAGCGATTTCTCGTCTCTCGGTCTCGGGGAACTATTCGTCCCTCTCTCGCTCGACCCCCGACCTCAGCGATATTCTCGGAGGGGGCGGACGGAAGGGGAAAGACGGGAGGAAAGTCGAGCGATCCAGCAGTCGAAGATTGGGGCTGGGGAGATCCAGGATGGACTCGTACGTGACATCCACGGAGCATTCCTCGAGCTACTACCATTCCCCAGCAAGCCCCCACGTCATGAAGAGCGGACGGCATGCAACAGTCACGTCCAGACTGCTCAGCGGCGGCAAGGGCTTTCTGTCAAAGTGGAACGAGTCGAAAAACGCCAGACACAACCACAAAGTCTCATCTTAGCAGTTTTAGTCTGTACCGTCGTTCGTGTATGTTAGCAAAGCCGTTCATCACAGTATTATTCTTTCATTGTCACTGACTTGACAGAAAAAGACACTAACTATTACACATAACTGCGTGTTCATGTTTATTTATCATCAGTTGTTTTGTTTTTTTGTCGCTGCTTTTTTTTGTTGCTGTATTTGTGTATTACTCAGATTTGCTGGTTATCAGCTTCTTATCAACAATTGAGTCGTAATAAGTTGTTTTACAGGCTGGCTTGTTTATTATTTCATCCGTTACTATTTCATTATGACATTGAATGTGAAAATGACAAGAAATTATAACTCATCACGATTAATAATTACACAGCAATTAAAAATCGGTGTATAAAGATAGATTATACATCAATCATCGTTTGTGGTTAATTCAATTGCCACTGCCATGTACATTACAAAAGTGATTATATATGACAAACTTAGTTTTTAATCAGCCAACTTGAAGTAGGCGAGGTTGATTATTCGCTCCCTGATTTGTTGGGTGGGTGTGTACTGGTCGATAGAGGCTACGAGAGTCGACGACGGCACAGCGCAGGACGCGGTCGTACTTCGTCTGTCCGCGATACAGAGAGAAGAAGAAGATGACCAGCGGACAGAAGAGAGAAAATGTGGCTTTGAATGTGGCGCGAACGAAGGACCTGCACAGTGGGGTGAATAGTTTAACACACAGAGAAAACTGGGACCATAAAAGGAAACTGAATAAAAAGTGTCTGCCTTATAAGGACTGCATAAACATTCACCAATGAAGCAAAGTCACGGGTAAATGGTAAAATAGTGAACACAAAAGACTTTGTGGTTTTGTCTATCATCATACAAAAGGTTGTGTAGCAAAATAAGGCATAACAGACTAAATTTACACACCCACCACCCACAAGTAGAAAAATCAATTTTATCAATGCTCTAATGTGTGCACACCTATGGCTGCTTTTTTAAAAATATTTACTGTAAATAGATACCTCCAAGGAGATATTCTACCACCGGGGACTATTCTCAGTGTGTAGCCAGGCTGGGTTCGAGTCAGGTGAATGGAGTTGGCGTGGACGATGCGCAGTCCAAGAAGCCACTTCCCTGGAGTGCACGAAAACACAGCCGTCCACATGAACTGTTGAGAGAGAGAGAAAGGGAGGAGGAGGAGGAGGAGAGGAAGGGAGCAAAAACGACGTCTCTCTCTCTCTAGAACACGTCTCTCTCTCTAGAACACCTCACCTCCAGGAGGGCGTGGTTGATTCTCTGCATTAGAACTGAGAAGACGAAAGTCTGGAGAATCGTCTGAATCTCGTCCAGATCCGCCGCCTCATCGATGGTGGCCCACACGTCTGATCCTTCTAGAAGAATCTCCGGGATCCTGCGTGTCAGGGAATTATTGCCTAGCTAGTTGTTTTGCAATACAGCCAAAGTGTTTTTGCTTGAAGCTAGACAGAGAGTTGTAAGAAAGTAGTTCATTTAGCTACTCTCTGGTACTTTCAGCTTAACTGTCAAACACAGAGTGAAAAAACAACCTCAGATCTGCTTCTGGGAGATAAGCCTTGAGCAGAACGACAAACAGCAGAGTGTCAATGACCTCCGCCACCAGTCTCTTCCACGGAGCTGCCACATAGGTTTCAAACCCTGCGTATATATAATACATATGTATGTACAGATCGGCATGTACCATCACTAAGGCTGCTAGGGCATATTACAATCACATTCTTTACTACAGTTGGATATGTACGTACGTATAAACGGAATGAATGCAACACATTTGGTGAGCGAATGCAAAATTTAGCAGAGTAACAGATTACGATATTATGATGACAGGGTAGTACGTACGTACGTACAATCGTGCAATTCCAGAAGGCTAGGTGGGCTGCCGATAGTTTGTTGGAAGTTACACACAACTTACCGTTGATGATCCTAATCTGGAGCGTCAGGAAGTCCCGCGCATATGGGGTTGAGTCATGCCCCGTTCCTGCTGAGGGGGATGCCCCTGGTAATTAGGAGGCCAGGTCGGTCCAGCTGCCGCCGGGTAGTATAACGGGTTGTACTGGTAAAACTGGTTTTGGTTCCCCTGCTGACTGGCAGACTGTGACAAAAGAATAAAAGAACAACTCTGGACACCAATGAACAAAAGAAAGTGTCCGTATTTTAGCAAATTGTCCTATTTCAGGGGTTCAATTGCATGCAAGAAACTGTTCTTGGGGAAAGAAAAGGTGTCCTTATTAGTAGAGAGGTGTGTTTTACTGAAAGGGGTAAGTGTACCCCATTAGGGGAGTTGGTAGGAGCTGAAGCTGCCTGTTGCTGAGACCACGCCCAGTAGGAGTACTGCTGCCACCACATGTTCCAGTAGAACCAGTTTAGCCAGTCAAACTGGTACTGGGAACCTGTTGGGGGTAGAGTGTGTTCTATTTAACGCGCACTCACACACACACACACGCCGTACGCGGTAGTGGAAGAGTGAGCTTACCATGATGGTTGGTTGAGGTGCCCTGATTGTCTTCCGGGTCTTTGTCTGCTCTATTTGCGTCCATAACGGCGCAAAATAACAAGTATATACACTTACACTCGCGGTGTGGGTGCAAAGGTCAGGTGGGCGCGGTCTATGTCGTCATTCACTGTGTTACTATGGTTTCTCAAATTGTAGTAAACACACATGGTGTTGTATGTGCTCGAAAAAAGCCAAGAGAACGAAGGATCTACGGCCTAAGAGACTGCCGAAATAACTCATCTGCACTCACTCTGGGTCTTTATTTCCACCATTTGAAGGCGTATCTTCAGGGACCAATTGATTGGCATATCCTGGCACGAGAATGGCATGCACACTTAGCCATTAGTCCGCTAAGTAGCTGCCGGAGGGGAACCCGACACGCTTACCGCATCAGGTTTCATCTGCAGAAAGGGATCCAACTACACCCTCTCCTGTCACCCTCCAATCTCTCATGCCACCTCTTGACTTCTTTATCCTTCCCTCTCATTCTCTGCATCCTTATTTTTAACCTTTGCCGTGATCCATCACACCTCCTCCCGCTTCTTTCCCGATCCGTCTTTCACTTCACGGGCTCTTCCCCCCTTCCTTTCTTTTTACGGCTTTCCTTCTCTGCTCTTTTCCCTGTTCTCCTTTCATATATTCCACCTAGGTAGTCGGGCTATCATTTTCTTGAGCTTCGTCCCGTCTTCCAGTACTTTTTTTCTTCTTTAGCTTTACCTCTATATTTTTTACAGATTCTTTCTCTCTTTACGTTTTATTTTTAATCTGCTACAATTCGCTCATTTCCCCTCGTTCACTACCCTCTTTCTATTCCTTCTCTTCCTTTATCTTTTTGCTGTTCTCTCTCTTGCACCTACCTTTTATCTTTCCATCCTTCTCTCACTTCTATCCCTTTTCACACAGTGGTTTATAAATTTCTACGATTCCTTAATCCACGTCCCCCTCTTTTCTCACCTCCCCTTCTCCCGCACAGAGATCTGTTATTTCTTGTCGTGGTTCTTCTCTGTTTTCATCTGATCACCCTATTTGTCACCTCTTGTTTTTTTCTTCCTCCACCCCAACTCCACACCCACTCTCTTTATTATTGTTATATCTCTTCCCGCGTCCCCTTTCTCCCTCATTTACCCATTTTATTTGCCACTCCATACGTACCACGCCTCCCTGATCCTACCTCCCTCCCATACCTCGGTGTCGAAGCTCTATACTTGGATTTTGCCTTTCTCTTCCCCCATCAACTCTTGCATTCATCGTCCTTCCCACCCACCACATTTTTCTCTACGTATTTTCCCCCTTCTGTCTCTTTACCTCGCGCATCTCCCCCTAACATTCGTACAGCCTCTCTTTCGGTACTTTCTCCATTGCCCCCCCTTTGCATCCCTCTTCCTTCTGGGATCCAAGGGATTAGTCCCTCGCCACTTCGTGACTGCGTACAACTGTTGCAGTTTCGAAGCTAGTGTCGTAACCGTGCTGTGCCTTGGCTGGATAATATGTCGGGGAAGCGACGGCCGTCTTTCGTGGACGGCTACCTCGTGCAGCGACTGCGAGAGCACAGCAGGGAGGAGGAGACCTACAGCCACAGCCAGCCCGCATCCACGCTGGACGGCGAGAGATATGGCTCCAGACACGAAGGTGAATGCAAACCTTTGAGACTGTTTTAGTTTGAGTTTTAGTAGATCAGGCATTGGGTATGCATATAGCTGTCGAGGTGATCAGCCCGAATGAGTTCTAACTTTTGGTTGTGTCATAATTATGTCTTTCGCGCAGGTCTCTGGGCTAAACCAGGCTCCATCATCCCCCAGTCTGATCTTTTGTTAGCTCCCAAATCAGAGGGTCCCACTCTCCACTCGCTCACGGCAGCGAGAAAAGGCGGAAGAATCTCGACACAGTCCAATGAATCCACACTCCTTAAGAAACGCTATCGATACAACGTCTCAGTCCCGGTGGCTGCGAAAATCACTGCCGATACCAGTGCTCCAACACATAAAAAGAAAGCTTCTCATTTGCCCCCCAGTTCACCATCTGCCAGTGGGAGAGGCTATAGAAAAATCAGGAGAGGATACTCAACAATGAAAAATTCTCCTCCCTTTCTCAACGGCCTCTCGTGTGGCTCTGGAAAGAGGTCCTCAAGTTTGGGCGGAGTCAGTCGAACCACACCCGTGGGCGTGTCACGTCGAAATCATGATTTCCCCCTCCCTCTCGTGGGTCAAAGGTCAGATGAGTTACAGAGGGGAAAGTCACACGAGCAAGATTACTTGAAACGACCGAGTCATTGTAATGTTTCTCAATTGAGAATTGGAGAAAAGGGTGACGTGAAATTGCCGCCAAGTCGACTGAAGAAGTCGTATTCTGCTGGAGCTGGAGTGGGCGGGGCTAGCGGGTGGGGGTGTGACGGTGTGAGGGGGTGGAGGAGTGCATGTGAGGACACACGGGAAGACTTGGTGGCTACTTTGGCAGAGGATTCTCTCAGTATTGAAGGTAACTCAATCCTTCTGCATTCTATGTATATATAAGGTCGGACCCTCTGATCTGTACACTATTGGAACAGAAGTGTCCACATTAGCTGAAGTTTCCTTGCATTTCAGGGGCTATGTAAATGGCACGCAAGAGCTGTTCTTGGGGGAAATAAAAGGTGTCCTTATCAGAAAGGTTTCCTCATTTCCATGTCCTACTATTTCTAGATGATTCCTAGTAAAGGGTGGAAGCAGTTGTTTAATGTGACGCCAATGCATTAGTGCTGATCTAGAATGCTGGTTGTAGCAATTCAAACTAATTGTGGTGTTCTGCCGCACTATGTAGATGCCACGGATGAGAGTGTAGCAGAGACAGAGGGAGAGGCCGTGGCAGGTCTGGGGGAAGAGGGAGTTGGCTTTTCCGTCGAAGACCTCACTGATCTTGAAGAAGATGGTGACACCACCACTGGTACAGCGAGTCCTTCAGCTGTGGACTATCTACCACCTTACCCTCTGCCTTGTGACTCAGGTATTGCCTGGGTTTAATCCAGAAAAGAGGAGTCGACTGATAAAGTCCTTGTTTGCAACTTGGGACGAATCAGCCCATATGCACAGTGTCAACAATTTTTCATTGGCATTCTGTTGAACAATTACTGTTGTCATATATAGATTTGGCCACATATTCACTGATAAAGAAAGCCAGTCAGCAACTTGAGCTGCTCTCAATTGCCAGTGACTCTGGAGGCAGCTCATCCAGTGACACATCTCATAGTCCTGATTTGCCTCGGTCCAGACGACACCGGAAAACCAAACGTACCAGTAGTGGACCAAACCGAACCACGCCTGCTCAAGGACTGGCAAAAACAGACCACACTGAACAACAAAAGTTCGACCAGAGACATAATGAGAGACCAGATCTCGCTGGGCCTTCAACCATTACCGAAATAGAGGCCATGGCTCTCAGAGAAAAGATAGCTCCTCCTCTTCCTTCTCCTCCCCTCACTCCTAGTCTTTTCCCATCCCTGGGGCCTACCATACATTTCCCCATGCCCAATGAACCATGTGAGCTAAAACATTCTCTCGTCACTCTCTCTCTCTTTATGTTTTCTGAATTTTGTTCTTTTTTTCAGACACTCCCCTGCCACCTGACCTCATCAGTCAACTAAAGTGGAAGATGTCGACCATTACGCCAAACATCATCAAAAACTGCATTGCCAGAGTGGGATTTACACCATGCACCAGTAAGGAATCTATCACCAAACACTACAATTAGCCTTACTACTTCAGTTCAACTTTCGCGATCTAGTTTCTTCTACAATAGCTTGTAGGGGCTGGTTTACCAAGCCTAATGTTAATTAACTCTGTCCTCACTGTTTAATTGATTAACCCTTTCCCCACTGCAGAGGACAGAGGCTGGCTGGGTTACTGGGGCAAACACATGCGGTCTGGGGCCTTCAGAGCAGTCCAGGGACACCAGAAAGTCAACCACTTTCCCGGCAGTTTCGAGATTGGCAGAAAAGACAGACTATGGCGTAACCTCTCGAGATTACAAAGCAGAGTGGGAAGAAAAGTGAGGGAAAACATATTTTTAACAGAGCTCTATGAAATCAGAGATTTGATTTGCACAGAATCTTGATTTTGTTCCGTTGACGTTTGTCCTCCCTCACGACCTGCGGTTGCTGAAGAGAGAGTGGGAGACGAAGGAGTCCAGCAGTAGACAGAAATGGATCCTCAAACCAGTACATACTTCTGCCGCCTGGACTCAGTCTATCACAATCTAAACTCTCTCTCTCTCTCTCTCTCTCTCTCTCTCTCGTCCCTCTCTCCCTCTCTTGTCCTCGCTCCAGCCTGCAGCTGCACGTGGAATTGGGGTCAGAGTTATCCACAGGTGGAGCCAAATACCCAAAAAGAGACCTGTCATTGTCCAGAAGTAAGCCTCCACAGCTATCTGTTACTTATTCCTCTATCTACCTCTTCCTCTGTCTTCTATCTACACATTTTCTCCCCCACAGGTACCTAGCTGACCCACTGTTAATCGGAGGAAACAAGATCGATCTGAGAGTCTATGTCTACGTGTCGTCCTACGACCCACTAATGATATATGTGTTCCCCGATGGTCTTACTCGATTCGCCACCTGCAAGTATGCCGTGTTTCCTTTTTCCTTTCTGCTGAGCTTAACAACCATTTTCTGCTCTTTTTTTTAACTTTAACCCTTAATAATCTAGCTATAGCTTATCTTTTTCGACTTGTGTTATCGTTCTTTACGATAGGTACTCTTCATCAACGCGTTCGTTGTCAAATCGATTCATTCACCTGACTAACTATAGGTACAGTATAATATACATCCCTAGAAGATTAGCTATTTATTTAGCCAACATTTACCCCACTTTAGTGTAAACAAGAAGAACTCACAATTTTCTCAAAACTCTGACGAAACCGCATGCCAGGGCCACAAATGGTAAGAAATACAAGACAAAGATATCCCAGCTACACTATTGCTCGTTGTCTCGTGATAATATAGGGGCCTGCTAGCTCTGTGGAAGTATGTGAGCTGCGAACTTGGTACTGACACTAATGCTGTGTGGAGGTCGATAGTAGAACTGGTCATCAAGACTATCATTTGGTTCGTCTGTAGATTTACCAGTCATCTAGTCTATCAAGCTACACCTTCTCTCCAAGTGGAAGAGCATGCGTGGGAAGAGAGGATCTAGCTCAATAGACTAGCTGTCATGCTTTTACTCTGTTATTGACACATGCAGTTCAGAGCCACACTGTTCAACTCTGGTGAAAACCTACGTACAAAACAGGTCAGTGGGATCCGTCCTTTTTGTTCTACTTCTCTCCATTCATTAGTGGTTGTTTTAAACTCTATAGCTATAGTTGTCACGAGCTGTTTGGATTCGACGTGATATTGGATCGAAAACTGAAGCCTTGGCTTGTCGAAGTCAACATATCTCCGAGGTACAAAGCTGTCAATACGCCTGACATGAATCTTTCTTCACTAGAAATTGCAGGTTTTTTTGTTATAAGGGAAATTAATTGCATTCTTTCACTAGGCCACTATTGTTAGTTGCCCTTATGTACTGTCCCATTCCCTTCTTTCTCACTCAGCCTCCATTCGAACTCAAAGCTAGACGTCAACATCAAGGGTCAATTAGTCAGGGACTTACTCAACATTGCAGGGTTCAAACTACCCGCCACAGCAGAGTAAGCAGTAAACATGTGACGCTCTGTGATGTAACCAACTGCTGATGCAATTCTAATGACGTAATGATGTTGTTACTATTCTTAGAAGGACAGCACAGTGTGGATTGACTGTGGAAGATAAACAGAAGGTGACAAGCATATCATACCATAATAATATTGTATAAAGCCTCACCCAGAAATTACTTCCTTGCTGATGCTATTTAAACCCACTCAACTCAGCTCTTAGTCCCAAGAAATGTATGGTAGACTATACAGGAACAGTGGGAAATCCCTCGTATAATACACCTTAACCTTGAGGAATGCGGCAGCTTCAGGCGTCTAACTGGCTGGCTTGCTTGCAAGGAAAATACCCCTGCACTTTGATCTACACCCTGAGCTATGATAACAGCTATATACACCTCACAAAGTCACTTCCTTTTAGAAAAAGTAAGGGTACAGAGTCCATTCCCAATGAATTTCTCTGTCTATTGCAGCACTCACATTTTCTCCAAAGAAATCTCCCAGAGGTAACACGATTCAACAACAGACCACATTACCTTTCTGAGTTTTTGTCCAGCATGAGAGGAGGAAGATTCTCGATAGGCTGACTCCTGGGGATATTGCTGTTATAATGAAGGCAGAAGACGAGGTGGGATGTATGGTACTTAATGCCCAGCAAAGCAGGGATTTAAATCTGATACAGTACTGTTGTTACATCACTGGTTTTTTCTAACTCAGTTCGCAAGACGAGGAATGTTTGAAAGGGTGTACCCAACTCACGAGTCTGGAAAATATAGGAAATATTTTGAGTCTGAAGTAAGTTTCTGAATGTAAAACTTCAACATGGCTTGTTAATTAATTTGTCACTTCAGAAATACAACAACATTCTCCTAGAACAATGGGTGATGAAATATCAACACTCCAGAGATAGAGGTATGTGATGGTGACGCAACATCATCAGAATCTTTTGCATCACAGATGTTCCCTCATTGTTCTACAGGTATCGAGTTGCTACGAAAACTATCATGACCATCACGATGCAGTCTGAAGAAATATTATGCGCATGCGCAATATGCGTAGGATATAAAACGCGGAGCGCGGCGTAGAGAACGCTTTTGGGATCGGATTATGGAAGAAGGCGGCTTGGAGTGTTACACGTGCGTGCTGTGCAACGAATTTCTGGTGGAAACTCCGCGACAGGCGCCCTGCGGGGAGCGTCTCTGCAGTCCATGCTGGAGGGAGCATCGAAACAGGTGCGGCAGACTTTCTATGCATAGTTGCAACTCTGCGCGTAACTAAGCTGCACCTCTGACGTCTTTGTGTTGCAGCGGCGAGAGCTTGAAGTGCCCGAAATGTGGAGAAAAGATTGTACTTCAAGAGGTATAGCTAGCTAGCACAGTGCTGCTGCAAACTGGCTACTGCGATTTTTTTTGCCGCGCTTTCTCCTAGTGTTTTCCCGACAAGGCCTTGCAACAGGAGCTGACGAAGTTGGTCCTCAGGTGCGGCAATAAAGACTGCTCATGGAAGGGACTGCTCAACTCATACAAAGTACGTCATAGCTAGTAATCATGCCGCTCTATTAGTCTATTATGAAGAAGGGTATACCCCTGATACCTACAGCTCTTAACATAGGGTACTTCCCAGGGGTAAGCCCTCGCTGTGTTTTTCAAGCGACTGATCCATGAACTAAAACAATGGCATCACCAGACCGGGTGTCTCTCCCATTGTTCTTGTTCCAAGGCCCACAGAGCAGTTTGCAGACACGAGCCACTGAAGTGTGTGAACGGGGAGTGTAGACAGGTAGTCAAGAGAGAAGACATGGAGGAACATGTGAAGACTTGTGTTTACTCTCAAATTCCTTGCAAAGGGTGCTCCAAACCAATCCCCAAATGTCACATGGAGGTAAACAGAGACTAGATGTGACTCCTATTGGGTCTATAACCTTCTTAAGAATATGCTGATGATTTGTATAGGGTGGGGGTGGCTTAGCTAAACTGTTTGTGTTGCTGATATATATAAAGGAGGAGTGTGTTTTGGAGTTGCACTCCTTCTTTGGAGAAGCACTGGCTGTGCTACACTATGTGCCTACACTATGTGCCTACACTAATCAACTACGATAGTGCAGGTGGTTGGGCTAAGCCAGCACAGTGTAGAGTTTAACACAGCATTGTTGTATATTCTATCAGGAGCATATGGGACAGGTGTGTGAGCAGGTGCTGGTGAGCTGTCCAGAGGGTTGCGGGGAAATGATCCTTCGTGGGAGAGTAAGTCCTCTGCAGAGAGAGCAAATTAACAATTTGGCCTCGTTACACCATAGCTGTATGGACACTATTATAGACTAGTCTCTCAGTCCCTATCTTTCGGATTGCCTATAATTATAGGACCAATTCCTACGACCATTACAGAATGGTTGGACAATGTATCGCTTTTAAATGTGTATTATGTTCTCATTCGTAACGATACAGCTCAAAGAACACTATCACAGTAAGTGCTCACAGTATGTCAGGCTCTGTTCATTTGAGGACCTCGGATGCTCTGCAAAGGTAATATTCTACCTCTGTGACATTATAATACTTGGCTACTAAGAGACTTTACATGCTCGTAAGTACTCACTACGGTAATATAGTAGTTTAGTGCAGAGTCGGTACATTAAGGAGAGTGAAGTGCACGTGTTTTGTGGGTCACATGATTTTCAGAGCGAGCCAGTAGATCGCAAGACTTGATGATGTAAATATTCACTTATTTGCCATCTCTGCACCTTAACAATTGACAGGAACTGGCTGGTATTTATCGCCTCACACAGATTAACTATAAATCTCTACTTTTCCTCTGTTGCAGGGTAACTCCCAGCAATTATCAGACCATATTACTGGTTCCACGTCAGAGCATCTGAATCTACTGAAGACTACTATAGACAAAAGGGGAAAGGACGTTACGATGGAATTAGAAGAATTACGAGTAAAAATTAAGGAAATGGAGCTTCGTATAACGGAGGGGAAGAGTAGTGAATCCCTGAAAAGTATGGTACAGAGTGTGATGAAGCTAGAGACGGCCATCCAGCAGCTGCAGGATGGATTTGGAGAGATGGCACTGCTGGTGCAGACGCTCCAGGCCACCAGCTACAGCGGAATCTTCATCTGGAAGATCCCGGAAGTCACTCGCAGGAGGCACGAGGCTCGGGTGGGCCGCACCCTCTCTCTCTACTCCGCCCCCTTCTACACCAGTCGCCACGGCTACAAGATGTGTCTGAGGCTGTACATGGCGGGGGACGGGAGCGGGAAAGGCAGCCACCTCTCCTTCTTCCTGACGGTCATGAGAGGGGAGTTTGACTCCCTCCTGCGCTGGCCCTTCAGACAGACGGTGTCCCTGATTCTCCTGGACCAGGACCGACAGAGAGACATTGTCCAGTCCTTCAGACCGGAGCCCTCCTCCGCCTCCTTCCAGAGACCTCGGCTGGAGATGAACGTGGCATCCGGCTGCCCGGCATTTGCTCCTCTCTCTGTCCTAGACAACTCGTCCTACGTCAAGGACGATACTCTCTTCCTCAAATGTGCCATTGACAGAACTGGGTTAGATGCTTACTAATAAAAATAAAAGTGCAAACCCTCGGCGAACTGCGCATGCGCGATACTGCTAATTTCCTAGGGCTCGATTCGGAGGGAAAATGGCGAACGTCTCCTCATAAAACTTCGTCTGTTTTATGGACATGAGGTATCGTATCGCTCTACCCTCTGTGCTCCAGTGTCATTGACCAGCAGTCAGAAAATATGGCTGTCATTTGCCGAAATTACGAGTCATCGACCCAAGTTTCAGCTGTCCAGCAGAGCGTGGGCTCTATCTGGTCGCCAGGCGCCAGATTATGCTCCGGTTGGAGTCAGAGTGGGGGCTCTATCGTATTTCCGATTATCTGGACTTCAGATTTCACTTTGACTGTTTGACTGCCCCTAGGGTCCTACAAAATGAACTTTGAACTTTGAACTTTGAATTGATGGGCTGGGCTATTAGTAGTATATATACTCGTGGCCTTCCCGCTAGTAGCGCGCGGAGAGTCTGACACGGGCTAGCTAGCTACGGTAGTAGATAGCATGCGGGAGTCGATACATGCCATTCGTTGTGACTTCTTGAGCCCCCAAGGTACACAGGGCGAGCAGATCAAGTCGCGGTAAGCCCAGTGCGATTATGCATATTGGCTTTTTCGCTTGTTTTCACGGCGAACACGGTCGTTTCAGGAAAATCGCCCTTTTGTTTTTCAGGCTCGCGTAGTTCTGAAGACCGTTGGTATCGCTAATGGGCCGCCGCGTAGCCTGTAGTGCCAGAATAAGCGTCGACACACTGACAGACAGACTGGAATCACCCTCTGCAACCTCATGAACCATATTTCAGCACATGTTCAAACATATTTAGGTAAAAATGCAGCAGAGTCAAACCATATAATTTTAGTGGGATTAGACAAAATACACACATCAGAGGCAGGAAATTACACACTTGGAAAAGTTTGAAATATAAGTTTGAAAATGTTATTTCTGGAGCCCTGGAACGATGGTGGATATGTGGTCTTGATAATTCTCCTGTGATGGCACAACTTCCAGCCTCAGTACATCAGCTGGAGTAACCTGTGATTATAATATACCACAGCAAAGAATGCTTATAATGTATTATATAATGGTGAACCAACCTCAGTTTCCAGTTGGTAAACATTGGTAATACCAGTCACCTGCAATAATGTTGTATACACTATAGATTTTCCAATGAACAAGTATTATATGTGACCCGCTCTGGGAAAAGGTACAATTCGGCGCAAATATCGATTTTCCGGTATGCGTATATAGCAAAAAACTCGATGGTTTTGGCAAATATAGTTTATGACACAGATGAAAACTATAACCTAGCGTCTACCTTTTCGCGTAGGAACGAAGTCGATCTACCGCTCGTAGCGCCTGCAGCGTCTCCTCGTAGTTGTGGGCGTTGCCTCCGCGTGTATTGCATCATAAAATTTCCGCACGTAATATCTCCAAATAACGCGCGCGGAAGGGTGCGCGCGTTATTGCGTACAGCGCTCGAACGGAAGCAGCTACGGAGGTGCGGTTTTCTTCGTTGTATGCAGTGTGCGTTGTGCTCTCGAACAATACGCGTAACGCAATTTTGAATTTTTGTGCCGAATTGTACCTGTCTTGTAGCAGGATTATGGTAGGGAGAAAATTTTCACTGATTGGTAGCCAAAATAGATTACTAGCTCTGTAGAATCATGTCCTGGAGATAACTGCCCTGCAGCTCCACACAGAGGTCCGTTCACAATTCCAGTCACCTGCAGGATTATACCTTATTCTCATGCTAAATCAAAGCGTTATGTAATAGTTACCAGCTCTGAAGTGTTTGCAGTCGATTCTTCCGCTCTCGGCTGAGCGATGTGTGGGTGGAGCTCGTGGTAGTGTTGAACGACGCCGTGGCGAGGTGCAGGACGAGCGAGGTAAGCCACTAGCAGTACTAACAGCAGTATGATCACTGCCACTGATATCGTTATGCAGTACATGCTCGCCTTGAAACCAGGCTCCTCTCACTATTCTACCATATATAATTGGCGAGCGGGAGCACCAACTATTACCTTGGCTTTTCGTTCGAGCGGAATTTTCTATAATAATCGTATAATCTACGCCCGTCGTCGTACTTCAAAGGTTTCAAAGGTTCAAAGGTACTTCGTGTAAGTGCGCATGCGCGTCTTTGAACGCGCTTCTTTTTATCCGAAACTATTTCCAATTTTTTACACATTTTCACACACGGTGCCTCCGATCGATATATAGCCAGCTAGCTATAGCATGCATGCAGCTGGTGCCCAGCCTGCTGCCGCGTTGCATTTATTATGGGGAATCCCCGCTCCCGCAAAAGGCCTCAGAGCATAGCTGCATTTACTACTAGAAGAATGTTGAACATTGTTGGCGAGCAGGAGCGACCCAACTTGGGATTTGTCCGCGATGTTCGGGCTGCATAACGTAGCGCACAGCTTTCCTTTCGTGAAGCAAGACAGAGCTGTCGCCGTTTACATGCGTAGCAGAACGGTGAGCAGAACGGTCCTTACCTTAGGCTTTCAGTTCGTCTGTCGTGGTCCACCAGGCAGCTGGCATGGCAGTAGGCTAGGCAGCGATCGATCGGGCTGCCCGACAACGCGGCGTGTGTTAGCTGGTCCACCAGGCAGCTGGCAGCTATCATGTTGATATGATCCACCAACTGGTTGACGGAGGTGCACGAGCAATCCTAGCGTATTTGCAGGTACAGCGTCGGTCAGTCACCGAAGGTTGCAGCGCATGCCGTCGAATGGAGGAGAGGTCTCTGCTGCTGCTGGGCCGGCCGGCCGGCGTGAGCGTGCACGAATTGCGCATGCGTCGGCGTCGCGCGTCGTTACGACGCGATGTCCGCGGAAGAAGGCGGTCCGCCGGTGCTGCACAAAGCGGAAGAGCAGAACGATTTAGCAGACGGGTCGTCCCTGACTTCATCCAATGAGACGAGTAGACCGCTCAATGCCGATAAATCGGAAGAAGAACATGTCAAAACCAAATTATCCTTGTTCAGGGCGACGGCGAAGAAAGTGCAGAGGAACAAAGCACTGACGAGGGTTCTGGCGCAAGACGCGAGGCGACACCTGAAGAAGTACGCAGTAGTGGAAGGAAACGAACAGGAGATTTTCACGTTCAACGTCCAGTCGTTTTTCCCCGAGTGTCAGACTTGCAGCGGACTCTCCGAGCGAGTCAAGATAATTCTCACGAAGCCGTCCTGGAATAGGACCGACGAAGAACTGGGAATCGTTCGGAGGTTCGTCATGAAACTCGCTTGCTTCAGTCGCTACTCCCTCTACGTCCGACAGGAGCTTGCTAACGTGCTCTTCTACGAGGTTTTCGAGAGCGGCAGGGTAGTTATTCGTCAGGGAGACGTCGGATTCAGTTTCTATTTCATCGTATCGGGAAGCGTGTTGGTCGAAGTGCAAGACAAAGACCCCGTATCCGGCGGAGTGCGAAACAACATTGTCGGAGAACTGGGCGCGGGGGCAACTTTCGGGGACTTGGCGCTACTGAACGACGACAAGCGACGGGCGACAATAGTATGCCGCGAAGACTGCGAGTTTCTGAAAGTCGACAAGGGAGATTTCAAGAAGATTTTGATGGAGAGCTGCCAGGAAAACTGGGCGCACAGCAACGGGATTCTATCTCGCCATCCTCTGTTTAGAGGATGGAGCAAAGACCAGCTAAGACTGGCTGTGGAAGGTTCACAGTTTGTGGAGTTTACGTCAAATTCCGTCATCATAAGGGACTTTTCGGAGCCCTCTGAGAATGTGTTCATCGTGACGAAAGGGAAGTGTAAGGTTGTGCAGAAAGTGGCTCTACTCGTGTCTGGAAATGGTAGACTGAAACTTCAGCAGCAACAACGGCGATCAACGACCTTACCTCCGATTCTACCCGAGGGACACAATTTGGTTCAGAAACCAAAGAGGGAGTTGAAAAAATGCCAAAAGTGGTGGCTACTGCGCACACTATATCCGGGGGACTATTTCGGCGTGGGTGAAGGCCCCAGCAACTCGAGCGTCATCTGCGCAGACATTGCTGAGTGTCTCCTCGTCAATACGGTCGTTTTGGCCAAACAATCGCAGGGGCGTTACCTGGAATCGGTTCAGGCGGAGGCCAAGTTGTTGTATCCAACAGTGGAGGAAGCATTCAAGAGCTACGTGGATGGAAGGCAATGGGAAGAGTACAAGAGAAGAGTTCTCGACGAAGTGGTGTCTGGTTTGAGGAGATACAAAAACTCCTCCTACCGTACATAATGTGACAGATATTTCAAACATACTCTCATTCTAAAACTAATTAACTGATCCAGTTATAAAAAAACATTATTTGAGAGATTATACAAAAATGACTGCCCTATAATACCTATAAAAAGTGATTGCATTGTACAAAAATGACTGCCCTATAATACCTATAAAAAGTGATTGTATGGTCATATCACTCTTGCTAAGCTTTTGTGCAACATTGAGGAGTTTACAATAATTATGACTTTACTGTTTCCCCTAATAAAAGAAAAGTATGCTCATAAAAAAAAATAATAATCTTCCACTAAAAGACAGTTTTATCAAGTATTTTCCAATCCTGTTCTGTCAATGACACATTTGAGAAAGAGAGTATCGTCCTTGACGTAGGACGAGTTGTCTAGGACAGAGAGAGGAGCAAATGTGGGGCAGCCGGATGCCACGTTCATCTCCAGCCGAGGTCTCTGGAAGGAGGCGGAGGAGGGCTCCGGTCTGAAGGACTGGACAATGTCTCTCTGTCTGTCCTGGTCCAGGAGAACCAGGGACACCGTCTGTCTGAAGGGCCAGCGTAGGAGGGAGTCAAACTCCCCTCTCATGACCGTCAGGAAGAAGGAGAGGTGGCTGCCTTTCCCGCTCCCGTCCCCCGCCATGTACAGCCTCAGACACATCTTGTAGCCGTGGCGACTGGTGTAGAAGGGGGCGGAGTAGAGAGAGAGGGTGCGGCCCACCCGAGCCTCGTGTCTCCTGCGAGTGACCTCCGGGATCTTCCAGATGAAGACTCCGCTGTAGCTGGTGGCCTGGAGCGTCTGCACCAGCAGTGCCATCTCTCCAAATCCATCCTGCAGCTGCTGAATGGTCGTCTCTAGCTTCACCACACTCTGTACCACAGGATTCTGCACGTGAGACATCAGTTCGTTCCTCAGAGTGTGTATTTCATGATGCAGTGCAGCAATCTGCTTCTCATAGTTGTCCAGTTTAGAGTCGGCACTTCTTGAAACAAGTTCAACAGTTCTGTTCGTCTGCTGCTTACATGTACCTTTGAAGAGCTTTAGATGATTGACAACTGCGTCTTCATTGTGCTGCACAAGCTCCTCCACTGTTCCCTACAATATGAAAAACCAAAATCTGTATAATATATATACCTTTGAAAATGTTAATATGTTTCCTTACAGGAAAGCATTATGATAACGATACTATTACAAGTAGAGTATAAGTAGAAAGGAAAGCATTATGATAAAGATACTATTACAAGTAAGAGTAGAGTATTATGTTTATGTTGGTATATAGACATGTAACACAATCTTCCTGCTTTCAATTTCAGCTAGCACCTTGTGATTTCATTGTGTGTGGAGGAAATCGTGTGTGGAGTATACAAGACTCTGCAACTTACTCTAAAGGAGCATCCATTGTCCTTGAATTCACAATCTCTAACAGTAAACTTGCAAGAGGTCGCCAGATGACTTGGTAGCTACACAAGATAGGGATATAAAGGAAATTATAAACTACTTATTTCGGAAACTCCCTTTATAAAGACTTACGTCTTTCCTTTTGCATTTTTCACTGCATCGTTCGGTAGTGCAGGTGACTAGAACTTCATCGCATTCATTAGCTAAATGTACCTACAGGAAATACATAGTAGTTAGTACTAATGTGAAAATCCCCAAGTGACATTATTAGCACTAGCTACATCCGGGAAGCCGGAAGTTATGATAAATATTCACATTTCACACCTTATGCAATAACTGTTCCGCCCCCTCAAGCCTTATATAGATTGCAGGAATTTAGACGAACTCGTGTTAAGTTCCGACGGTCAAATTACAAGGTGCAATACATCCGTTAGGGACCCTCAACAACATTCCATTAATGTCTACATGTCTAGAGCACAGATTGGTCTAGACACGGTCCCACCAGGCCATGTTGCTTGATAGAATTAGACATGTTTAACTATTCCCTTTGCAGATTGCATAATTATAGGCTCATTCCCTTTTTATCACCATAGACATGCTCATTGAGGGACAAGTAAAGTTAAGCATAGCAAGAATGGAAAAAACGTACGTTTTCGTCAAGTCTCGGTATCTCCCAGTGACACCATGTGCACTGGATTGGCAAGTATCTGCAGTTCTTGCAGTGCAGGTCCAAGTCGCTCCTGTACATCTGCTCCCCGCAGCCCTTGTTGGGGCATTGGACGATGGCAAACGAACACTGCTTTAGATGGGCCTGCATTAATTTAGTAGAGATATCAGAGCCTTTACACAAGGCATTAATAATAATATTATGTCTAGTTTGTGAAGCTGTTGGAGTGTTTGTGCATCGTCACACGAACCACACACGGAATTTTGCAATTGAAAGTGTTACTTTCAGCATGTATTTACACAACTTGTGGATTTAGAAAATTCATGCATGCCCACACTATATACTTGAAACGGAAGAGTAAATGTTGAAATGCTCTAAGCAAACAGTACACTGAAAGTCCACTAGAGTATCTTGTATTCATGATGCATCGTATTGGGAAAGGCTTTTGTGTGTTACACCACCACGTCTTGTGAGGGGTGAACCCCGGGTACTTACCAGAAAGTTCCTGCCCTCTCCCTTCCAAGAACAGCCCTTGTTTGTGCAGCTTAGAATAGCCTTAGAAAGTTCAACTTCTGCCGCCTTGTCTCTGAAACACTGGGGGGAGAGAGAAAGACGAGGGAGATGAATTCATTTTTACAGACCCTGAGCTCTGAATATTCCATGTTACTATAGAGAATGGTTGTGGCTATTGTATAGTAACAGTGTGAACTTGATCAGGGCTTGTGGTATGCTATGTGAATGGTTTTGAAAGGAATTAGGTAAGGCTTACTGTATTGAGGTCGATGCTGGTACCACAGATGGGACAGCGAATAGCTTCCTTCTGCCTATTGATATGAATAGAGAGAGAGAGACGTGGGATCAACACTGTAAATTCATGTGGTCAAACCCACAAACACACAATAGTAGTTTGTATTACAATGCTACTCACATAGCTGGGATTCATCGTGCTGGTATTGTTAATTCCCACGATAATAAGTCGAAAATGGGCGTCTCTATAATTATAAACTCCATCCAATAATCGCCTACATCTGTCAACTACTGGTGCGTTAATGCACTAGAGACTGCATAATGCAATACACACAAGTTTCAGCAGAAATCTACAGACACCGAGCTAGCAGACGATAGCTATCTCACCTTGCTTGGAGTCCGGAATGACAGCTACCGCAGATTCTGTCGCCGCACGCCGCCTGGTACGGGGCGTTGAACAAGTAGCCCGAGCAGAAGCTGCATATCAACGTAGTGTGCTGTTGGATACGGTCTGACATTGCAGTAGTAGTTCTCTTCTCCTCTGTGCGTATGTGAACCGCTACAGTTTTCTTTCGGCCCCGCACGACGCCTGCTTTTATTCGCGCGATAACGGAAATTGTGACGACACCGCCGCGCCCCCGTCCGTATAAAAACGGCTGATAAATACGTACGTGCTATTAGACGACGTCCGCCTGAGATCGCTGCAGCAAATTTACCGATAAAAAGGTACATACTGTAAAAATTTGCGAGATGTAACACACACCAGCTACAGTAAAGGCTCTGTGCCATTCCAATCAACGGTAGCGTTTCTCCACCTGCAGAAAGTAATGGCCATAGGTTTCAAAACAACGCAGTATAATAAGCTACAGCAACATGGTCTAAGATTGAAACAGCTCTCACTTTGTCTGTATGCACAGCTGCAATGGAGATTCCAGGTCCCTGTTAGTCTTAGTCTGTGGTAGCTTCATCCCATCCACCTTGCACATTGATGTGTCTATAGTGACGTAAAGTGACGTCTGAGTTTCACGCTAAATGAGCGCCAAAACTTCCCATTCCCACACGTTTTAACCCATCACCATGGATGGTTCATTACGTCATGAACGTTTTCAGACTAGGTTAAGGTGTGGGTAAATATTAATTCCAACGGGAACTAATTGAGCAGTGTGCCAGATCGCTTGGCAACGAAACCTGTACTGAAACTTAGAATGAGCCCCCGTGAACTGAATCTATAGTAGCTATAATTATATATATATTCAAAAAGTCTGCTTGTGGCAAGCAGGATTCACATCACAAGTAGACTACTTAATTACTCTACCCAAAACTTTGAAAAAACCTGCACTCACAGATTCAGTATAGCATTATGATATTACACGGTTAATTTTTCACCAACGGTGAGGCGAATCTCCTCATCTTGGTTTGCCAGACCGTCGTAGTAAAAGAGATCAAACTTCTTTTCAAGTTCCCTGCAGAAAAGACACAAGCATACAGTAATATACACCCACTGTTGTTTCTATTGATCATTTTTTATCCTCGGAGAGCTATTTTTTGGAGAAGTTTTAATGCTACTCACCAGTTGGACAGTAAGTTTCTCTGCTGGCTGAAGAGAACAGTGAAGTGACTTTCGCTACAAACCACCCAGATTGGAAAAACCGGTTCTTTGTAGTGACTCCCTATCTGACAACATGACGAGTTAGAGAGAGTGTGTGATGTGCTACTGGAAAACGATTTTAGCGGCGGGGGGAACTTACAATGCAGTTGCCGTAGTGTTCGAAAAGAGAGAGAAATCCAATCTGACTCTGATCAGGAATCCCTCCCAGGAAACTCTGCATCATGTGCAAGATTTGCGAAATCTAAACTCCCAAAACTATTACTTTCCCATTGTGTAATCACTAATTATAATTATTATGCAAGCATGAGTCTGAGGCAAAATGTAACAGGGGGCTGATAATTACGCTATATAGAGTATTATCATAATTATGTGTAAACTGAGTGTATAGTAAAACAAAAGTAGGGTCTGTTCTTGCATGATCTAACTACCTTTGGTTAAGCAACCAAGGAACTGGGGGAATAACCAGGTTAAAGGTGATAATCTGTAGTTAGTATTATTGTATAGGTCCTGGAAAGTTTATTTCCTGCAGTAACTTCCTTGATGGTTTTCTCATACTCAACAAACATTAAGGGTCAAAAACCACAAAATGCCTATGGTCAAACCACATCCTTAGTATAATACTGTGGTGAACTCTACCCAGTCGTGGTTACACAGTTATGTGACCAGGCTATAGCAAAGGTTTTGGTAGTGTTGATCCATGCTAGATAGGTCTTCATAAAATTAGCTGTTAATGCATAATATTAGGGAGTGTTACTAATTTCAGTGACTTTTTGAGTTCCCCCCGACTCAAGAGTTAGGTTCCCGTCAAAAACATTCGATACGGCATTTCCAGTGAGCAGAAGATTAACCAACTCCTGCAGAAAAGAAATGTGTTTAGTCACAATGATACCACATCATTGTTTGGATGATGGTGCACTTAACCACAGGAGAACATTTTAAATTTAGTAACATTTATTGTTTGCACGGGTGGTTGCAACGAGGCTTTCTAAAAATAGAGTTGCAACATTTTTTTAACGATGGAATGGTGAGAGCTGACTTCCTGCATGTGTGAATGTGATAGGTTGTTGTGGGTCAACACCAGACCATTCATGGTTAGCTATTTTCCTAAGTGTATTCATAGATCCCATTCTTTTACGCATGTGACCTCATAGAGAGAATCAGTTGTGAGGCTATCAAATACACTGGCCTTCCTTACAAGTCTCTGAATAAGAGAGGCCTTGGGGACACCCATTATTCTAAGGTGGCCTTTATTCATAGGCAATATTATGCTAATTTATTAGGGGGCAGAACCAAATTGTCCTTTTTAGAGAGGTGTCCTTATTGGAAGGGTCCATTTTCGGAGGTTGCACTGTGTACTGTCACATAGTCTACCATGGGTTCCTTTTGTATGTCATATATTGGTTTTAGCCTGCATTTCACTGTACCTGGCTGCAGTAGCTATGAGCAGCAATTAGGGGACCCCCTCCGTCATCCATTTCCCTTCTTATACTGCAGGAAGTGATATTATAATTGACGAAAACAACAGTTACACATTTGCACTGTCACTTCTAGGAATTGAGGCACTAGAAGGAACTCCTTTAGGAAGTCAATGACCTTGGTACTAGATGTAGTGGGAAGACAAGCTTTCAGGAAGTTGTAGTTCAGTTCATAGTATAATGTATTCCCTATCAAGCCCACTAGGTCAGTGTGTAGTCTATCATTCTTGCAGTGAGCTAATGACCTGTCTATTCCTTTTGACAGTATAGCAGAGAGGAGAAAGTGAATGCAGCCGCTCTTGCTTTGTTCCTGAAACTGAATGGTATGTTTCAGCATTGGCAGTAAACAAATAAGTGTTGTGTTACAATGAGAGAAGTGTTAGAGTCAATTGCATTGCCTAACCACATGCTCAGAAATATACGCAATCCCATACCTTACCATAGTAGGTACAAAATGACCAACGACAAAGAAAACATAAACGTAGATTTGGCAACTGAATTCATAAACACCTTACAAGGAAAACATGTGATGATAGGAAATCCTCCAAAGTAGTGCTGTTGGAGAAACTGTATAAGACTATCTGCAGAAAACAGTACAAAACACATTAGCCAATGCTTACGTGCATATATAACTTTACCATAGAAGGTTATACATCCACATATATACAGCTATTGTACTACTATAATGCATACTCTCTCGGTGATATGGTCAGGAATGTAGGCCCGAGAAGGCAGCAGAGTTGACGAGGGTCTCGAGTTATGAGCAGAAGGAGGAAGAGCAACAATAGCTGTCCCGCTCCGTTGACCACACCTCCACAGAATATCTGTCAGAGCTGACACTAGAGCTGTGTTTCTTTGTTCTTGAGTCAATGGTGATGACCTCGTGGAAACAGGACAATTGACACTATGCAATCAAAATTCATTGACTTTGTATTCCTATTGTGTTGCCACAAACCGCAAAAATGTCACCTGTGTTTATTCAAGAACCACCTCACTTCCTGCCCTAGTGTACACACGTGGCAAAGAGGTCTCTTCGAATCATGCCTCGAAGTATGATTTTTGTCTGGTGCATGACCGGCTATGTCATACCGCATGGTATTAATAGGACTGGTATTATTTCACCTTTTTACCTCATGTGACGGGGACCTTCACTGAACAGTAGGTGTCTGAGGAGATATGCCTGGACGCAGGCCATCACACCACACGGGCCTCCCTATTACAGTTGATTGAGGATTCAATTATATACATTGAAATCTCTGAGTAAGGGACACCTTGGGATGAAAGTGTCCTTTGTTCAGAGGTGTCCCCTAATAGGAGGTAATACAAAAATGTATTTAGTATGGGGCAGAACCAAGTGTCTTTAATAGAGAGGTGCATCCTTTATTCAGAAGGTCGTTTTTTAAAGGATTATAGGTGGACAAAATGATGATGCTGTTTTACCTTATGTTGCACCAGTCCATATTCAAGACCAGGCAGCTCGCAGAAGGAGAAGTCTTGACGTCTCCATTCAGCGTTGAACGACGGTGCACTAACTGATCCGAATATCAGCTCTCTCAGATCCTATTCAACAGAGCAGGTCTATAATAGAACAGTCTTGTGTAGCACCATCTGTGTAATATACTGTGTAATATACTGCGTAATATACTGTGTAATATACTGTGTAATATACTGTGTAATATACTGTGTAATATACTGTGTAATATACTGTGTAATATACTGGTTCTTTCTTCTGCATAATTCTATAATACACTTGTAACCATAAGTAATTCTTACCCAACTTCAGCACTTTTTTTCTTCTTTATTCTTTAGCCAGTTAATTGTCTAATGAATCTATATTAGTTGGAGGCACTGCTAGCTTCAGTAGTAGGTGGGTCTATTCTCCAGGGACCTAGAATTCCCTTATGGGCACACCCTGAACAAGCCCTTTCTTTTCCATGAGAAAAGCTAACCACAGGGTAGGGCCTTCAGGGAGGGGCATATACCCATGTAAGCATAATGGTTGTAGGAGGAAAGGGAGGGGAAGGGGAGGGTATGGGAATATATGTGGGTGCAGACTTTGCAGGCTGGTTGTGGGTGAGTCAGCCCTAACACACCCAAAATGCTGACATCATCTTTAAAAAGAAAAGATATATACGCTATGTTCTAACAATACCCTGTCCTATTTTTATCTAGCTAAAAAGAAGCAAAAGAAGTGGTGAATATCAGGCCCTTTTTTGTCTGGGAAGTTGAGGTGTGTGTGGGTTGAAGGTTTAATGGACCATGTAAAATGAAGTATGAGAATGTACCATGCACGCCATGTAGGTGGGTAGAGCGCCTGCTATAGACATTTTCTAGAAAAATACTGTATACGGTTAGATTTTTAATTCATGAGTCACAGGGTGTGTAGAATATCGGGGAATAAAAATTGATATAGTGGCTACTACAATAGATGAATCATATGGGAAGTATGAGAGAAAGGGAAGTGCTAGGCAAACAATTCACACGGCACCCAGCAACGAAAAAGAAAAAGAGGAGCTACACCTTGGGTGAGAGTTACCAGACTGTGTACATATATGGTAGAGTACTGACCCTTGCAGTCTGCAGGGAAATGGGGCTTCCAATTATATTATTCTTCTGAGGTGGTGGTGGATTCCCAGCAGTTAATCTGCTTCCAGAGTAGCCCATTACACAATCTCCTGTAGTACCCAGATCCAGATCCTCCAGATCCTCACAGAGGATGTCTCCCAGAGTCGAGGTCTGGGGAGAAGAACAACAGAAAGAAGATGGACTTGGGAAAGTTCAAGAGAATGAGCTTTTAAGATGCCATTAATTTTGCTATTGCTGCACATTTAGTAATCCAGTAACCAGCTAGGAAAGAAGCAATATATTGTGAGAATGGACAAGGCGGTTTAGTTTCTCTGTTCTGCATAGATATTACCTTGGGTCGTGTCCCTGGCTTTGACTGAAGTTTCTTCAAAGCTGATGTAGTGGGTTGGGTCTTTGTCCCCTCACAACGTGTGGTCGGTCCGTCTCTTGTGACATCTGTTTCAACCTCAGGCGTCCCACTGAGGGCATCTCTGTCGATCTGATTCCCATTCACTGATACTCCTTGGTTTGAAGCCACGCTGTCTCGATTCCAGCCCCTCTCCCGTCGATCTTGATAAACCGGTTACAGAAACAGGTTTAGAAACCGGTTTCCGACTGGGGTCTCCCTGTGACACTAAACGAGAATTCTCCGATATTGGACGGTGATTAGTAGTTCCTGCTGCTAATGTAGCCCTCTTAGAATCATTTCCGACTCTAACTGAAGGGTTTTCCCCATTGTTATCACTACCCTTGTAATCAGTGGAAGCCGTGAAAGAATTGTGTGTGGCTGAAGATTGTGACATCGTGCCGGACTTGTCAATGAGATATTTCGCAACCACCTCAATCATCGTCTGCAAGGGACTTCCCCTTTCCTGGAGCCAATATGCAATTGAAAATCATAAGTGATAAAATCTTGTTGTTAAGTCTATAATTAGGATGCAAAGCGATGTATACCTTGTTTTTCTTCATTAGTTTCTCAATGTTGAGAGCTTTTGCGAGTCCAGCACGATTGCTGATGCTAGAAGTGTAGCGTTTATTAACAAAATCCATCAGTTTTCATGCATTACTATTTCACCTCTCAGGGGATCTTGGTAGCTCCTCGTCCATTTTCGCTAATGTCTGCTTCAATCCCTGCGAAAGGTCATATTATGTGGGGTGGATCAGCAAGGAGTCTAATTATTTACCTTTCTGCTAAGGAACTCCCTCACAAGGGACGCTGCAATCTCTTCTACAGATGTAGACATCTTCTCTTCATACTTACGATTGACGGCAATTTGTCGTGAAGTGTAGCTTTCTCCTTGTTCACACTGTGCGCTGTTTGTTTACTGGTTGCTAATTTCGCTATTTCAATATTACGTAGTCGCGGAGCATTTTCGTAAAATTAGGTAGAGGTGAAAAAAGAAGATGGAGGATACGGAGCGTGTGATTCCGACAGATGATGAGCTTAGGAAGCGACTTTTCAGCACTCCTAGCCCCAATAAGACGGCTCGAGAGAGCGAAGAAGATGACAGAGCGGCTGGGAACCGGCCAAGCAACGGGAGAGGCGCAAGGCCCAGGCGAAAGCCTCGGAAGGCGGGGTTCAGACTGAGCCTACTGGCCGTTATGCTGTTTCTGCTGCTGTGTGCCTTCGCTCTCGTAGCGGCGCTAAACCCCGACGACGATAGCTGGAGGAAGATCACGTGGGATAGAGCCAAGGAAGGCAAGAACACGAATCTAGCCAATGATCTTCCTTTATAAACCTTTGTTTAGTGGTAAAAAAGCCGTGACACCGGTGCTCCTACTACAAGTCCATGCTGCACGCCCTTCCTCTCTTGCAAACGCATTCACTGTCTAACAATTGACCTCCTGTGAATGTCATTACCAGGTGCGGTTCAGTTCTTTAGCAACGAGCCTCTGAATGGTGAGAGGCAGACGACTCAAGCTCTCTTTGGTGAGTTGGGGGCGATGGTTTATTTTGTAGCTTTCAGTTCTCTTGGGTATCTTTGTTTACTGATTTCTTGTATTAGACAGGCTCATGGTTGTACCAATCAAATCTGTTACCTTTTCATGTACTCCCCCCTCCCATCTTCCCCTTATGTCCTCTCTTCTCCCTCTCTCTTTCTCTATCTCCCCCTCTCTCTAATAGGTCTTCTAGGAGCCCTACCACTAGCTGCAGCCATTGGTGTAGCTACGGGGGCCTTTACTTGTCTCTTCATGTTCTATGATTCAGACGTACCTGGCGACTTCCCTCCCACTCCCGTCTCACCCCGCAAGGCCACCGAGTGAGAACTTACACCATTAAAATGTTTAGGTTTGAGCCATTTTATACAGTAAGACTTAATTAAAACTTGCTCCAAGCTTTGAAAGTTGGTGTAAAATAAAGTCCTTTTATGACGGATTATAATACTGCATCGTGTACCTGTGTTTTCTGCCTTTGCCTCCAGTCCTTCCCCTAGTGAGTCGAGATGGCACCTCGGCTACATTTTCGTCCCAGTCAACGCTCTGGTCGCCTTCTCCCTCGCCCTATACTACCTCAGACTACACCAAGGCCTAGGGATTTTATAGATTCACTTATAGCACAAGTCCTCCAACCCTCGAGCCACGTATATACACTGTAACCTTTTCAGACACTGCAATGTAGTCTAGCATAATATATAGGAATTTCATAGGAAGCTCATCATAACAAACATCAGCGTGATCATAAACAGATTCGATATAATAGTGTGTCATAAAAGAAACATTTTGTGCAAGAGAGACATTGGGAAACGTTGCTATTCGTTTTGGCCGGGAAAAGTTGGACATGGAAATGGGTCACTTGCTGGATGATGATTCGACCTGCTCGAGTCCGTACTCTGCCATCTTGGAGAGGAAGAACTTCTCGAGTGCGACGGAACATCTGTAGTAATCGGAGCCCCGCTCGTTGAACTGTCTGCAGTTGGAGAAGACGCGGACCATGTCGGCTCTGAAGAGTCTGACGCACGAGTAGTAGCCACCGTGGAGTCTGTCAGTCACCGTCTGGAGATCTGCAGCAGAAGTAAAATGCAAAGCATGGACAAATTGCACTTTCCTAAAGAGATTACCTACATCTAGCTTAAGACAAACAATTAATACATCTGACGATAGATTCTGTTCATTGCGTAGGTAATTACACTAGAACGAATGCGAATTTTTTGGTGAGCTAATCTGGGAAAAAAAAGATTCTGGCTTACTATATATAATATAGCTACTGTAGCCTTTATCAGAGAGACTAAAACATTAATCTCAAATCGTGGGGCCTATTTTGCCATTGTGTTATGATATATACTGTTCTGAGAAAAGCATACCCACAATAACGGTGAAGAACGGAGGAACGTACGTACGTACCCATTGGGAATTTGATGAGTTTTGAGTAATGGGGATTCTGAGGCTCGGCGACTGGCTCCAGAAATGGCCAGGAATTCTGGTTCTCCTGTCACCACATACAAAACACAACACAGCAGTAAAAACACAGTTTCCTTCACATGTTGATTCTATCAGAGGCTTTAAGGTGGGATTGATAGCTACTTAGTGTAGGATTTAGAATATAAAGCCTATACTCATGAACAATGCCCAAATCATCTTTCACATGTGATTCATAATATCTTATCAGAGGCTTTAAGGTGGGATTGATAGCTACTTAGTGTAGGATTCAGAAATAAAGCCTATACTCATGAACAATGCCCAAATCATTGCAAGTGATATGCATACCTTAACTTGGTTGATAAGTCTTCTAAGAAACGAAGTGAGTTTGTCAAAGTTGTTGTCCAGCTCTGCCTCGTATGCAGTTCTATAATAATATGCACATTAACAATGCACATTGGTGGTAACACTTTTAAATTCAAGATAACCTACTTTTGATCCATTTCAGTGGGTTTCCATCCGGTCTCCACTATAAAACACACACAAAGGTGAAATTTCGATTTTGTGATTGTGGAAATGGGTGGCCTAAATTGTTCATACTTTAAGCAAGCAAGTGGAGGGAAGGACAGGCCAACCAACCATTCTGAATACTTTGACTATAGTTGGAGAGTGCAGTGAAAGAATAGGGTGGCCTAAATTGTTTGTACTTTTAGCAAGCAAGTGGAGGGAAGGACAGGCCAACCAACCATTCTGAATACTTTGACTATAGCTGGAGAGTGCAGTGAAAGAATAGGGTGGCCTAAATTGTTTGTACTTTTAGCAAGCAAGTGGAGGGAAGGACAGGCCAACCAACCATTCTGAATACTTTTGACTCTAGCTGGAGAGTGCAGTGAAAGAATAGGTTGGCCTAAAATGTTTGCACTTTTAGCAAACAAGTGGAGGGAAGGACAGGCCAACCAACCATTCTGAATACTTTGACTCTAGCTGGAGAGTGCAGTGAAAGAATAGGGTGGCCTAAATTGTTTGTACTTTTAGCAAACAAGTGGAGGGAAGGACAGGCCAACCAACCATTCTGAATACTTTAAGTATAGTTGGAGAGTGCAGTGAAAGAATAGGGTGGCCTAAATTGTTTGTACTTTTAGCAAACAAGTGGAGGGAAGGACAGGCCAACCAAACCATTCTGAATACTTTGACTATAGTTGGAGAGTGCAGTGAAAGAATAGGGTGGCCTAAAATGTTTGTACTTTTAGCAAGCAAGTGGAGGGAAGGACAGGCCAACCAACCATTCTGAATACTTTGACTCTAGCTGGAGAGTGCAGTGAAAGAATAGGGTGGCCTAAATTGTTTGTACTTTTAGCAAACAAGTGGAGGGAAGGACAGGCCAACCAAACCATTCTGAATACTTTGACTATAGTTGGAGAGTGCAGTGAAAGAATAGGGTGGCCTAAATGTTTGTACTTTTAGCAAGCAAGTGGAGGGAAGGACAGGCCAACCAACCATTCTGAATACTTTGACTATAGTTGGAGAGTGCAGTGAAAGAATAGGGTGGCCTAAAATGTTTGTACTTTTAGCAAGCAAGTGGAGGGAAGGACAGGCCAACCAACCATTCTGAATACTTTGACTCTAGCTGGAGAGTGCAGTGAAAGAATAGGTTGGCCTAAAATGTTTGTACTTTTAGCAAACAAGTGGAGGGAAGGACAGGCCAACCAACCATTCTGAATACTTTGACTCTAGCTGGAGAGTGCAGTGAAAGAATAGGGTGGCCTAAATTGTTTCGTGCTAAGCACACCAAGGCTTATTTTGAATCTGATTGGTTGACACAGGAGTCTCATAGCAACTTAAAATTTTCAGCTGCCAAGCAATCAACTCACAAATCCCGGGGATGTCTTTGATCTCGATTCGACGACATGTTTCGCTAAAACAGGTCAGCCCAGGATGGACCTTGCGGATCTCTGCTTGCTTCCTCTCTATCAGCTGATGAACCACCTGCCAGCACCGCATGGGGAATGGGGGGAACGACGGTATGGGAATGAAAGAATGACGGTATGGGAACGGGCCACCGAAACCGGTCAAACCTGTTTCTGTTTCTTGATGATGCTCGAGAACTCGGTGTATGGAATCTTTGGGTTCAGCTCACACTAAATTGAAAGTGAAAGCTGACAACCTACTGCAGATAGGTTCTCTAATATCAATGTATTACCTCCATAAGGGTAGCACCTTCATAGTCCTTTATATACCCCACATACGATGATCGAGGAAGCTTTATGTCTTTAGAAAAGCCCTATGCAAAATAGAATCCCTTTATGAAGACAAAATGCTATAAATACGTATTATAAATTATAACCTGTTTTTTGAAGTAGCCGATGGCAAAAGAGTCGGCGTATGTGAGGAGATGAAGAATTCCCTGTCTAATGCAGTAGTCTTTCAAATAGTTCATCAGGTGAGTACCGTAGCCCTACATGATATAGTCAGACAGATGGCCGAGTGAGTCGGTTTATAACCCCAGGGATCTTTATAGCCATTTAGGGCTATTTTAATCTCGAACACCGACAGCTCAGTGGCCCCGCGGGTCTCTAATGCGCGTAGATTGCTGGACTCGGCATCTAACTTAAATACACGTATCGGTAAACCAATAGCAGAGAACATAGCACTTTCGAGTAAAAAAAACTTTCCAACTCGAATGCATTACAGATCAAACACAAGTTAGTATTATAGTATTATAAACATACATCCCCAACCACGATGACTTACCTTCACTTGTTCGCTGGAGGTGATGGCACAGAATACAATCTCGGCAAAGTTCTGTGCGGGGAACGCTCTGAAACAGATTCCTCCAATCACTCGGTCCTCTTTTATCAGGGCCAGGGAATGGTGCTTTCTGCAAGAGGGCAGGGAACGGAAATAAACTAACAGTCATTTTAAACTCATAAATTTCACTGCCTAGTGAAGGAGTAAGTAAACCCCCCTAATCCAGAGACAAAGAAACTGTCCATATTAGTGAGGTGTCCTTCATCATCTCAATTGTATGCAAGAACTGCTATTGGGGAAGAGAAAGGTGTCCTCGTCGAGAAAGGTTCCACTGTAACAGCTCCATGTACTACTGTCAAGACTGCTCGCTCACTGCAAGAAGCTCCACTCACGGGTCAAAGACGAGTCTAGTGATGTACTCCCGGGGCATCCTGGGCAGCTGGTGAGAGAACACGGTCTTCAGACCCAGCATCCAGAGGTGGTGCTGGGCCGAGGGGGTGTCCTGAAGAGAGTTGTGGAGGATCTGGAACCGTATCACTCCCTTCCTCTCCTCCTCCTTCGGGATGTGGTCCCTCGACACTTGGTCGTTGAAGAACCCAGTCTGTATGCAGTGAAACATCTGAATAAGGGAAACCTGGTGACATGATATATATACCTCTGGTCCGACCATTGCCCGAGGGTCGGTAATAGTAGCGACAATCTCCCTAGCTACTTCAGACACCTCCCTACCTGTACATACATATATCATGGAAATCATACATGATACTGGGAGAGAGAGAGAGCGCGTGTGAGCGAGGGATTAACCTTCAATTCTGGGTATCTTATGCGGCAGGAGGAGGTCTCCTGGATCAACACTAGGTGGTGGGTGTGGTTGCCCCGCCCCTTTCACAGAAGCCACGCCCCCTGTCCATGGTGACGGGTAATCAACTGACATTGGATCTCTGCAGACAAAGCAATTCACAGCCAGCCAGCCTGAAAGTTTTTTGCCGTAAAAGTTTTTTACCCTGAAACTTGCGGTGATGAAAATACTGGTTGCCCGGGAGACGACATAAAATTGCTGCTAGTGGCGGGAGAAGGTAGGGGGAAATCCCTGGAACGGAACGAAGGCGGGGCGCCATACTCCACTGTGGAACATGACACTCTCAAGAGGGGTTGTGGTACCAGACTATATACACACTGACCTGAGCGAGTTGGAACGGAGCCAGGACCGGCTGGAACGGAACTGGGCCCGCCGGGGGAGTGGGAGGGGGTGATGGACGAGCTGGCGGGGCTGGGAGCGGTGAGGGCCTCGGGAGTTTGGTTGAAATCCTCTCTCCATATGGGTGAGTTGGCGTTGTATATCTCGTTCTCTAGAGTACTCAGGAACCTTGACCATGTAAGAGAGACTATCTACCAAATTTGACTTAGGATCTGCAAAGGTCAAGCAAGCACCGTACTGTACATGAGGACATGTCTCTCCCATTCTTTCCCCAAGAACAGTTTATTTTAATCCCTGATATAGGATACCTCACTTATTTGGAAGCTCACTTCTGTTCAATTAGCATCCCGATCAAAGGATTCTTCCCCCTGTCTTACATTAATAAAACTGACTTTGGGAAGTGGGTAATGACGAGCGTCCGTTTCTCGGGGAGCATCTTGTCTTGTTCGGCGGTGAACCGCTCCATCAGCTGCCGTCTCATGGTGAGGAACACCGAGCTGAGGAACATCGGCCAAAGATGAGCGTGGCGTCGTACTTCTGCAGACTCTCACAGAACACTGGCACGTGGCAGAAACTCACCCACCTGTATATGTACAGCACAGTGGATATGGTATACAGTGGATGTCTTGTTAATAAATTGGGACATAAAGATTTTGTTCACAGTAAGTGGAATTGCTGATTTTTAACCCTCCTACTTATGAACCAGAAGTACACTACGACAGAGTTTCAACAGTGTAAAGCTTTGTGTGTTAATGAAAGTGAAAGTCGAAAGTAAAATCGGCTCGTGCAAAACAAACCTGGTATAGTTCTCTTTGTAGGTCTTGAGGTCGTCCGTGTGACTGCTGCGAGCGTGCACCGACGGAGTCTCCAACTTCCAGTGGTTGAAACAGTAGAGGAACATCTTTGCCAGGTCGTACATTCTCTGCCACTCGTTCTGCGGGAGCTGTCCAAATTTGTACGTCACAAAATTTGTCACCGCCTACAGAGAGCGATACAGAACCACTCAAATTTTGAGATTTTCCATCAAAAGCCCTTAAAATTAGTAGTCCTAGCCACTAAAAATTTTGGTATATAGCTCATTGCAAAATTTTATGGCGATAAACAGTCAAACCATTGGACAAGAAAAGAATGACTGACTTTTGCAATGGAAGGTTTCTCGAAAGGAGGAACACCAAGTTTTTCCTTGGCCAGAGAGGGCAATTTTGGTTGGAGCATGTTTTTTTTAAGGAACTGAAACAGAAAGCCGTAGGTCTTCCGCAGGTCCTGGTCCTCCTTTTCTGTCCTCATCTGTAGCATGATGTTGTCCATGTCGTAGACTAGGAAGAGAACCCTGTCCAGCTGGTCATCGGGTAAGTTTTTAATTTCCTGGTGTTTGGGGGGTAGAGAATAAGGGAGTGAGCATGGAAGGAAGTGAGGGTGTGTGTAGTGAGGGTGAGAGGGAATGGAGGGAGAGAAGAGGTGTCTTAAGGGAAAGTGAAAAATCTCTCACATGTACGTGGTTGTCCAGCGTGTGCTGACAAGATTTGCAAGTGTCGGAGAGGGACGGTAGTGAGTACGTGTCTGACGTTGGCGGGACTAGAGGTCTCCATGACTGACATCTGCAGTCTCCTTCGTACTGGAGAGAGCCAGAGTAGAGACTATGACATCACTGAAAATCGACGAAATTCTAAATGGTGCTCACCTGGCATCCTAGGTGGGTTGCTATGCGCTCTATTTTCTTGACTCTCGGGAACAGTTTCAGCTGCTCTTTCTTCTGAGCTATCTTCTGGAGAGTCGACCCGCCTCTGCGGGACCCGGACGCCTTTCCAGACCCACTGGCCATTCAGAACTGCGAAGAAGAATAATTTACGGGGGAATACTAATCCGCTAGATAATCTACGGAGGTATCCGGATATTTTAACCCGTTGTTGACGGGATTGAGAGAAACCAAAGTTCCCAAGCAACGACAGAGCAATGGCTCAAGGTGGCCTACTCTTGAGCGCAGCAGGCATGGTACGAGAGAATATAGTCTACGACCAAGACGGCCAGGCGTATATACCGGCCACGCAACGGCCGGACGGTACGTGGAGAAAGGCGAGGCGTGTGAAAGACGGTTACATCCCGCCTGACGAGATCCCGGTCTACCAGAGTAAGGGGAGGATATTGGCCCAGGAGGTGCATTCGGCTCAACCAGCAGGACTACGACCAGTCGGTAGGTCCACACTATAGCCGGCGCTTATAGTCGGCATAGAGTGAAACCCTTTAATTAAACCAGTTAAAGGATCTGTAGCGGTTAGGTGTAGTTGTACTCTATATGGGTGTCCTTAGGGATTCCACTGTATACAAATACACTCTTTCATAGATGATTTGAGTCCACTGGCAAGAGTGTTAGGTTGGTCACCTGATCCTGAGCCAACCAACAAACCACTGTCTCGAGCCCAGAAGAAAAACGAGAGGAAGAAGCAGAAGAAAAAGGAGAAGAAAGCAAACGAGGTCGCATTTGAAATCGAGGAGGTTACTACAGGACTTAAAGAAGTTACACTGGGCGAGAAATCATCAAAATCAAACGGAGAACCAGAGACTAAGAGAAAAGAGGAGAGTGTAAGTTCCAAAATACTGTATCGAGAAAAAAAACTGCAGTGAATTTCAATTAGACTACCTGAACAAACAATCAGTAAAAGGGACTATATAGCTTCTTTCGAAAGTATAGTGCCTATATATTAGCCTTAGAGAATCCAACCTACTGTACTTTTCTATTTCAGAAGGACACAGTTGCTGCAAAAGGGGTTGGTGCACCAGCCAGCCAACAGCAGGATGACACGGAGAGTTCGAGAGACAGGCTAAAGAGGGAACGAGCTCTCAGAAAAAAGCTGAAACAGATCAGAGATTTGGAGGAAAAGATTGCAAGTGGAGGGATAAGCAAGCCAGATCGCGACCAGCTAGCAAAGATTGCCAAAAAGGCCGACATTGAAGCTGAACTTCAAGATCTATCAGAAAGCTTCTAGTTGTGACTCCAACAGTTTTCAATTCAATATATAGTAGGATGCCCCTGCTCGCCAAAGTTAATATTAAGCACCATCTACCAATTGTAAAATTTTAAACAGGTAGAATGAAATTGCGTCAGGTATTTTTTAATTATCGTACAGTGAAAAATTTTAATCTGTTTGTTTTAGTTTCTGAGTCCAGTCGTACGGTGCCCACCATTCGCTCAGTTTCACCACCTTTTCCCTCTGTTTGTCGAATTCCTCGCGGCGAGGCTTTAGCCAGAGTCGAGGGCTCAGATCGAGGAGTCCACCCACCACTTCCCGACCGAAATAGTGTGGAAATTGATCCGTGTCTTCAATCACGTGACCGAACCCACCGTCCAGCCCAAACTCTGCAAAGAAGTACGGTAGCCCCGTGGGTAGAGAACCGCGAACACCTTTCGCTCTCGTGTCGATCAGCTTCTTGTTCTGCGCCCACTCTTCGTCCGATTCGAGAATGGCTTTTTTGAAATACATCGGAGCGAGCTCTCCCTCTTCGCGGGGAATCGGGACGCAGTCGATGTACATGTGCGTCTTTCTCTTCACGCTCGTAAACGTCTCCATAAACACAACGTCGAGATCGCGATCGGCAAACATTCGAGTGAGCCCCTTTCGGAAGATGTCCACCTCGCTCCATACGTTTTCGTCGAGAAAGAGGGAACAAGTCACGTGCTCCATTGGCACTATGTAGCAGTGGCCCTCTGCCAGTGACGTGTGCCAGGGGGCACAGACGTACGTGTTCATGCCGACTGCTATGAGGAGGTGCTTGTTGAAGTTGGGATTATCGAAACAGAGCTGGCATTTGTCGACTGCATCGGCCATTTTACGGTTTTCCGCAACGGAGCGCTTCTTGGCCTTTTCGAGCTCTTTAGTTTCGTCGTATTTCATTGCTGATTTAGAATCAAATGCGTCGTCGACCGTTTCGTCTGCGCCGGAGGCGGGTACGAATTTCGAGGCCATTCGCGCGATAGCAGCGTGCGTCTCTTCGGCCGTCATCATTCTTTCCTGCTCAACCAGCTCTTTTAGACTGTAGCGATCGTCGTCGTGGAAATACTTCTCTCGTTTTCCTTTCTTTGTGTGCGTGGCTCCCTTTGGCTGCGGGCGGTAGCCTTGGGAAGTCGACGGAAGCTGGAGTGGTTTCTCTCTACCGAAACGATCGGTTTTTGTCAAAACTAGCGTTTTCTCTTCTCTTGTGGCCCTATTCGAAACACCAGATGATAGGGTGCTCTCCTGAAGTCTCTTCACTTCCCTCAGTCGCTCGAGCTCACTTTTCAACTTCTCGACTTTTCCCGTGTTTCCCACCAGCTCCGCCTTCAAGAGTTTAGCTCCGAGAGAATTCAGTTGAGCCTCAGTCACGGGCTTGTCTGGCAAAGCTACTGGCGTTTCTCTGGCCTTCTCAGCACTCTCCCCAAAACCAGACATTTCTTCGGTGGTGGAAAAAATCTTTTCGCGAGACGCCTCTGATTCAGAGGGCGGGGAAGATTTGCTAACTGCGACAGAATCAGTAGTGATTTCGGTACTGATCACAGAGCTTTCTGGAGCCGGGGATGATTTATTCTTTCTCCAGCCTTGCCCGGAGGAGGATGATGTAGTGGTCATACCAGTTCCGATACCGGTCGAGCGAGAATGGGGACCTGTCTCCAGGTCGCCAGGTTTCAAAAACTCGCTGTGATCGCTGGAGGCTGAAGAGTCTGGAGCCGGTTTTCGAAATCTTTGTTTCAAGTCTCTCTTTCGCTTCTCGATGTCCCCTTCGTGTCTCCGGTACTTGTAGCCCACTCTCGTCTCTTCCCTGCGTCCCTCCCTCCTCTCCCCTCTTTCCCTCCTCTCCTCCTCACCCCTTCTCCTCTCCCCCACGTCCACCTCCTCACGTTCCTCTCTCCTCTCCGTCACTCTCTCTCGTCTTCGATCAAACCTCTCAACCGAACGCCTCTCTGAGTAATCGTCCAGTCTTCTCGTTCTAGAATACAAATACTCTCTCTTTGTGCGTCCCTTGGGCGGTGCATCTGGATCATCGGGATCAATCCCCTGCTGCGTTCAGCAGTGAGTAGAGTTTCTCCAGCGACCCCCAGCGTTCGACGGCAATCTCTTCCACGGTGTGGCCACTGTCACTGGCTTGCTCTATAGCTCGTTTGTACGCTCTCAACAGCCAGCTGTGTCCACCGTCACCGAGTGGTCTCTTGGGCCGCCGAGACGACGAAGTAGTGTCCCGAGCGTGGTTTGAATCGGGAGCAATGGTTTCATCGCTGGTTGAAGGGAGGCCTTTCCCGCCGTCCTTCCAGAAAGGATTTAGTTCCCTTGGGTGGTGTCCAGGCTTGTCTAGATAGTTGGTCTGCAGAAATGAAAGTAACACGAGAAGTGCATGAGCATGTTTTCACATACTGTAAGAATCTTCTTGGAGACATGGTATTGTGTGTATTGACAGCAAAACACTTCTGAGCTAATACAGAGTCATTTCAATATAGATTACATGGAGTTCTTAATTTGACAAATTGTTCTTGCTGAGAGAGTTGGGGAATCTTAGAAGCTACAAATGAAAATTGCTAACCTCTCTCTCCTTCTCCCTCTGCTTCTGTCGCTCCTCCTCCGTCCCTCTCTGCCTCTCTGCGAGGAGAGAGAGGGTTCTGTCGGAGGCCCCCAGAGGCATCGTCATCCAGTCTTCTCTCTTTAGTTTTGCTGGACCCGGGGCCTCAGTAGCACCCACCACTCCTCCTGAACTGTGGAGACACACGGAGCATAAACACTAAGGGTGAAATCAACATTGTACAGCAGTTTCTAGATTCAACGAAAAAGCCTTCTTGTAAATCAGCTTGTCCACATTAGTCAACATTGGGGGGATAAAGAAGTATCAGCTTTTTCAATTTTACTTTTGTAGACCACCTTTTCCCGCTAACCAGCTGCAAACTTTATCATATACCTGGGGTTTTCAGTTTCAGTTACAGATGGAGCCGAGGTGGTCCCCTTCTCAATCCACATCTCTCCTTCACTCTCTGCTCCACTGTCACTTTCACTTTCGTTCTGGCTCTTTTCCGTTTTCGAGCGGTCCTTCTTGTGCTTTTTCTCTTTCTTCTTTTTACGTTTCTTCTTCTCGGAGGAGTGACCCGTCTCTCCCTTGAACCCCAGGCGTGTTCTCACGGCAGGGACAATCCAGGTGTCTTCGCCACGGGCTCGTTTCAGTTCCTCCCGCTTCCTCTGCTTCTCGAAGCTTTCCCTCGCTTCTCGGAGAGCCTCATCTCGCATTTCCTTCACATCTTTCTTCCTCTGCTCGCGAGCAGCCTCCAACTCGCGAGCGGACACAAACGACATGCTGCCGATGTCTTTGGTGAGCATTAATTAGAGTAAACAATTGTAACTTGACCTTTGACATACCGATGATGGTGCGCACTATTTAGCAAAATGAAGGCAGTCTGCTTGGTAGCGGTCCTGTGGCTATTTCTGAGTGAGTACGGGGAAATTCTGCTGCAGCTCAATGAAGCATGCCTATTTGCAACTTCTAGATGTTCAAGTAGCTCGCTGCAATGAAGAGCCGACCGAGAAACCCACGGAAAAACCGGCCAACGTCAAGATAAAGATCGTCGATTCCCCTGCCTCAAGAATCACTCCATTTCAGTCGTAGGCGCAGCAGTTATAAGCCCCTGTATCTGTATACGTAATAAGCCCCTATAGGATGGGAGGCAAAGAGCTGCAGCTGAGAATTAAACCTGCAAACTTATCAGGTAACCAACTATGGTCTGCGGTTTTGTATAGCTGTGTTGTGTGATGTTTACAGGTCCTACTCACCTGTTGCAATTGGCTGGAGAGTGCTTTATGTTGACGGAGAAAGGGTGAGCGTAACATAACACACAAACTGAGGTGGTCTGTGTGCAGTGCTTACGTAACATAGTTATGAAAAATATCTTCCTTGTTCGTATCTAGGTACGAGTATCGGGTCTGTCCGTTCCACAATGTCACTCAAAAAGAGCAGAGAATTGCTTGGAACAGCTTCCACGGAGTTCTCGGGTAAGACTGTGTACCTATCGCATACAGAATAAGTTTTCTTACTGGTGAACTGTATTGTAACTGCATATAATCTGTGACGAACTGTGTGTGTGTGTGTGTGTTGTTCCATAGGGTGTGGAGGGAGTGGGTCATAGAGAATGATACATTTGTCGGGATGCACTACGTGATGGGTCAGGAATGCAGTATCGGAGAGCGCGAAGTGAAGGTTTCTCTTCAACTGCAGTACAATGACCCGACTGCACAGCACGTCCGAGCTGTCCACCTGTCACTACGTCGTATGGTTGGACACACCTCTTGCCTGCTTCAAGGGAGCCATGCAAGGCAAGGGAAAAGCAACAAAACTGGGCTCTAAATCTTTCCTGAGTTTAAGACTATGTGTATTATAGTGCTGAACCATGATACTACAACTTTGCTAATGTATGTACTGCTGAACGATGAATATTCTAAACTGAATTGCCAAATATTTTCAGTTGTGTCCGTATATATACAGTATGTACAAGGGAGTTGGTTAATACTCTCTGTGTCTGTGTGCAGTGTACCATCTGTTGAGTGCAGAGCAGTTGAATCAGTGGGAACAGTACGAATATGAATACTATGCTGATGAACTCACCTTCCAGGTACATCTTATAATATATACGGTTAGTTTATATTTGAGGGTATCTTACGGGACATTAGTCTGGAACCCTGTGCAAAAATTATTCATAATGTAAATCTTACACTGGCCCCTTTTGTTAGCTCTGCATGTAACATTTTCACTATTAAAGCCCCTGACTTTCAATATTCCCAAATTTGGTCAAGTAGACTATGATGTTAACTTTTGACGTTAATTGGAGTCCATTATTTCAGGGAGTGACAAAGAGGAGAAGAAAGATACTCACAGAGGCCGGTCTCTTGTTTGACAGTGAGAAGGAGAAGGCGAGGCTGGAGGTGGAGAGGAGACAGAGAGAGGAGGAGGAGGCCAGGGAGAGAGAGAGGAGGCAGAAAGAACTGCAGGGGAACCCGCTTTTCAAGAGCACTCTCTCTGTCTGTCAAGAAGTAAGTGAGGAGTACTATATTAGGAAACTTTGAAAGGAAAAATCTTAATGATAACAGAAAATCTCGCTGGGGAAAACCTCCATATTATGTAGTACACACGTGCCTACAAAATTTAACTATCACACTCGACTTAAATACCTTGAAATTCGTGAAATTTTCAATCCTCAACAGTTATTACATGTATATACCTCTATTTCAGGAGAGAGAGCAGTTGAGGAAAGATCTGGAAGAACTGACTGGGAAAATCCGTGGGGTTATCAAAGACTTCCCAGCGGTTGCCTACAGACTTGGGTTTCTCCAGAATTTCACCGATTCTCGGGGGAAATATGGGGACACTCCTGCCCCCGTGGAGGAGGAGAGAGTTGCTGTGGACGACCATGGAGCAGTGGAGGTTGCAGCTGTCGTCGTGGATGGCAGGGAGAGGGAAGGAGAGAGGGAGGAGGGAGAGGAGGAGGAGGAGGGAGAGCAAAGAGAGTGGAGTAGAGGTGGGTTTTTGGATCACAATGAAGTGGACGAGGCTCAGCTTGACAACATACTAAAAGAGGTGTGTTTTGGCTATTTCTTAAGAAATATAAGATATAAGCAAATTTATCTGATCTGCCAGGTTTAGAGGGCACCGTGATGCACAGAACCGCTAGAATTTTGCATCGCGTTTGCTCACCAGTGTGTTGAATATGTAATGTACCAACACTTCTGTATTGTGTGTTGTGTGTGGTCCATTTCTCAGATAAATGAAGAGGTCGAAGAGAGAGATGCGCTGGAGCTGAGACGGGAACTTTCCGAGCTGCCGCCACCCAAAAAGAACAAGCCACGGAAACAAGATACAGAGGGGGAGAGAGGAGAAGAAAGAGGAAGGGAGATAGAGACAGATGAACAGCTGCTAGAACTTGTTGAACAGTTGCAACTAGCACAGCAACAACCCGCATAATTTTTAGTCCCAAAAATAGAGTGAAGTCATTACGTGCGCACTAAATGGAATTGTAGGAGTAGCTCGCTCGTTCTTCGGTTTCCTCCACGAAAGCAGCAGCACTGATTCAAGACAGCATGGATCCCTCGCCGTACGCAGAGCAGCGGTACAAAGATGGGCTGGAGTGCGCCAAGCGGGCAGTGCAGTACGACCAGGAGGGACACTTCAGCGGGGCCTTGTCGTTTTACAGCGAGGCCGTGGCGGCGCTGAACCACGCGTGCTCCATGTCTCCGGCCTTCCTGCCCATACAGTCGCAAGTCGCCGAGTATTCCCGCCGCGCGGACGAGCTCAGTAGATACCTGAAGTCAAACAGGCCGCCACAAAGTGGGTGCCTTTGGATTCGGACACCAGTGGAACCGTGTCCTAATAAAGTTGTCCTCATTTCAGGAGTGTACCTCCATACTAGCTTGTGCCCGTATAGTGTTTAGAAGCCTATGTGACTGCGTATTCTTGCTAGTGTGTGACTTATATACTTCCACAGGACAGCAGATAGTAAGAGAGTTATCTGTTGGGACACTTGACAGAGACAGTGTAAGTTGTTGAGTTGTTGACTCTCACTTTTCTCTCTTAACACTACCTCTCTCCCTCTCTCTCTCTCTCTCTCTCTCTCTCAGCGCTACCTACAACAGATGGAGTACCTGTTCGAAGTGGCTCTAACAGACGATGAGAGGGGGAGACGTAAAGAAGCCGAAAGTCTGTACAAATCGGCTATCGAATTTGCCCTTGAAGCTGTAAGTATAAGAATTCCCACTGATCATACCCTCATATTATACACATGCTTGCCAACTGTATGTGCATCTATCAATTATCTATAGCAAAAGAAGATAAGAGACCCAGCACAGAAGGCCAAATTGCTCGCGCTCGCAACGCAAGCAGTCGAGCGACTGGAACAGCTAAAGCAGAAGAGCGAAGCTTCGGCGCCCGGACTGGACGACTTGCTCGATCAACTCCCTCCTCCTCCCTCCAGTGAACCACTGAAGGAAACGTCAAAGACCTCGGGTCGAGGTGCCTCCGCAACAGCAAGAAAATTTATCGGCAAGTTTTAACTCTGCAAAATATTTAATGGTATATACCTGTTGAAGTTCAATGGACAAAAATGTGTGTAAAGCAGATACATAGAAACATATATACAAATTAGGGTTTTCATATGAAAATGACTTCTTTTCCACCTCAAATTACTCTGCCTAGAGAGAAGTCTTGCTGGTTTGAGTCTTTGGGGAACAGTGCGTCATTAAATTTTGTCGCTTCCCTGTTTTAGGACCACTGACAAGTTTTCTGGACGCAGACCCTGACCTTACGAAGCCACCTCAGTTCACCGCCTACAGCTCCAGCGAGCCTTCAGGGGTGGAGCCTCACCTAAACCACGCCCACGTGCCACACCTACTCCTACTGGAACTTCCGGCGGCCGTAGACCAAAAGGAGGTCGTTTTACAGACACTGAACTGAAAGTTTTACGGTAGGTGCTAGACATGTACTACAGTGGAAATCCAATTCTGTTACTTTCAGTGTGTTAAAATGCAATTAAAATATCTTACGCATTAAAACCTGTGGCAATTTTATTTTGGACACAAATTTTCACCGAAGAAGAATCAGAATTAGAAACAGAGCTACTGTACATCAAGAATCAACAGCATAATTTTTAGTGAATTACTGTGAATCGAGTGTAAAATGTATTGGCCATGATGCAGGGCAACGTCAAAAATCAACCGCCTTGTGTATCCGCCATGGAGTGACGCTGACCTCGCCGTATTGCGAGCCATCTCGCCAATCGCCCAGGACTTCTGTGACCCAGATGGGCTCCCTGCTCTGGCCACGAAGCAGAGGTCGCATTTCCAGGGTTGGATGAGGCCGCACGAGCTGTGCGAACTGCCCAAAATGGTCCACCTCATCTCCAGCTTCACAATCAAACAGGTGAACTGGTGAAAGATTTGAGCGAGCGATATATGTGGGAGGAAAATACGAACGGTTAGACTTGGGATAATTAGGCAGTGTGAGACTGTGCATGAGTTGAAAATTCATTGAAATAGTGACTCTAATGATTTTCTTGCCCTTTCTCTTCCTTCCTCTCCTTCCTCTTTCTCTCTATATAAATATATACCCTGTATAAACTCTAGAGCATCATAGGAGACTGTTCATTTGTTGCCTCTCTGGCCATCTGTGCCGACTACGAACGGAAGTTCAAAACCAGACTTGTCACACGGTATGCTGTATATACATTGTATTCTCCACCACATTACAGATGCTCAATTCTGTGGCACTTTGCCGCGAATCCTCTATTTTTCTGGCACTCTGCGTTGTTTTTTCCGTTCTGTGCACTCGGTGTTGAATTATTCACGAGATTCCACCCGTCGTTCCATGCAGGATAATCCACCCTCAGAACAGGTCTGGGGAACCCATCATTAACCCCCACGGGAGGTACATGGTCTCTTTCAATCTGAACGGCTGTCGACGTAAGATCGAGTTTGACGACAGACTGCCGGTCGGGAAGTACGGGGAGCTACTGTGCTCATATTCCAGTAATCACGACGAGTTTTGGATCAGTCTGATTGAGAAAGCGTACATGAAGGTCAGTATACAACATACCACGGTTTAGTTGGACATTTTCGTGAGGTGATTTCCATTACTTAATGAGATCGAAACGGTGTGATATTTTCGTGATAGCTCACATGGGGAATCTACCCCATCATGTGTGAAATTCTGTACCGTGTATCACATACATACTTGATCAATTTTTATCCTAACATCGTTAACAGTTGACATGCATAATGCGTGCCTGCAACACATGTACAGGAGTATAGCTAGCTAGCAAGCCTTAAAACTCGCCAGAAATCAATGATACTTTACATCACACTTTTTACTAAGAACACTGTACGTGAACTAAACACACATGTACGTACTGCGTGGGTCTATCGGTATTGTACTTGTGTTATACCGCTGCCAAGCAACGGTCGCTTGTGTTCGTGTGACGTGACAGCAGTCACTTTAGTCATTCATATCCGAAGACTCGGCTCTTACCAGCTGGAACAGCATGTGGCAGTTTCCCTCACGATGGCACGACATTCCCGACAGACTAAAATGGCTACCCTCTCCTCCTCCTCGTCCTCTTCCTCTTCTCCTCCACCGGTTACTCGTGCTCCACCAATCCAACTAGCTGCGAGACAGTTTGTCACGTGGTAGTGAGGCCTCAGAAAAAACGGTTGCCCCGACCATTCCCGCTCATCAGGCAGCCAATCAGATTCGAGGAGCGTCTTATCCCTGCGATCCCGGCAGTCTACGAGTTGGAATCGCGCAAACTGCGGCCGAACAGCTGCTTTGGCTTTTATTTTTATCCTCGTGCTCGTCGGGAGGTGTTTGAATATGGTTTTACGGCTCACGTGGACGTAGCGCTCCACATTCGAAGAAATTCCCTTCGTACTGTCGCCAAGGTGATGCATCATGCCGGGGCCACCGTCTCCATGGCGACGGTTTCCATAGTTACCACCGCGACTCGTCACTATGTGTGGAAATTCGTTGGCGTCTCCGGGCGGGCTGACAGGCGAAGACAACATACCTCCGTCGGTCTCATATTCTAGAGCAGTGGCTGGCTCGTGAGGTACTGGCTGCTCGCTGCACCGAGATTGCCGTCGTTGATCTTCTGTGCATTTCGATCCGTTGGTGTCGTACGTGGTTATGAAGAAGTACTTTCCCATTTTCCTGTGAAAATGAAGTGTAATATTTTTTGAGAGTTCGATCGAATGTGAACAAAACTCCCTATCAAAGCCCCTGTACATCTGATGCTAGATATATTATACGCCGTAGCAGCAGCGAGACCTTGAGATTATCGTACCTGCAGTCAGGTCGAATGAAGAAAGTGGAGGCATGTTGGGGGCTGGTGGCGAGTCTGATGTAGTGGGTGACCACGCCCCCTCTACCCCTCTCCTCCTCCACCCTCCAGAAGATGTTCCTGTCTCCCACCACCCTCTCCGGGGTCATGATATAATACGGTCCATCTGCAGTTGATGGACACACCTCTTTTATGGCATTCTACGGTTGAAATAGACACTCTTGTTGAGTATAGGACACACCTCTTTTATGGCATTCTACGGTTGAAATAGACACTCATGAGTATAAGACACACCTCTTTTATGGCATAGTATGGTCAAACAGCAGTGAAACCTCTTATAATGGAAGCTCCTTTATAAAGACACTTTTGTTTCGATCCAGTGCTAATCTATTTAAACAGCATGCAACCTCTCATTAACTCACTGATCCTGTGGAGGCGTGGTTTGATGTAACGCTGAATGGCCCTCTGGACAGACTCCCTCAACGGAGGGTCGGTCACCAGATTAGCCAGCGACGTAATGGAATAGTTGATTACCGCTTCGTGATATGGAACATCGTCACTCGCAGAGATTCGCCCAATTTTCTCGCTGTGCTGGACCTGTTTGCATTTGGATTTCCGGACGATGGCCTTTGCAGCAACGGCTCCAGCCATGGGACTAAACCCAGCCCTGCCCCTTATTGTGCTGCCTATGTCTAGAGCCTGTTAAAAAGAGGAGGGAAGGAACTTAAGACCTCTAATTAACGTGTTTGCCATATTCGTGGGAAATTTCATAAGTGTGCTTTCAGTATAGCGTAGACTACTTTTCCACTGTATATGCTGAACCGGAAATAAACACTTGGTAAAATTGACTGTGGGTCTGTAGATGTCCATAAACGTTTTGTTTTTGTACGCTTTTTGACGGTCGCTTCAGCTTTAGACCACTCACCTGTACTTTCTTGACGGAGTATTCCATTGCTCCCAGCGTAATGGACGATACGTAGTGTGTGACTCCGCCCAGGGTGTGCAGAAATTCCAAACACAGACTCACGTCGCTGGCCGCATTCCGTTCCTCTTGCCTCGTTTCCTCGTACGCCCGTTCCAGGTGGAGTTTCAAATGACGTTGGAACGGAGTGTCATTGTCGTCGCTGGAACCGGACTTGGAGTAGGTGTGTGCGTGGATGTTGAATGCTATGGTCCGAGTGTAGACCGTCTTTCCTCTTATTTCCTGGGTCAGGCAATAGCTCCTATATACAGGGGAATAGGAGGCATTAGGAGCTCATGAATATTCATAAGCTTGGTTGCACTCTCATTAGCCCCGTGGTCTATTGTTTTCACTGCTAATGACATTTGCGATTACATTGCCAGAGCAGCACTGATGGTTCAGTGGTAGAATTCTCGCCTGCCACGCGGGAGGCCCGGGTTCGATTCCCGGTCAGTGCATCTTTTTTTCCTTGGTTAGCAAAAATTTTTGTACACTCGTGCCTCCCACAAAAGTTTCCCCCCCCACACTAAAATTTTGTATACCTGTGTGTGTCAGCGTCCACACCGATCTCGATTGGCTGATGAGGAAGTCGAATCGCACCCTCTAAACTGCCGAGAACGTTGAAGTAGTTGTCGATGACCTTCACGTAGTTAACGAGTCTCTGGCCTTCGTCCGTGAGGACCAAATCACTCTGGAATAGAACCTGCAGAATTGGCAGACAGAGCTACGAATCAAAAGTAGTTTCAGTTCACCGATGAGTAGATACTACATAAAACTGATTAAGAGCAAGAAGAACCATCAGGGGTGAAGGGAATATTATGACAGTACATAAGGGTACGTAATGGCTAAATTTAGCAATGATACTAAAGATAGAACTAAACAACCCAGCACAAAATGCAACCATGTTTCTGTTTTAGTAACACTTTCTAAATTTAGCCCTTATATTGCCACGTTCCAATTCATCACAAAATGAGTGTTATCAGTGAAGGTTTTTTAACCTCCTTGGCCTGATATGAGGACTTGCTGGCCCAGGGGTGGGGGTTAGTGGCGTCCAGAGCCTTCCCTAGTCCCAGCTGAGCCAGCTGCACCCATTCCGTCTCCCTCACTCCCACTGACATCTGGTGGGAGGAAACAAGAAACCAGTTCCATACATTACTATGGGAGTTGAACCACTGACATTATAGCCCATACATTACTATGGGAGTTGAACCACTGACATATTACTATGGGAGTGGAACCACTGACATATTAGCCCATACATTACTATGGGAGTTGAACCACTGACATATTAGCCCATACATTACTATGGGAGTGGAACCACCGACATTATAGCCCATACATTACTATGGGAGTTGAACCACTGACATATTAGCCCATACTTTTGGGCATGTCACCGCATTTTAAAAACAAACAAGATTATACATATCTCAGTTTTGTAGAAGTTAGGGGAAATAACTTATCATTAAAATTGGAAGTGAGTGTGGGTTATTTACTGGTGTGGAAGGCGTGTCCACTTTTTTCCCCTTCTTGTTGTGTGCTCTCGAGGGGTCCTGGGAGACCCCCCTCGCTAGCAAAATTGACGAGGGGGGCTGAATATTTGACCCCGACGTCGGGGGAGTTGAATTTTGTTTGGGGGTCGCCGTTGTGGGAGGTTTTGAGGGGTTTCTTGTCGGGCCAGCTGAGGAGGAGGTGTGTTCACTTTCATCGTCGCCTCTGTGGAAAAGAAAGTGTCACCGTAGATAAAAAAAATCCAGCAAAAGGGGTAATACATGAGTATGATCAGTGACAAAAGCGCTCAATTTTCGAAGTTTATGCAGAAATTCTAGTCGATGCAATGCGAGTGTACGAAGAAAAAATTGTGCAAATTTATGCCAATCTGTGTTCCATAGTTCCCATATTAGAGCAGTGATGATGTAGAATTACCCAGTGGCTTTAGAAGAAGCAACCGACGGCAATGAAGCATGCACCATTGCCAGAGGATGGGTCACCCAATAAGGGGGTAGAGTTATCTGTGGTGGAACGGTGACAGGCTGGAATGGAGTGGGGACAGGCTGGTATGGAGTGGAGACGGGCTGGCCGAGAAGCGGCGGGAAGTTGAAGGGATTATACCCAGAGGTTGACGAAATGGTGCCAGGAATCCTGGTATGGGTGTCTGGAATGGAGACTGTAGCTGGAATGCCGGTATGGGTGTCTGGAATAGAGACAACAGCCGTCCTTGGTACTGACCCTGCTCCTGGCTCATCCATTCCTACAACAGAACATTCATCTCAAACCGACTTTTACTAAACATTCTTACTACACTTACTCTCTCTTTACTTCTTCGTTTCCACCCGCCCTCTCTCTTTCTCTACTAAGGTCCGGTCTTTAGACTTTTAGCTCCAAACTAGACTTTTGCAGTGTTTGGAAAGAGCGACTTGTTTTTAACGTTGAGTATATATGTTGTCCTTGGCTGTGTGGAAGTTGGTGTTACACAAAGTGTCGAGCGAAAGATAAACGCAGAGAAAAAACACATTGAAAGTTAGAAATGTAAACTGATTGGCTTCCCTCTGGGTTTTTTTAGCCGAACCATTAGAACAATGAACTAACTCATACCTACACCGTTATCTTACGTTTTCGCTTCCTTCAATCTCCTCTCTCTCTCCTCACACCTCAGGTAATGGGTGGGTACGACTTCCCTGGATCAAGCTCGGTAAGTCGTGCACTACAGTGGAACTCTCTGATCCAAACACCGCTGGGACAGAAGAAAGTGTCCGTATTAGTGAGGTGTCCTTATTTCAGGGGTTAAATTACCCGCAAGAACTGTTCTTGGGGAAAGAAAATGTGTCCTTGTTAGAGAGGTGTCCTCATTTCAGGTGTGTTCTTAGAGAATAAACCCCCTCCAACTCCATACATTCCCCCTTTCCTAACTCATCAGAATATCGATCTCCATGCTCTGACTGGCTGGATTCCGGAGAGAATCTCTCTGAAGAAGGACGGCAAGAGTAGCAGCGATGGCGGCGCTGAAAAAGACAAAATCTTCAAGAAATTGGAGACTTCGCTCAAAAAAGGTGGAAATGTCAATCCTTAACGCTAACATACAACATAGGTACATACATGGGCAAGGTTTTGTGTTAGACAATAGACCAATCTCATGCATTGCGTTGAAGGCAATATTTTGTACATTTGAAATTGACAGCCGAAAGATGCACTGTGCACCCTGTCCTTATCACTCCACTACTACAATCCACTTACTTACTCGCCTGTGGGCGTGGCTCGTGTAGGTACCGCCCTCATCACCGTGGCAACGGGGTCAATGTCGGAGGCAGAGGAAGAGAGGGCGGGGCTCGTCAAGACTCACGCCTACGCAGTCCTCAGCATGGTGGAAGTGAAGGGGTTAAAACTGCTGCAACTGAAAAATCCGTGGAGCCATAGAAGATGGAAAGTAAGCATTAGTTGTTTGAATTTACGAAAAATGACGAAAAGGGACCCTCTGATATAATAGGATACCTCTCTATTATTATAGTACACTTGTGTCTGCCCCATATAGTACTGTGTATTACCCATAATACTGAGTCCTAATGTCCCTTATTTCAAACAGTTAAACCCTCACATTTGTTGGAAAGCTAAGGGGTTATATTTCATGAGAAATTTGGGAGTCAAAGGGTTTTAAAAGATTTTGTGGTATGCATGGTGCAGGGAAAGTATTCAGAGAATGATACTACAAACTGGACCCCAGAACTGAGCAGAACGCTGAACTACGACCTGACGCAGGCACGCCAGGTGGACAACGGTGAGAGGGAGGTCGAGAGGGATTTGACCTCTGAACCAATCGAGAGGGATTTGACCTCTCGAGAGGAGGTCGAGAGGGATTTGACCTCTGAACCAATCGACCCCTTTGTGTGTACCACAGGTGTGTTTTGGATAGACTGGAAGTCACTGCAGACGTTCTACGACGTCATTTACATCAACTGGAATCCGGCACTGTTCAAACACAAGTCGACCATCCACGAGTAAGGAAGACCTTTCACCACTGTATCACACTATCGTTTACCAACTTCTGATTTTTTTGACTGTGTATTTGCTGGCTATCTGTAGTGTGTGGGTACCAGGTCACACACAGAAAGACCTCTACGACGTCAGTAAGTTCCCTCTCAGTAATCTATCCCCCGAGTTGGTAATCTCCAGTAATCTCTGGTGTGTGAGTCAGTAATCTCTCTACCTTCCAGGCAGTAATCCTCAGTATTCTCTCAAGATCCATAGTCCAGTCCATAGACCTCTGGTCTGGGTGCTTCTCACTCGACACATTACAACAAAGGTTCGTTTTTTGGAAATTTATTTAAGGCTACCGTACTTCACAGTTTATGAGCCTTCTGCGAAGGTTTTTGTGAAATTTTGTGAGCTAGATATTAAGGGATTATTAGACTTTCCCCCACTTGTTTTCTGAAAGGACTATATACAAGACTTCTTTCTATGCAGAGTGATTTTGCCAACAATGAAAAGTTTATCACTCTCAACATCGCCGCTACCGACGGGGGCAGAATCTATCTCCCTGACGACATGGTGGTGTACGGAGTAAAGATAAACACGCCTCATTACCTCGCCAAATTGGAGGAGCTGTCTCCTGGCGACAGCACGTTCACCGTCATCGTATCGCAGCTGGAGAGTCTCAGTGCCATCCACTACACCCTCAGGGTGTGTCCATACATTATTATGACATCGTGTCAATTTTGCATGAGCTCGTGTTTTTTCCAGGTTTACTCCACATGTGAATTCTCAGTCGCTCCGGTACACAATCCCTACCATCACTCTGAAGAGGTTCGTAGTCCTTACTTCTTGCACTCTCTTGGATTACATCATTATGACATCATCCATTCTTATATACTTATGGGACTAAATCTTTATGACATCATCCATTCTTGCATTGTTGATCAACTCATTATGACGTCATCCATTCTTCTTGTATACTGTTTCTGAGGTTACATCATTATGACATCATCATATCCATCCTTGCACTCTGTACTGTGTGTATATGTAGCTGAAGGGGGTGTGGCAGCCGGGGACAAGAGGCGACGCCTACTTCAAATTGACGACCAATACATTTGACTCCAAACTACTAGTGAAGCTAGCCGGTCCCAAGTAACCATGGCAATAGTGTATATTATGTATGTAGCTATGATTTGGACCGGTTGTGTTCCGTGCAGGGAGATTTTCGTGCAGACTGGAATAGCGCCGGCCTCCCCCTCGGCCGAATTTAACCCCTTGGACACTGGGGTGTACAGACCCGGCGTGACGTTTATGGAGGTTCCCTCTCTTCCAAAGGGGGAGTTCAAAATCTCTACCAAGTTTATCACGGGCAAGACTGTTCCTTCAAAACCAGTACCTTTTATAGTGACAGTTCAGTCCAGCCAGGTTTTTAATTTTGAGCATTATTGATAACCGCCTGTATCATCGCTTGTTATCTGTGCCTCTATATCTTTCATACAACCATACCCAGAAAGGGTTTTGTCCCGGTTTATGATGTTTTACGTGGTATTGCAGGCTGAATGGTTCGTTTCAAATTGCTGTATTTGTCAGAGGGTTATAAGTGAATAATTGCACGACATGATAAATATAAGTGGAGTGATATGGTTGAATAGTGAGCCATACAAACCAATACACAGAGAAGAGAGTTATGAGGCTATTATGGGAACAGGGGATGAACTCTACGACTCATGAGGCAATTGTTGAACTGTTTCAGAATTTTCAACTGAGGATACTTTACTGTTCTCTGTAGCAGGAGGCAGACCGTGGCTTTCTGTTTCACTAGCGGTGCAGTTGGTGATGATCTCTCCCTCTCTCCCTCCCTCCTCTTCATCTTTGTCGGTAGACCGATTCTCAGCTTCACTAGTGGTGCAGTTGGTGATGCTGCGTTCTGTCACTCCCAATGGGTTTTGTACGTGGATAGTTTCTTCTAGTTCCCCCTCCCTCCTTCCCTCCTCTTCGTCTTTGTCAGTTGACCGATTCTCCGCTTCACTTGCGGTGCAGTCGGTGATGCCGGGCAATGAATCTTGCTCGTGGAGCCTTACATTTTGTTCAACATCTCTCCCTCCCTCCTCCCTGCTGTGTTGGTCGGTAGACATATTCTCTGATTCACTAGCAGTAGCAGTGTTGATACTAGGCAGGGTGGTGTTGTTGTTCCCTGACGAACTTTGCTCATGGATGACTTTGAAAACGCCCTCCATTTCCCTGCTGCGTCCCTGCCCCGCCTCCTCCCGTTCTCCTGAAGTGCTGACGCTGCGGTCAAGCAGGGCCTCAAGGGCCTTGTCGGAGATGATTACATCACTGCTATCGACGACTGTCTCGTGGTCCACTGACTGGAGCAGTGATGTGAGGTCCTCCAGTGACAGCTGCTGATCCTCTCCTGAATAGCCCTTGAACTTTCCTGCGCCACATCAAGGAGTTGTAAATTGCTACCACTTACATGTGTGAATGCATAAGTAATCACATGAATGAGTGTAAGGCTCTCAACTTCCACATGATGTACATGCTTCTCTAAAAACTTCCGAGTGAAGTTCACTCACTTACTGAGTAATGTAAGTGCGTACATAAATAAGTGATAGCTCTCTTCTCCGGTTTCCTCAGAAATATTAATCCACCTATGAACTGGTAATGCTCTACCTACCTTGACTCACTCATCAAAATGTGTTGCATAACGAACGCACTACGTACCTTTGTGAATGACCATTTTCTCCAGCCTGCGTTTGCTGTTGGCCCTCTCCACGATCCTCTGGTCGAATGTATTGGCAGTCACCAGTCGGTAGACCATGACGGGCTTCGTCTGTCCGATCCGGTGACACCTGTCCTGAGCCTGCAGGTCCGCCTGCGGGTTCTGACGGAGAGAGAGAGAGAGACAACAGGACACCGTATCAGGACAACATAATATTAGGACGACCTGAAATCATACTCGGCTCTACATATGAACACATCGTTTTGGCATGTTGTAGGCGAACGTATTGAGGCATTTGGAAAGAATTTCGCAGAATTTTGGACAAAACACTCATGTCTGAAATTGGTATATAGGTTCACGAATTTTACACCTTTATGCCATGGAACTATAACATATATATTACAGACCTATACAACGACAGTTTCAGTAAAACAAACCCAGTCAGAGTCGTAAATAATGACAGTATCTGCAGCAGTGAGATTAATCCCGAGTCCTCCAGCCCTCGTGCTAGTGAGGAAGACCCAGCAATCAGGGTCTCCCTGGAAGACGGCCATCTGCGTCTGCCGCTCGCTGAACTGCATCTGTCCGTCCAGCCGCCCGTAGCCGATGGATCTGAGGTCCATGTAGTCGGCTAGTAGGTCCAGCATCGTGGTGAACTGGGAGAATATTATGGTCTGGAGGAGAAGAGAAGAAAATGAAAATTAAAACTGATGCATGAAAGGCTGATATGAAGGTAAAGAGGGAGAAACAACTTGCCATTTAGACACATTCAATAAGGCATTTACATGCTATTTAAAAATAGTGCGCTAAAGGACGCAGATGAACTGAACCTTGTGTCCTCTCGTGATGAGAAGTGGGAGGAGTCTGTCGAGGATCATCATCTTCCCGCAGGATGACACGAGGTCTTCGTCGATTCTGAACTCTCCGTCTGAGGTCATCGGGAACTCCAGGAGATATGGGTGGTTGCAGCACTTGCGCAGCATCATCCACACATTGGTCAGCTTGATGTTGGTGGCCGACCTCTTGGACAGGGGTCTGTGGTGGGAGAGGAACAAGTGGGGGAGGAGGAGGGGATGGAAAGAGGTCTGGGGCAGGAACAGAGAGAGAGAGCTAGGACCTTTCGACATGGGTCTGTGAAATAGTAGGGAAGAATGGTGGAAAGAGCTGGCACTATGTTACATTTTCTGTATATTTATGTATGTAGCCATTATCATAAGTTGAAAGCAGCAAGTCATTATGAAGGGAGTGTTGATTTTCCATAGCTATTACATATGTCCTACACCAACTGCTGAAGTGTAGGCAATTAGAGATGACTAATTGGGGTTCAGTGTCAACAAGTGAATGTGTTAGTTCTCCGTGAAAGAGGACAGATATGGAACGCAATTCCTCCTGCACGTAACGCAAAGTTGGTGTAATAATAATAGTACAAAATTATGAACTTCTTGCAAACTAAAGTTACACAGCAGTATGTATTGTATCATTAGGAAAAGATCTGAATACGATTGCTTTTGTGTCACAGACATAGACTGCTCCTTTCTTGTCTATTGTAACTCCATGTGGACCATGAAACTGCACTGGACCTTTTCCATATCTTCCAAATGACTTGATAAACTCTCCATCAGTAGAGAATATTGATATACGATTGTTCCGCTCTTCACCGACATACACTACATTGCCAGAGTCAATAGCGATACTGACTGGCCCGTTTAGTTCCCCCTCTCCTTCTCCCTTCTTCCCAAACTGCCTCAAGTACACTCCATCAACTGTGAAGACCTGGATTCTGTGGTTGCCACAATCAGCTACATATACATTGCCTTCTCTGTCAGTTGCTATGTCATGCGGCTGATTGAACTCTCCATTGTTAGAGCCCTTCCTACCAAAACTACTTGAGTACGTGAGGTCGGAGTTCAGAATCTGAATTCTGTGGTTGCCCCAGTCCGCAACATACACCTTGCCAGTGTGAGGATAAACTGCAATGCCTACTGGATGCTTGAACTGAAGAGGTCCACTGCCCCGGGTACCGACAGTTCTGAGGTGTTTGCCACTAGATGACAACTGCTGAATACGATGGTTGCTGAAATCCATCACAAGAATGTTTCCTTTGCTGTCTATTGCTATACCATAAGGACTGTTGAACTGACCAGGACCTGAGCCGCAAGTACCAAATGATTTCTTCTCTCCGTTGCCACTGATGATTGATACACAGTGACTATCACGTTCCGCTACCACCACCTCCCCTCCATCCCTGACAGCTATACTCAATGGCCCCTTGAGGCCTCCAATGATGTTGGCTGGAGCAATGAAGTTGGGTAGAACGGTGACAGTGAATGGACTGTTCAAGATCGGGTGCTCTTCTATTAGAATGTGGAGTTGATGTTCTCCAGTGACCTGAGGCTGGTAGCTGATGTCGTAGATGTTCTGATTTCTTCTCTTCACAGTGCCCCTGACTCGACTGCTGCCATCGCTAGCAACTAGCTCACACCTCAAGCTGTCTACAGGTCTGAAGTAGGCTTTTCCCTCCCTATCTAAAGCCTCTACAGAGACAGCCGCTGTTTGCCCTCTCGTGGCTACCTTGATTCCTTCACCTGAGGCTCGACACTTCTCAGGGCACACTGGATGACAGCACACCTTACCAAACTGCTGGCAAGTCTTCGCCAGTTCAGGCAGACTGTGAGCAAACACCATGTCGGCTTGCTCGGCAAGTGCCAATGTCTCTGGCTTGAAGCTGCCTGTCAGGTCGTTGACTTGTTTCACGAGAGGACTCTTCATCCTCAGAATCTCCCCCTGGCTGCAAGTACGTCGGCTCTCCTCCACAAAGTCCTGGCAGCTCCTCAGCTGGCCCAGTTGCAGTTCAAACCCGTCTCGCTGTCTGCCAAGGTCTTCAGTTTCTGCTGTGCCGTCTGCTCTGCTTGACCCACCAGCTCTATCTCCCTCACCTCTAGAGCTTGTCGCAGGTGTGCCATGGCAGTCCGGATCTCTGCCACCACAGCCGTCTTCTGTTCTACGACTGCAGCACATTCAGTGTCCACTGACTCAACGGCTCTTTCTAACGTAGCAATCTGTTCTTCCACTGGCTTGAGAGAGTCCACGATCACTTTCTCTTGCTTGGCAAACGACTCGGGCACCAGATCGTACTGGTGGTCGCGATGAACACGAACGATGCAGTCTCGACATATCAACTCGTCGCACGTCTCGCAGTAGATGTCTGCCTTCGTTTCCTGGTGTTTGGAGCAAAACAGAGTCTTCTTGAGAGGAGGAACGAGGGTGGTCACGTCTCCGGTCAAGGTGTCCAGGTCGATAAATTCGTGGGTTTTTAATTCGTCCCAATCCTGATGGAGTTCCTTGCAGCGCTGGCATGCAAACCCACAAGTGCGGCAAAAACCAACCGCTTCGAACTTCTTGCACTTGTTGCACATTGTGTGTTCGCTGGAGCTCACTTTCCTGAGGGCATCTTGGATGTCGAAAGAGGTAGTGGATGTAGAAGGCTCCTTGGAGCCCTGGGACTCCGCCCACCGGCAGTGGAGTGTCCTGGCGACATTGTGGACATGGGAGACTCTGTCCCCCACGTACCAGACGTTGCAGGCACTGCTCGCAATACACGTGGAAACACTTGAGCAGCCTCGGCTGTTTGTAGGGCTCCAGACATATCCCACAGGTGACCTGGTCCTCGATCTTCTGGAGAACTTTCTCAGCAACAGTGGAGGGTTTGGCAGCCATGGCTCTACTATCAGCAGACAAGCTAGAGAGAGGGTCTAGTCAAGACTGAGGCAAGCAAAGAGAGAAGAAGTAGGTCAGCTCAAGCAATAAGCAAGCAAAGGCAGTGGTCTGACTCCAAGAAATGGGCGAAACTGAAGTTGACAGGAAACAGCCCTGGATTTTCTCTCACTCTACCAATATTCACAGTCTGAGATCTACAACAGGGCAGTCACGTGGCCATATATGGAGATTTCCATAAGGCTATGAATAATGAGCTTACACAAAAGGTGAAAGGTCCACCTATATACATGTACTATGCGGAAAGGGAGTGTGGGTAGTGGTTTGAGAGGTGTAGGTCTCCACTAGCTTTGTATCCATGCTCTTCAGAAGTGGAGTGAAAGGAGCCTGGGGTATCCACTGCCTTGCAAATGCATGTAAATATGGCACAGTGGGTCCACGTGGCGTGCACATTACACGTCTGAGCTACCACTAGTGACTACTGTAAACGTATTCCTTAACACTTTACCAGCCGCGGACACATAATGTGTCCAGAGCCTACACAAGTCCATTCGAATTTATATGGGGTTCTAATACTAGGCGCTAATACTTTGTACATAAATTCTGCTTCTTTAAGAAGATACTCATGGCGTACAAAGGGTTTTAAAGGAGGAAAACAATACTCACAGTTTGTTGTTCTTGCCATCCTCTGGTTTCACCAGTTCCTCGTAGCTCTTGTCTCCCGAGAGGAGGCTCTCAAATTGGTCATCACTCAACTGGGCATACCTGCAGTATATACAGTATTACTAACTACATTTATATCTAGCGTACTACACAATTGAGCATACATCACGTATCACTAAGTACGGTAGTACTTAGTATATAGGGATGACACAGGTTGTCCTGCATTATGCCCATACATTTGAGATTTGTATGTTTCACTTTTAATAATAGTATGCATGAACATATATTAGCATGCACAGAGAAATGGATAGACGGTACAGCTGCCTACAATAATACTGTATAGCTGACCCTTTGCTGCGAGCTGTTCTGAGTCTTGGTTTCAAAGTCGAGTCCTCTGCCGCTGAACCATCGCCCGACTTTCCCTTCACCTGCAGACATTGTACACCATAAGAGCAAAACAGTGTCACGAGCACATCACTTACAATACGCAAGAAGGAGAATATTTTACTATTTTATAGCGATAAACAGCCAAATGTAATAGGTTTCCCTGCAATTCTCTCTAGTTTTGCCAGAGATTTGGAAAGAAAAGGTTTTGTGCCGTGGACAAGTTTCTTGCCGCCCACCATTTCCATGATGGTCCTGTCCAGTAGAGAAGAGTAGTATTTCTGCTGGACTAAAGTGAGTGGAGCGTACACCACCACCTCCTTCTTGGGAGGGAGAGAGAACTCCACGTCCGTTTTCAGTCTCCGCAGCAGAAACGGTGTCAAGATCTGTGTGGAGTTAAGGAGTAAACCCCGGTAATTAGGGCATCGTTTTTGAGTGGCGGTGTAAGCACCAAAAAAATTTGACTGGTGGGAAATCAAATTTCACTTAAATGCTCCAGTAAAAATACGTCCCAAATTTGATCTCAGATGGCTTTCAAACCTAAAATTTTGCTCCTTGTAAAAAATTTCCCACTACGTAATATGTACATATGTACCTGGTGAAGAGTTGATAGGACGTTTTGCTCTCTCTCCTGAGCAATGATCTTTTCCCTCGTCTCTTCACCGCTCACGTCGAAATCAAACCACGACTGGAACCTGGGGAGTGGACACGAGAGGTCAGAGAGGTCGAGAAGGGAACAGATGTTGCCAGTGGATTGTTTGAGAAGAAGCACAATCGGTAATTTTAACGGCCGCCTGGTGTATAGATACATGTCAAAGGAGTACAGTGACACTCTGAAAAAGGACCTTCTGAATAAAAGACACCTCTCTATCAAGGACACTTATTTCTGTCTCATTATAATACATCTAGTGTATACTACATACGTGTACATATTACCTCTAAATAAAGGACACCTGTATGAATAAAGGACAATTTCGATGTTCCCAAGGTTTAGGGTGAAGTGTGGACAGCTCACCCGTTGAGGTCGTCAAAGATGTCGGGGAGGATGAAGTTGAGGAGAGACCAGAGCTCTGCCAGGTTGTTCTGCAGCGGGGTCCCCGTGAGCAGGAGACGGTTGGCTGCGTCGTACGACTTGAGGGCTCTGTGCGTGTGTGTGTGTGTGTGCGTGCGTGTGTGCCGAATGGTCAATATAAGTGAGTATGTATTGCTTCCAGCTCCCACGCCGGGCGCCGTCAGTTTGCTCATATGTGGATTATACATGGCTAAAGATTTGAAGGTTTTTTTTTACACAACACTACCGTATTTGTGTATCCTGGCAGATAAAGTTTTGTAATTGAATGGTTGGTGTTGGGTCTAGGTAATTTGGGTAAGCCCCTGACCTGATGAGTTTACAGTTGAGGTTCTTGATGCGGTGACCCTCGTCCACCACCAGAAACCTCCACTTGCGGTACATGAGGTGTCGCTGGTCTCTCATGCATATCTCGTAGCTTGTCACCACCACTGGTAGAGTGTCCAACTGTGTGTGTGTGTGTGTGTGTGTGAAATCAGGACACAACTCCGTGATCAGGACATCTATTTAGGACACACTACAAACATCTCTCTTGGGACACCTCTGAAATGAGGACGCCTCCTTAATAAAGACGTCTTCCCCCTCCTGATGCAATTCTATAAGGAGACCTCACTAACACAGACACTTTCTTCTGTCCCATTGGTGTCTGGATCAGCCACTGTACATACTATGTACCACCCAGATAACAGGATACCTCTATACATGTATGGAGCATTGCATGTGTTGTTGCAGTTATATATACCTCACTACTTTTCCTTTTCAGTGAGAACATCTTCCTCCTCATCTTCTCTCTCTCTTGCTGTGAGCCGTGGTAGAGGATCACTGGTATCTGTGTGTTCAAGAGATTCAGAAATTACGCACATGCTATGCAATAAAGAGCACAAAAAACAACGCTCCAAACGCTAAACAATCATTAATTTTAACAGCCACTTATTTCGACAGTACGTATGTCATGTGTACCTTAGGAGTGAATTTCTTGAACTCGGAGACCCAATTAGGGAGCGTTGAGAGAGGGGCTGCCACTATAAAAGGCCCCTTCACCCCCATCTCTATCAGGTGAGCAATCACCGCAATAACCTGCAGGGTCTTACCCAGACCCATCTCGTCAGCCAGTATACCGTTCACCCCGTTCTCGTAGAGCACCTGGTTGCCGTGGGAAAATGTGGTAACCTAGGCAACACACATGTTGTTGTCGTGGTAACAGTACCCCACCTTGATCCACTCCATTCCCACCACCTGGTAGGGCCTCATGATGCCTCCGGTCATCAGCTGAGGCTGGGCCATCGGGACCGGCTTTCCATTGATCATACCTATGTATGCACACAAGTATACATAGTAGCATCATAAAGAAATATCCCTGAATAGCTACGGTTGCTTCCTGGTTAATGCGGTGCAATCTGGATATCCTGATCAGTGAAGAAGTAAGTTGTCCAATAGTCTATAATAATATATGCATCATCTGCCCTCTACCCAGCTTCAAAAGTACCAGCATTCTCAATGCCACAGTTGTATATATAGCACTCCAACGTCCATGTATGTACGTACATTTTAATTAGTGAGGTAATTGTGTTTTAAGGTCTCAGTCAAACTGCTCACGTTCTTTGTCAGTTCCATTCTCGTTAGGTGTCGCAGTCTTCTTGGACGAGCTAGTGTCCACGGCTTCACTGACTCCGCCCCCTTTGTCCAGCTTCATCTGCTTCAGCTTACCCTACATGTACCAACAGGCAACCAAACTTTTTAAAAAACTTTCAGCACAACGTAGCTTGCAGGTTGCACTTGAAATCCCAAAACTTAAAGTTGCTTTGCTAAATTTTTAACGGGTAACAAATATTTTTTGTAGCTAGCCCTACCTAGTTGTGGAAGAGGCTGGGATTACAGCGCATGTATAAACCAGACCTTGTTGTCCATGAAACGAGAGAGTTCAATTGGTTCCTCGGCCTTTCTCTTTCTTGCTAGACCTGGTGCTCCTCCTGCGAGACTGAGCCTCTGTTGACTCCCCACGATCCTTGCCAGCAGCTGCCCTGCCCGGCTTCCTCTTTCCCTCGTTCTTCTGCGTGGACGAAAATATCTTTAGTTTTTGTCGAGGAAAAACATTTTTTTCCTTCTTTTTCGTGATTCTGGGAAAGAATGTTTTACTGTATGACAAATGATTTGAAGCAGCGCGCCCAACTAGTGCATGCAATCACAGGGATGAATTGAGGCAAATGAGAAAACTTTACTTAGAATACATCAGTACAAGTAGCAAATTTTGGGTGTGGCAGTTGCATGCACATGTGATCTCCCCCCACCTTCTTCTCTGGACCTGGTTCTCCATTCTCTCCAGCAGAAACTTGGAGTAGATGCTCGACTTCTGGAGCAGGTGCTGCAGTCTCATGTATCGCTGGTACTCTTTCATCTGAGACAGCTCTCCCACCTATATACACAGGGTCAGAGGAAGCTTCAAACTTGTATATACTTGCCGAGATATATAAAACCGATACATAACCTGCTTAGCTCATCACATCAATATCTTTTTCAACGGTAGAAAAGTACCACGATAGGGTAACTTTGCACAAATTTGAAAGAAGGCACATGCGGCAAACCAAACAACAAAAACTAGGACAGCATAAGGGGAAAAGCTGCACGTACTGATCTAGACATTTCACCTCTTCCCCGACGCTCTGTTCCCGCGATTCTCTCCCCCTCAGTCTCTTCTCTTCCTCCTTCATGTCCTCCGTGATGACTCCGCCCACTTCCTCTGGACTGGCATCTCTGGACCCCCCGTACCCACTGCTGCTGACACTCGATGCACCCTCTCCCTCTCCTCTCCCACCTTCCTCCTCTTCCAAAGGAGGTTTCTCAAATTCGCCGTAGCTTTTCGACGAAGAATCTTCCTTCTCCGTCTTGCTTTCTTCCACAATTTCTGGCGTATTGTCGGTTGTCTTGTGGGCAGCTGTTTCCATAGGCTCTTCATCTTCTCTCTTCACCACGAGCTGTTGTGACACAGTCTGTTTGCCAGCTTCCTCAACGGTGTCTTCATTGTGGTGCATTGCTTCTCCTACTTCGTTCTGATACTCCATGGCCTCCCCTTCTCTCTTCTCCACCGTGGGTGGCCTAGGCAGGGCACCTCCCACAGAAGAAACTAATCCTTCTTTCTGGTTCCCCAATTCCACCACTCGATCAAGTTGATTTTCAGACATGTCTGCCCCTCCATTCGTAGCGAGCAAACTGTGCTGAACTAACTCATTACTTCTCCTTTCTCCCTGATTCACTGAGTCCAATTGTTCTACCATCTCTCCTGATGGTTGTTTCACCGCCTCTGATCCATCGCTGCACATCAATTCCACTGTATGTTGATTGCGCCTCAGCTCTTCATTCAGTACCACTGATACCTTCTCTGTGGCTGTCGGTTGTGCTTTTTCAGTGCCAGTGTCACTAGTGTTAGCACCAGAATCAGTGCACTTTCCACCTCCATTTTGAACCCCACCCACAGCACCAATTACGACCTCATTACTTGGGGTGTACCCACCCGCATTACCCATGACATCATCATTAGCGGTATCAGAGGGTGTAGTTTTAGCTTCCTCTCCTCCACTAGAACCGTGCTGTTGTGCGTCTTCTTCCATTTCTCCACCACAGGTAAAGGACGTGCCGCTGGCTGCAGTGTGGAAGGAAGCAGAGCTGGCACCACTGTCACTGGGACTGCCGGCCACCGGACCAGTAAAACTTGTCTGACTGGTTTTGTCAGGGAGCAAGAGACCTGTTTCGACGCCAGCGGCCGTAACAACATCTTCCATGGCGAGACCCAGTACTAGTAAGGGCAGGGCCGTAACTATATATTCATGAAAGGAGGGAAAACAATAGCAACGGGAGAGCTTCCCTAAACGACGGGCTTCGTGTACCTTTCCGGGGCAGAGGGACTCTGGCTGAAACAGTTCGCTGTCGGCAAGGAGCGCACACCTCAGACACTTCACGCACTGCCGAACAGCAAAACCGCGCAAATATCCCGCGGAAACACATATGCGCATGCGCATTACGTTCGAGCGATGCCGCGCCCAAGCAAACAAACTTTCTGAAATCATAAAAGATACAAAAAAACAAGGCTAGTACTACGTACTAATTCTGCCAAAGCAATCTACGTTCAAAATTCTATCTTATTGAAAGGATTGTAAGGAGAAACCAGTGTTATGGTCTTTGACAGTGGCGACGTCCGTCTGAACGGAGACGGATCTTCCTCCAGCGGGATCTCCCTGGTGGAGAAAGGGTTAAAAAAACATCTTGAACAGTGTATTCAAAAGTTCAAGGTTTTCAGGTCGATTGAAACACTTGCACCATCAGTGATTCTGGTAAACTGTGATGGCAGTGGTATTGCTGTCTACCTGTGTATGCGTGCAGAAGTGAGAGGATTGGGGTGAGGTAGATCACTGTGGGCTGGCTCTCTCCTGGCCCAGTGGGTGTGGCCTGTATACCCCGGTATATTGGCTTTCCTGGGAGACCATCAGGATGAAATTTCAGTACAGTTGATAAAGACATTGAAAGTGTTTGGAGATAGTACAATACACTAGTATTGGGCAGAACCAAGTGTTCTTTGTAGAGAGGTGTCCTCCATCCAGAGGGTCCTTTATCAGAGGTTTCACTGTATGTATGTATGTATGCGTGGAGACAGTGTGATTTTTGTGGCGTACTTGCTGATTTTGGTGGGGTGGGGAGTGAGTCTGCGAACAAGCAATCTAGACAGGAGTGGATGATCAACTTCCCCTCCACTTCCCATCACATAGCCACTACAGAAACAGCGCCGTTTTAAATAATCACAGGAGTTAACCCCTCCAATAATGACTTACGTGTATCCTGGAATGTACTGATTATAACTTGTTGGAGCACGACTGTTGAAAAAAGCATCATTTTGGTTCATAGAACACTTATGATTATGCCAACTAATGCATACAAGTTGACTGGCTCCAGGGAATTGTAGTCTCCACATCTTGACTGCACAAAATCCCATTCTGGTCCGTACACCTGCAGCAAAGATGACATGGATTCAGCTTTGGTATGTGCTAACTAGTCTCAGCAGTATTTTCCCCCCCGTCATTCATGACCCCCTCCACTCCCTCGGCTGCTATTCACGCCCGGTAAGAGTCTATTCAGAGCCTCATACTCTGCCCTAACAGCTGTATTATACTCAGCCACTAAACCTATGTGCTGCATATCCCATAAGTTGACACGTACCATTACTTAGAGTTTGACTCTCAGTATAGGCCAATGATGTGTATATAGCCAACTTTAGCTAAGATGTTCAAAAACTGAGAGCTAGCCCATCAGCTAGAGCACGATTCTCAAAAACCCTATAATTATATTCAAGGCCATTCCACTAAAAAGTTTAAGTGGGTTGATTTTTCTTGTGTGTGGATGGGATAATGTTTTTACACAACACTAACATCAAGGTTGGTCAACTATTATATAACTGACATATATTCCACAGCAGTAAAGGCCCACCTGCCAAGGCTCGGGGCAGCTGTGGTATCGTCTGAAGGTGAGTTTCTGAGAGACGGGGTCAGGAAAATGCTCCACTGTGGAGACCGGGGGAGGAGGGGCTGGAGTGGCTCGCTCCGACCAATCCACCTCATTGTAGGCTCTTCAATCACACAAAACATTCCAAAATATAGCTACGTACAACGGCAGATTTCCCTGTACTATGATATACCTCTTTGTGGCTGAGGTCCAGTGATAACTCCGTGCCATGTTTTCCTTCATTTTCTCCACACTCACTAAGCTAGCATTTTCTTCCTCCCCCATGGAGTCAAGGTCAACTACTTTTGTACCGTCCTCTGTAACAGGCCCTTGCTATCAGCTAGTGATAAATCGTCTCTTGCTTACCGTCAGTTTTCCTAGCTGCTGTGGGGCCAGAGATGGTTAGCGTCCCCACGTCCCTAGTCACAACTCCTGCTGTCTTGGGTCGTGGGAGAAGCGAAGTTTTGCTTGGCAAAGAACGCTGCTGCATGCCTAGACACCGACAAGAACTGAAATTAGCTGCCTGTTGTTTAGTAGTTCTGATCCAAGATTTCTAGTGTGTGAATTTGCATTGGCTACCTTGTGCTGATTTCGCTGGTCTGCTGAATCTCCTCACCGCTGGCTGGGAGGTTCGCTCCGTCTGAAAGCGTTTTAGCTCCGTCTCTCCCTCTTCTCTTCTTCCTCCGGCCCCATATCCTCGCTCCGGCTTTGCCGCCGCGACTACAGACACCGACACTCTTTTTTCTTCAGCGAACTTTTCCGCCTGCGATGGCACGGGTTGCGGCGCAGGCTCGAGTTGTTTTCGAGCTTGTGTAATTTCTGCTGTGTCGCGCCTCAGACTCGGCTTTACAAAAATTTGTCGACTTTTGTCGTCACTAGGCCGGAGCGCCGGTGAAGTTTGGACGTGTGCGAGGGCCGTGGTCTTCTTGTAGCCTGGCTCGTGGGACTTGGAGCGACGCTCCTGCAGCCGCGCCACCTTCTGCATCCGCTGCAGTCGCTGGTAGTGGTAGTAGCTGAGCGGATCCACGTCGTCGTCCGACCGGAGAAACGTCGCAAAGTGCGGCCGCGGAAAGAGAGAAGTTTCGACCATTTCGAATTCCCGTCGTTCGTCAGGCCGCTTTTGTTAGGACATAGCGCACGTTTGCATGTGCACTAGAAAGATCGATTCACTGAAGCGATCGCTTGCTTAGCTAGCTAGGATCGTCGTGCTGTTGCGCTCCGCGAAGTGCCGAGCTCTCGGAATGTTTCGTTGCCACGTAACAACGAAGACTTTCCGAGCACCTGATTCGCACGTGATAACACACCTTGCGCATGCGCAGTACAAAATGCACACCCGAAAATATAACTATACATGATTGCGTATAAAATCAAAACTACAAAAACTTTCCACGACCATTTTTTAAATAAAGGTGTGCGAATCGATGCATAAAATACTTATGGCACGTACGGCGTGGTAGGTAACACGGTAAATTACTCATGCAAAGGGTTAATAACAAGGCAAGATAATGGCCAGTAGAGGGAGGAATCGTTTGTGGACACTCTGAACACTCATTCCAGCCTCTTGTAGGTCCCCTCCCCGTCAGAGTTAAGACCTCAGTTCAGTTGAGAGAGAAAAGGGGGGAAACATTAAAAAAATACAATCACACATACAAACGTACAACACACGCATTTCAAGGCGTAAAATTATCGCAGCTCTGCGCATTTAACCAAAAACTGAGTTGGAGGAATAAAATTTCATGATTGCACTAAAGGTTACCCGTGTGTTTCAAGGAAACAAATTCCAAAACAAGCTGTGAAAATTCAAGGCTGTATACGATTTTCCCCCAAGGTAAAAAGGAGATATATAGAAGGAATAGCAGAAACACACAGTGACTCTATTCACCATATTTCCTCTTGATCTCGTCCGACTTGGCCTTTCTCTCGGCCCGCCGGTCGGTGCTGCGCTGGCGAATACCCTCCTTCTCGTCGAGATAGCGCTCTTCTTCCACCATCCGAGACCTGTCAACAAACACTCACGTTACACGCACCATGTTTTGTTGGGCAAACATTTGCACTTTCAAGATGTAAATATCCTGTAGTACTTGCAGTTGTGTATACCAAACTACGCCTTCGCTATTCTTTGTATATTTTAACGTAGAAAGTTTTCCGACTGGGTGTAGGAGACACAAAGTGTAACATGCACTAGAAAACAGCTAGATAATGTTGCTGTTTGTCAAACACACAATATTGTATAGGTACCCCTATAATCAGGGCACCAAATTAGTCCAATTAGTGACGTAAAAATTGGGTTGTTGATTGCATAGGGAATATGTATGTACATCCATGGAGCAGAAGAAAGAAAAGGGACTGGGGTTTTTGTGTTTCAAGACTGCCTCTTCATTATTGTAGGGGCTCCACTGTTATTACAGTGCTATGGTACACATACCTTCGTAATTGCATGTGTTATGGCGTGCCATCACGTACTTACCTCTGTCTCCGCTTGGCACAGAAGAAACAACAGCAACAGCACACACAGCACACAGCTACGGCAAACACCAGACAGGCCAGCGTTATCAGAATCACTATCACCAGCGCATTGACTGGAGGTATATATTGTAGAGAGGGAGTGAGAATACAAGTTGTTTTAGTGACTCTGTGACTCACTTCGGCAGGAGCCAATGTTGTACTGGAGGTTGTCGCACTCGATCCCGTCGACAGGAATGGCAGAGTTGAATGTGTAGTGGCGACACTTGGGTGCTGATTTGTTGGACGGCTTTGAGCACCAGTAGCACTCGACGCTCACGGAGCCATTGCGCCCAGCTAAGCAATCGTCACAGTTTGTCTTCTTGTTGCAAGTTTCTTCCTCAGAACCTTAGAGATAGAGAGGGAGGGAGGGACTAGGTCAGCACTGCAGTGCTAGACCAACTTGTTTGTGCTTGTGTAGTCATGTGTAGGCTAGCCGCTAATAGAGCATGTCATGCACTTCGTGGACACTAGAAAGGTCTGGCAAAACACTCACCAAGGATACGCATAGGGGGATATAGATATATAACATATATAGGGTCCTACGGCAGATATAAGGTTCATAAGGGGGCGTGTTCACCTTGGAGTTGTGTACGTGTAAAACCCACACGCAAATTGCTCCATTGTGTTAGTGAAGGTACTATAAAACGGTTAACACACCATGCCATGCCAAATTCCCCACAACATGCACAGCTTCTCAGTGTCACACCCTCAGCAAGCTGTCAAAATTCTTGTGCAGTCCGGCATCATGCGTGTAATTGATAGCTACAGTTTGTTCAGGGCAACCAGAGGAGGAATGTAATGGATGCACACCTCCCCACCAGGTTAGGGTGTGTCTTCAGAAGTACAAGGCAAGTTCGGAAACACTCCTAACAGAATATTCAGTGACCCAAACTCTCTAACACACCACAGTAGACTGTTTTGTTTTGTTATCGTACATTACCAAGCCGGCTTCCATTTGTTGCAGGCATTATTGTGGTTAACCCTGTAATCAATTCTTGGCACAGGCCGATGCTGTGCACACACACACACACAAAGGCCGTGTGGGGCAATAACGAGCAATACAATACACCTATAGGGGTTTCCAGCAACCGCCTTATAGGGATAACGGTGCCTGTTTACCGTGCCAACCCACAAGCAGCATAATACACAATGCAAGGTGTTACTCCAACGAAACTATGTATAGAGTACGTAGCGTGCAATACTCAACGGGGCTACTTGTAGATAAATACACAGTAGACAGATGTAGGTAGGGTCCTGAACAAACAGTGTTACTGTGCGGTGAGAACTCACCACCTCTACTCTGGGCGTAGACAACCGCGGCCGTCAGCGCTACTGCACACACGCACACGAACAGAAGTGCCTTCATGACGTCTCGCCGACGCTCCGATCCCTTGGAAGAGTAGAGTACTCAGAGTGATGTTAGGTCTAGTCTAGCACTGGTTCTCGCTCTCTGTATTGCTCTAGTCCGCTGTGTGTTTTCCTCGCAACTGACGCAGCAAAGCTGATTGGTTCCGTTTCCGCTGCGCGTCGCATCACATGGTGTGCGTTCCCCGTAGCAGCAGCGCGTGGTGGACGACTGCGCATGCGCTGAAAGGGAGCGCAACATCAATTGCTAGTCTCATGGTATGTATATACAATGATTCATGCAATGATTTATAAAACGATTAATGCAAAAAATAGGGGGTTGGTCCATTTTAGCTCGCCACCTCACCATCATCATCAGTTTTGAGACCTTTAGTTGTGAAAATAAAGACAAAAAGTAACATTTATTATAGCATGATATAATTATACAACTCACCATACTTCCTCTTGATGTCGTCGTACTTGGTTTTCCTCTCGATCCTCTTGATATTGTGCTCTTCTCGTATGTGCTCCTTTTTCTCCAAGTATCTCTGGTCCTCTACAAGCCTTTTACTGAGTGGAGGAAGATTTATCACACACATGCAGCAAGTGCAAATAGTTTATATGCCTTCACTTTCTCAGTCATTTGGCTCCCTGAATTAAAGGCCTATGAAAGTGAAGGCCAATGCAGCTTGAATACCTACAAATTGTATGGTATTCAAGTGTATCTATATATAGGCGTACTGTTGTCGTCTCCGGGCAAAGTAGAAACAGCAGCAGCAAGATACGCAGCAGATGATGATGAGGAGAATCAGACAGGAGAGAGTGATCAGGATCACTACTACAAGGGCGCTTACTACAGGAAGAGGGGAAGAACAAGGGAGGGGAGAGAGGGAAGGGAAAAGAAGAGGAAAGGGAGTGAGAGGGAGGAGGAAGTATATAAAAGGCAAGCGGGTTGGAAAGGTGAGTGTGCATTGTAGTGTGACCAACCGGCATAACTTACAGCGACAGCTGGCGTATTTGTACATCAGATCCTCGCACTCGATCCCGTCCACAGGAATGGCGGAGTTGAATGTGTAGTGACGACACTTGGGCCCTGATCTGTTGGAGGGTTTGTCACACCAATAGCACTCCAGGTTTATCGAACTGTTGCCTGCCAGGCATTCTTCACAATTGCCCTTCAAGTTACAAGCCCTCTCCTCGGAACCTGGGGGGAAAAACAATGAGACTCAGCACTGAGAAGCGTTTGTTTGTCTATATTATAGCTATGTGTACATAGGAGGTTCTAAAGCATCCAATAGTAAGCAAATTTTAACTAGCAAGATAGCCAGAAACCTTATGCAAGAATGAGATCAGCAAATCTTCTCAGAAGTATACGTACACACTATCTTAGCAAGTGCAACGAAGCACACCAGAACCGCAACATTCCATCACCCGTAACCAAGCCCAAACAGTGCATCATACTTGCTAACTCTACTCCGTGTCAGCCAAGGTCTTAGCTCGCAGGAACTGGAATTCTAAAAGCCACAAAAGTTGGTTTCGGAGTGGTCACTAGCTGTCGTCAAGGAATTTGGTTCCGATGGCCCCAAGAGAGCAACTAACTGTGTGGGCCTTGACCGTGTATCGGGCTGTTAGGCATGTGTAAGCTATTAGAATGCATAAGAATGTGGTTTCGTTGATTTGCAGTCTTTTCGAGAGTGCCCCACCCAAACTGCATCCATGTATGTAATCCGCATTTCAGGTAAAGAATAGTACATCGACCCTAGATCATGGATAGCTAATAGCATACATACAAATTCCCACATTTAGCACAAATGCTCTAAATGAAGTATACACCGGCAGAGACCAAATGCAGTATTATACTCCTTAGCTAATACGCATGGTGCACGGAAAATTTCCCAGATAACAATTTTCCTCAACGTACTTTTGCTCTGCGCGTAGACGACGCCCGTCAGAGCAGCGACAAACACGCACACAAACAGGAGGGTCTTCATTGCGCAGACCGCCACAGCCAGAACGAGCCAGAAAGTTAGTTTTCCCGTAGAACCCCGCCCGGTCAGTGTACGTACGTATGCGTCGCGCGATACGCGCGAGTAACTAATTACGCATGCGCACACGCTGGTCGCGGCGGGTCGTTGATGTGCACTAATTGGAAAGCGGAGATGGCGGCCTCGGAAGAGTTCAGCAGGGAGATTAAACCAGAGGTGCAGGCAGGACGGGGCCGTAAGTCTAAGAACATGTTTAAGCACCTCTTGTCTCGTACAGATCAAGAGTCTCAAGGAGAGTATAGGAGCCAAGGTACGTGCGTTACTGAAATCATTTTATACATATCGGCGGGGAGGAATTCTTCACAACACTGCGTAGCTAAGCACATGAATCCAGCATGTTCGGTATGTATGACATAATGTGTGTCCCACCACGATCTCTCTCACAGGCCAGAAGCTGGTTTTTGAAGTGTTTCCCAAAAAGATCAAAGAATTGACTGCTAAACTTCAGGTGGGCCCTGATAAACACGACTCTTTCTCTACTCTAACTTCCTACATAAACTTTCTCCTTCCTTCCGCCCCTCCCGTTTCCCCTGCCTTCCCTTCCCCGTTCACTCTTCCTTGCTCTCTTCACTCTTCTTCCTCCTCCTTCATTTTGTGGCTCAGGAGGATATGTTTGACAACCAAACTATGGCCACAGTCTCTGGCTGTTCAAAGTTACCAGTGTTCAGTAAGGACCAGTGGATAGCACTGACGATGAACTGGAAACGGTAAAACTTACTATAGCTACAGCAGAGGAACGTTAGGAGAAAACGTTGCTAAGTGTGGCTTTATGTTCATTAAACTGATGAGGCTGATTCAATTTCAATAGTGTGCGTGTGTGTGTGTGTGTGGATTGTGTCACTGCTAGGATAACGTATATTTTGTTCCACACAGCCGGCTACAAAGAAAAGAAAACTGGAGGATAATGTCAGAGCATCTGGTATATACCTCAAATATGTACTAATGCGGCACATCAAGTCATGTGTATAATACTGTCTTTTGGTTTACTCTCATTTTGTAGTTCCACGTTTGTCGGCACTCACACGCGTACCCTGCAATCCGGTGAGTAAACCCCTAGCCTGTATCTAATTACCCACAAGCTGTCGTACATTTTGTTTCCCTAGAAACTGGCTACAATGGTGGCGTACCTCAAGCCTGAGATAATAGGATTGGTAGACAAATGCAGCATGGTAAGTTTGCCTTGTCCATTCTAGGCCCTTCTCTGCTCTATATATTTGCATGTGGTCCATTGCTTGTTGTTAGGCAGTGTGATCGTTGCTCATTTAAGTAAAGTAGCGAGGGAAGGGCTAGGAAATACATATACTCATAGGCGAGTGGTAATGTCAATAGTGAACAAATCACTTCAATAGAATAGGTGGCTGGAGTGCCGGTTATGTCTCTATTCACTGAGAGAAGAGGCTGACAATAATAGTTTTATAGAACTTTGGTTCACTAGGGAAAAGCACCAATCACTTAAAAACAACCCCACTAGTCATTAAAGAAGGCTCCTCACTAAGAAAAAATCATGATTTCTGTCGTGGTCCACAGATCAAGACGTGGATCCAGATGATGGTACCAAAGATTGAAGACGGGAACAACTTTGGAGTGGGGATACAGGAGGATGTTCTGGGGGAGGTGGGCAAGTCAGAGGCTGACGCTGGCTCTTATCTGGAGCAACTGTCACGGTACGCGATTCTGTACTACTGGAAAATTTGACAAACATGCTTGGAATTCCCAGTTTGGAATGCTCCAATTGCAGTAACATGCGGACTGCAATCACTTCCAATTTTTAATCGCCAATGTATATATTCTTGCCCATATGATTCGCTGTCAATTACTTATAATTATCCAGTATAGAGCCACCTGGAAGTAATGCATGATTTTCTGTCTGATTTTCAGCTACTACACTTCTCGAGCAAAGATCCTGTCAAAGTGTGCAAAGTACCCTTTCCTGGTGAGTTTTGAATATTTCGTTTTCACTTAAATAGAACGCATGAGTACAATATTTCTTTCGCTTAAATAGGACGACTACCAGAGAGCTGTAGACGAGTACGACCAGAAAGTTTTCGTCAGTTTCAAACTCATTCTGAGGGAACTCCGAAATATTTATGTGAGCTCGAAAACTTATCGGTGACGTAATGATTACATCATCCTCGTAGATTGTGGTGTACGACGTCATCCTAAAGAACTATGATAAGATTGTCCACCCACGCTCGGAAAACTCCGCCTCTCTTTACTAGCACATCTCTCTTTACGTTTGCTGTGCAAATCACTCCTATGTATTGTACACACTATTCAACACTCAACCTTTTTCCGTCATTTGGATGCATGTGTACATTTTGTACATGCCGTCAATTCATACACACGCTACATAATATAGACATACATACATGTATGTTATGCAGTACGGTTATGAATGAGACGGTAACACTGCAGTCAATTCCTAGTCCATCCTTGCCTTCAGCGTTCTGGTTGTCACTTTCTCCCTCTCTCTATATTAGGGACGGTTTTACATTATTAGTGCTGGAAACTAAAAAATTGATGGTGTATATAATTATGAAGACTCCACTAAATTTGTGGGAGGGTAAAAAAATTTTTGTGGGACCACTCTAAAATTTCCCACTTACACTGAGTCATTTTCAAAGAGCATGAACAAAATAAACAACGGGCAAATGAGAAACATTTGACTGGTTTATTTTCAAGAGGAAAAAACACAACAATAATCACAAAAGGCTCAATTTGCTCTTCTCACACATACTGCAGTGCAAACACACACACACACACACACACACACACGGAGTCATTTTCAAAGAGCATGAACAAAATAAACAACGGGCAAATGAGAAACATTTGACTGGTTTATTTTTCAAGAGCGAAATAGACAATGAACAATAATCGCAAAAGGCTCAATTTGCTCTTCTCACACATACACTACTCTACTAAGGTCATAACAATGTGAATCCTGTCTATTATACCAATTAGTGTCCTGAAGTCGCACCTAAAACGTGTCCATTAGGACTGAAGAGAAGCAGACAAAACAAGGAATTGAATCAGTTGATGCAGGGACACAACACATCAACTCAATTTTGTAATATTAGGAGTTTGCATCTGTTTTGATGGCATGGAGTTCATGAAAGCTATTGCCACCATAATTATAGCCAAAAACCTTTTTTCCTCAAGTAATAAGTAATGACCCTTATTATGTGCACACTTTAACTATTATTGTCTATGGCTCACATGACGTGTACAACAGCTCCCCATCCACTGAGGGCATCTCTATCGACTGCATTTAGTATAGCTTGAGAGATGGTCTCAAACAAATCATCTGGCTCCTATAGTTTTGTGTGTGTGTGTGTGTGGGGAGGGGGGGAAGCAATGAAGTTAGCAGGTGATTTTTATGGGAATACGAAAACGAAAATGAGAACAAGGAGTATTATAGAGGGGAGTAGAACAAGGAGTTTGCAGACATGAACAGTCGTTAGTACACCTCACCATATCTGGTCTCCATAGCGACTCGCACATGCCATACAGCTGTTCGGTACAAGTCCCGCCCACCACGAAATCCTTAGTCTCCATGGGACACCCAATCAGATCCATGGTGGCAATGTAGGGTTGGTGTGTCTTCGTGTCCAGTCCTGCCACCACAGGCTCCACAAAGAATGGACCAAATCTATTGGATAGTAATACAGTGGAACCTACCATAATGGACAGTCCATCCTATATATTGGATGGTAATAATACAATGGACACTCTCCAATTACCTCTCTATAAAGGACAATTCGCTTCATCATTACTATATAATTATATAGAGTTGTAATGACACCTCTTAGAAAGTCTGTGGCTCTTTCAGAGAAAAAACTACTGTTATTTGCTGCTCAGTTCTTTCTCAACTATATAATTGTATATATGTACGTAAGTCCATAACTGATATCGAGCCATTAGAGCTTGTTGTCCCCTGTCTCCATACCGTACCAAGACTAACTAACTAACTGACCTCCTGGAGTACAGGATATTGGAAGTGAGGTGCATAAAGGTATTGGGCTGAATCTGCCTGTTCTCTCGTAGCTGGTAGAGATTTACGTAGAATCTCAGTTGGTTGGACCTGCACAACAACAAGTATGGGCCATCAAACTAACACACAGAATTTACAAAACTGGGTGTGAGGTTAATAACTCCATCAGGTTTTGGTTGTGTCTTGGTTTGGTAATACAATCATTTTCAATGCCTTGCAAAGTGGGTTCTTAGCAGACTATAGTGAAACTGGAGGTGTAAAAACTGAAAGTCAAGCTACACACAAACTGTGGCAAAAAGAATGAACACACAGTGGCTAGAATGAGGCAGTACCCGTGTTAGTGAATAGGAATTCAAAGTCAACCTGCACTATATATATTTTTGACACAAATTTTGAGCTTTTTCCACAATTCTCCCAATTAGTATAATATGTCAGTGTGTCAATCTTATTATGTATGGACTACAGTATATTATTATAGTAAGAGGGTCTTACACAGTCAGTATGTCTGTCGCTAGTCCCGGCAAGCCAACATATAGTGTGTCGTTCATTTGAAAGATTTTCTGAAAATCTGTAGACACCGTCTGTGCCTGTATCCCCAGCCGCCTGTCTGCTGCTATGGCAACGCAGCCCCGCCCCACCATGGCCACTACGGCCGATCCGTTGTATTCCATGATTGACTGAGAGAGGGAGTGAGGGTTCATAGGTACATTGCTCATACGTTTGCAAAAGGCAATGTTACCATCTTAGGCGGAGTTCTCTTTTCAAGTAGTCACTTTCCAGAAAAAGATGGAGTGCACACTGCACGCAGAAGAGAACCAGAAGAGGCAAGGTAAAAAGCGCAGAAGCAAGCTGCACACGGTATTTCGAAATTTCGTATACACGCAGCTCTCCGAACGCGTAATTAGAACAACAGGTGTTGGGCCACACCCACATTTGGATCGCGGAAGCGGAGAGCACGCCTCTCTCTCGTTCTTGCAACTTTATGATGACTCGACTGGCTGCAAAAATACTTTTCACCTGAGCTAAAGAAAACTTGGAGTAGTGGATACTTTGTAGTAGGACTTCGCCCATACACCGCTAGCACCTGCCCAGAGGCGTGGACTAAAACGACGAAGATTTTCCGGAAAAGTGTGAAGTGAAATCAAATTTTCGTCACCGGACGCGCTGCCCCCTAACTGACGTCTCTAACAAACTCAGCAGCGTCTCGGCAGTGCAGAGCCGGAGACTGTCGCGTTCTGTCGCGTGTATTCGCCGAGTGTGCTGTTGTGTATTATAGCTAGCTGAAACGCTACGATCCCTGCCCCTTCCATACTTCTACATCGCACGCCCCACGGATCCGGAGCCGGCGGAGCAATCAGGTCATTTGTTGTGTCTCGGTCCAAGCGAAAAACACCGTCCGTAGGCAGGCTCGGTCGAAAGCACGAGAAGAAAGAAAAATTTGCAGAGCGTAGAGAGGCGCGTGACGAATATGGCCAAAGTGAAGGCGCTCTACAGCTATACCTACGACTACGAGGGCACGAAGATCTCCTTCACGTGTGGAGACGAGTTCCAGTTGCTGGCAAAGGTCAACGCGGACTGGTGGCACGTTCGGAGATGGGTAGAGAAGTGCTCACAAGACATCTACATACCCGCCGTCTACGTGAAAGAAGTTGGGGAAGACACGAACCCACTCTACCAGAACATGTCAGAGCTGAAGAAACAGGTTGAAGAGTTCAAGAAAAAGGAGAGTTCTACGCCTCCACCACCCACTGCGAGAAAACCGCGACCTGAAAGAGCTAGTAGTGAGAAAAACAAGTCCAACCTGATTGCAACAGTTGGGCCTGTTGTTGCGAAACCTGTGTCGCCGCCAGAGAAAAAGAGCGCACCTGAGGTGACCGAGAGTGTGGCGGACCTCGCGAAAAGGCTGGCAGAGAAAATGCAAGCTAAGGAGCCGCCAGACGCCGAGGGAGGAGGGGGAGGAGTTCCTAGGACTGGGTCCACGTCACCTCTAGTAGCTCCAAGACGCAGTCAGAGCACCAGGAGACTCGAAAGCCCGGCTTCCCCGCGCCACACACGGAAACTAGACGGCAGCACTAGCGCGAATCTTTTACCCGCAGTTCCATCGAAGCCCCGCAGCTACAGTATAAACACCAGACCGGCCCATGCTGAGAGCCGTAAAGAATCCCTGAGTCCACCGGAGTTGGTTCTGCAACACGGCGAGCCGCCGCCTCCTGCTACAAAGATCGGGCAAGTCAAGAGTAAACTACCACCTCCGGTCCTTCCAAAGGCGAAACTCCGTCGCCCGAACTCGATGGTGATGTTCAGTCCGACCGAGACGGCGGGAGGTACGGAGGACCCATTTGTGTCCGTGTTTCAGACGCAGCTGTCCGAACAGATGAAGAAAGTTCGGTCGGCGAGCGGAGTGGGTGTGGCCTCGGGGATTGGGGGCGGGGCTATCGAGGCAAAGACGGTAGTAGCTGGTCAGGAAGGACAAAACTCAACTTCACACAGCGCCAAGGTAAGAGAGAGAAGAAGGGAGTGAGAATGTATTCATGGCATACACTACGTATGTACTTTATCGGTGTACGTACGTACACATATGTATGTACCTGAATGCATGAATTGCCGCCCTTGTTAGCATGTGTGCCACGTGAGTGTCAGAATAGATGTGATATGAATAATGAGCTATCCCCCAACGATTCTGATTGAATAATTATAAAGAGTTTTGTTATCGCCTGATATCCATATATAATGAGGAAATCATGAGGGAGGAAATCTAAATATTACCACCCACACTTGTCCCTGTGTGCATTACTTAGATGTGGGACGTCTACATAGGAACTCTATCTATGTAGGACACCCCTGGAATGAGTAGGACATCTTTTTCCCCAAACATTTACATACAATGAGTACACACCTCTCTGATTAATTAAGGACACTTTTCCCCCAAAAACAGTTTCTTACATGCGATATGAGGACACCTCACTAATACGAAAACTCTCTTCTGCCCCACTGGTGTCCGGGTTAGGCAGAGTTTCTCTCTATAATTATTATTGCACTGTACATGCTCCCTAACGATTCAGTTATTGTGCAAACCGTTTGTTTGTTTGCGTGTCAACAGTCAAAATGCTACAAACGTTTAGCCCGAGTCTGTCTCTAAGTGACATCTACAAACCGTGTGCATATGTCCTCTGTTGTTCAAGAATATTTTGTTGGATATCCCTAGGCAACCGACATGTATGAAGCTAGGTATATACTGGGGGATTTTATCAGCCTATACAATCCTACACGTGCAAGCAGGGTTCATACATGTCGTTTGCCTAGGGATATCCAACAAATCTGTTGCAGTACCCAGACAGGGCTCATGCTGTCCTGTATAATAATATGGTCGATTGTATGTTCTCTGTATGTTATGCAGAGCTTCTTGTAACACAATACAGTGATTGTGAAACAACGTGTGAATATGTTATTGAGAGCCAGTGTAGTGCAGTAGCTATGTAAACGACCAAGGTTTACAATGTGTCCTAAAACACACTTTTGGTGATGGTTGTTGGGAGGTATTGTCACCGAAATCGTGTGGTTTAAAAATGTTGTTCTTTACTCGATCGTGATTTATGCACATGCTGCATCGTTGCCTTGTCTTGTATGTGTGTGGTGTGTGGCGTGTGGTGTGTGTGTGTGTGTGTGTGTTGATGTGTTTAGTATTACGTCTGCTGTGTGATGACTGAAATGTATATTCCCAGGGGTATGTTTTACACATTGACCTAACACCTGGCAGACCTATTAAGGAGAAGTCGTTTTATCGTTCTCATTTTTCCTCTCTTTGTTTATTCCTCCCTTGGTTTTCGGTCGTTTGGGGGGGAAGAAATGTTCACACAATTCTCTTTGGGACCTCTGTTAAATACTACTAACTCTGTGTAGCTAAACCTGTTTATAGTAAATGATACATTATATATAGTTGTATGCTGATGGTGCTATCACGTGGCTTTGCTAAGTAAGTAAGAGATACACACTTATTGGGTTTACTATAGCCTCCTTTGTGTAATGTAATACCCAGTGTCAAGTTAGCACCAAATGTATTACCCAGTGTTAAGTTAGCACCAAATGTATTACCCAGTGTCAAGTTAGCACCAAATGTATTACCCAGTGTCAAGTTAGCACCAAATGTATTACCCAGTGTCAAGTTAGCACCAAATGTATTACCCAGTGTCAAGTTAGCACCAAATGTATTACCCAGTGTCAAGTTAGCACCAAATGTATTACCCAGTGTCAAGTTAGCACCAAATGTATTACCCAGTGTCAAGTTAGCACCAAATGTATTACCCAGTGTCAAGTTAGCACCAAATGTATTGCCCAGTGTCAAGTTAGCACCAAATGTATTGCCCAGTGTCAAGTTAGCACCAAATGTATTGCCCAGTGTCAAGTTAGCACCAAATGTATTACCCAGTGTCAAGTTAGCACCAAATGTATTACCCAGTGTCAAGTTAGCACCAAATGTATTACCCAGTGTCAAGTTAGCACCAAATGTATTACCCAGTGTCAAGTTAGCACCAAATGTATTACCCAGTGTCAAGTTAGCATTACCCGGTGTCAAGTTAGCACCAACAGGAATTGTCTTGGATATAGTACATGTCCACCACACAGCTAGCCTGAAAGCTTTCTACCAGCAGAAATGTACTGCACTTGTCGCAACAAGTCTTCTTGTTCGTCGTGTGTTGTTGGCGTCTGCTGGTATCGTTCACAGTCTGTTTGCCGACAGATGGCGCAGCCTTTTGCTTGTCCCTTTAGTACAGTGGAACCCCCCCTCTCCAAGGACACCCCTGAAACAAGGACACCTCTTGTGATAGCATTTTGCTATAGTAAAAGGTGTGTGTTTATAGTCATCTGAAGGATGCACAAACATTCCAAAACTCTTCCGCAGCATGTACATATAGGTGCAGTATATTGGATTGGATCAAATAACATGTGTACGGTTACTTATAAATTACCTATCAATTAACCGCTGGACGCTGAGACTTGGCGGGTGGCCATGAGAATCAGGTTGGACTATGGCAGCAACATGTGGTCTCCACAACACCATTGGCTATAGTACCACAGCAGTATGTACCTATACAGTGGGACCTCCGATAATGGACCCTCAGAGATGAGGACGACCTCTCTACAAAGGACACTTGTTTCTCAACCCCATGCTAATACTTTAGTGTATTATTTGACCTCTGAGATAGGGACGACCTCTCTACAAGGACACTAAGTGTTTTAACCCCACGCTATTATTTGACCTCCGAGATAGGGTCGACCTCTCTACAAAGGACACTAAGTGTTTTAACCCCACGCTATTATTTGACCTCCGAGATAGGGTCGACCTCTCTACAAGGGACACTTGTTTTTACCCCATGCTATTATTTGACCTCCGAGATAGGGACAACCTCTCTACAAGGGACAAAATCGTTGGCCCCATAGTGTCCCTTGTTCGGAGGTTCCACTGACAAAACGTTCTTTCTCTCTCTCTCTCTCTCTCCTCTCACTCTCTCTCTCTCTCTCTCTCTCCTACGCAGCCGGTCCAGAACGGAGCTCTGTCACATGACTCCACCACCACCACGTCCACACTCTCCCCCACCTCCCCCTCCTCCCTCTCTCCCCCCTCCTCCCTCCCCAACCTCACCAGAAACACACTCCCCGACAACTGGTCTGAACACAAGACCAACGAAGGCCACACCTACTATTACAACTCGGCAACTGGTCAGCTAAATTTTATGGCGAGAAAATATTTTGTTTTCACAAAAGTTTTTTGGTCAAGCAAGTTTTAAATTCCTAATCCTTCCTACGAGATTAGATGTAACAATAATTATGTGTGGCCATATATTTTTCATATTAGGCGAATGTCACTAACAGTATTCATTGTTTCCCCCTGTATATATAGTATGTATAAAAATAGGTTCAAATTACAATTCGATACTAAACTATGGTTAAGAGATGGTTACTTTTTATTGCAGGCAAGTCCTCGTGGACACGCCCACCTTCTGCCAAGAAGACCACACCCACCACTAGCCCCACCCAACAGAACGGGACACCCGCAGACCCCCGAGAGGTACAATATTCTCCCATCTTTTACTGTTAGCCAGGCCGAAGGATTTTTTTTTTCACGAGTGATCTGAAATGCATTTTCCTTGCGTTGTCACCTTGTGATAATATACGCATGCAGTACATGTACGTAACGATAGCCTCAATAATGTATATGTGGAAGACCTACATGTACGCATGTGTTTGCACACTAATTGATACTATGAGGAAACACTTGCCTTTTATGCTATGGAAGATCTATAGAGGAATGTTGATATAATAATTATAATATTGAACGGGCATCTAGTAAAACAAGGACGCCTCTCCAATAGAGATTCAGTGAAGACTATAATATACCACTGTGCAATGCATGCTACATACATACATACATACGTTTTTGGCTAATATACATACTGTATATACAATGTCCCTGTATCCTTAGTAGGTAAGTATGTACATGTTGCAGTGCCCAGACAGGACAGCATGAGCCCTGTAGTGGCGAATGCTGTCCTGTCTGGGCACTGCAATATATTTGTTGGATATCCCTAGCAACCGACATGTATGAACCCACCTTACATTGCGCAAGATAGTATATGCTCATAAACTGTCCAGTATGTAGCTTCATACATGTCGGTTGCTTGGGGATATCCAACAAATAATATATACTACCAGTCACATTTATTCATGCTCTGTCCTTTGTATAATTATAGTTCTGAGTAAGCACAAATTATGACTTTTACTGAGTACCATGTATCTGTTATGTACTAGTTACGAGTGAGTGAGCAATCTGTCACTGGAGTGTCTTGCTCTAATATCATTTAGAAAATTGCTCCGAGAGGATGGACTAAGGAGATCAATCCACTGAGTCAGACGCCCATTTACACCAATAGTAGGACAGGAGAGAGGGTGAGGGAGGCATGGGAGGGAGGGAAGGAGAAGGCAGATTAAGAAAAAATGAAATTAAGAAAAGATGGCAGATTAAGGGAAAAATGAGTGGGGTGGTTAAATAGGCGGAGTTATTTTGCACGTGTGTGACTTTCAAAAAGACCCTCCTATTCTCTCGGCCTGTAAACTGAAACTCGATCGTCCTTTGTTTCCCCATTTTGGTTTTCACAATAATCTGTCTGCGACCGGAAACACCCGAAATTCCCATCGGTACCGTAACACGTGCGCTCCCAGTCCCACAAAACAAACATTCCCCAGATGAAAAAGGCGAGTACTTTCGACGTCGTCTCACTTTCCGTTTGCGTGTCTGTTTGTCGTGTCTGTCGTGTGCAGTGGGCGCTGGCTAAAGACGGAACGGGCAACTACCACTACTACAACATGTCCAACTCACTCATAACGGTCGCCGAGCTGCCTGAAGTGGCTGACACTGTAAGCCGAATTTCCCCATGTATTTGGGCCAATTTTGCTAGTTTAGACCTGTCATTCTCGATAGTTAAGATTTCTAGAACCTGCGTATGTATTACCTATTGGATCTTAGATGTACGTACAGATTCTAAGAAAGCCTTGAATGGCATGTTGTTATGAGATTTGTGCGGCATTTGCACCAATTTTTGACATGTTTTATTGGATTTTCTCGTGTAACGTTTACTCCTTCTTACATTTATGGCTGTAGTTCCCATCAGATTAGCTCATAGCCAGTTAGTCCAGCCAGTCTATATACTGCCTGGCACTGACTCTATATGTATGTTCATAATGTGTGTACAAACCCTTGGGGGCCCTTACTAACCGTGTTTGTTGAGCGTTGTGGTTGATTATGTGTCTATGTATGACCGATGTTTTGGGTTGGTTTTATCGATTATAGTGTGTACATATGATTTGGTTACTTTTGCACTCTCTCTCTCTCTCTCTCTCTCTCTCTCTTCCTCTCTCTTTCTTCTACTTCTCTCTCTCTCTCTCTTTCTTCCTCTCTCTTTCTTCTACTTCTTCCTTCTCTCCCTCTCTCTCTCTCTTTCTTCCTCTCTCTTTCTTCTACTTCTTCCTTCTCTCTCTCTCTCTCTCTCTTTCTTCCTCTCTCTTTCTTCTACTTCTCTCTCTCTCTCTCTTTCTTCCTCTCTCTTTCTTCTACTTCTTCCTTCTCTCCCTCTCTCTCTCTCTTTCTTCCTCTCTCTTTCTTCTACTTCTTCCTTCTCTCCCTCTCTCTCTCTCTCTCTCTTTCTCTCCTTACCTCCCTACTTCTCCTTCCTAACCCCCCTCTCCCTCCATCTCCAGCCCTCCAGTAGGCTGAAGCAGCTGCCACCGACAGAGCAGATCTATGACCAACTGTCTCCACTGACTCCTAGTCCTAGTCCTAATGCCACTGACATTGAAGTGAGTGGGAATGCTACGTATGTACTTGAAAGGCTCAAGGGCTGTTTAATACTTACTTAACTAGTGTGTATTCCAATTGATGCACACCTGTTTTTATGTGCACGAGTTGCACGGGGAAAACAGTACCACCTACGGCAGATCGACACTTGGTAAACTCGACACAAGATTTAGTAAACACCTTTTCACACATGAGTAAATGTGAAAACTATGAGGTAGAAAGGCAAAGGCACAGCAAACAATCAACTACACTCTCAAATGCACACTTCCTTCCTTATACTCTCTCCCGTCTCAGTCTGCAGTCGAGTTTAGTTCCAACGCTAGAGCCCCGAGGCCAGACCCCTCCACCATCTCCCCCTCTCACACCCACACCCAGCAGCACCCGTCCACCACTGGCACCGCCCCCGCCACGGGGGGCATGCTCTCCGCACAACTGGAAGTCTTCCATCACTCATTCGCTAACATGCAGCTGGTGAGTCACAGTACATCGTACAGTGGAACCCCTCTCCAATGACACCCCTGAAATGGAGACACCTGTGTAATAAGGACACCCTTGAAATGAGGACAACTCTCTAATAAGGGCCCCTTTTCTTTCCCCAAAAACAGTTCTCGATGTAACTCCTGAAATAAGGAGGTAGATTCCCCATGTAAGCTACGTATCACGAGATACCAATAAGGAGACCTCACTAATATGGGCACTTTCATCTGCCCCATTGGTATCCATATTTGAGGGGCTCTACCCGAGTATTATAACACACTAATATTATAGGGGTAGCCCTATACATTAGAGTGTGCGTGATGTGCGTACTGTCCAACACTTCTGCAGAAGAAACACGGATACCTTCAGAGGAAAAGACTGTTTGATGCTCAGGGCAAGCGGTGAGTTCTGTGCCAAAGTTTGTTGGTGTCAGTTTAATTGGCACCACCTTCCCTCTATTCCCTCTCCCTCTTCTCCCCTCCCTTCCTCACTTCTCACACACACACACCACACACACCACACCTTCCCTCTATTCCCGCTCTACCACTCTGTGCAGGGGAAAGGGCGGGTGGCAGAAGGTGTACACGTCGCTCGATAATTTCCAGCTAAAGTTCTTCACGGACCATAAGATAGCGATGGATCCAGCCACCAAGCCACTTGGCACTTTCCACCTCCTCCAGGCCAACGTGTGTACTTACACCAAGGAGAAGAAAGTCAAACACAGTTTTATGGTTAGCCTCCGTCCATTCCTCTCTCTTCCTCTCTGTCAATTTCCTGTTACAGCAGCACCTGTGGTGTTGTTCTAATGGCCAAGTGTCCGACTACAATACATCACACATGGTCTAATACCTTCACGTGTAGCTACATAGAGTGTGGTTATCTTGAATGGCTGAGGATGTTGGTTTTGCGTATTCGAATTGTTCGTGTCGTTCTTCTCATGTGTTAAAGCACAGGTGTCGGAAGACCTCGCTGTGCGGTACTGAGTTAGGTCTCATTTTACAATCTGTGGTTATTTTTCGTACTTGCTTGGTATGGTAGGTTAAGTTTACTATTATGATATACTTCCCTCTCTTTCTTACTTCATATTCCTTCCAGGTCAGTTCTCCATTTGGAGAGCAGTTTCTCCTTCAAGCGGAAACTGCGACTCTCATGAACGACTGGTACTCCACCATCCAAACCTGTGTCCATAAAGCAGTGAGGGGCGGGCTGGGCTCTCTTTACTCATTATTTTACTTTGTGTGGGTGGATCAAAGGCACACCGCCAGTGCTTTATTCGTCATAAAAGAACACTTTGCTCATATAGGACAGTATTGCTCGTTGAGAACACAGTAAATTGTTTTCAAACTGCGGTAGCACAAACGGCTGAAACCTCTGTGTGGTGTAGAAACTCTTCCGGTGTAACATTCAAGACCGAGTTGCAAGGATGCTATGTACATGTATATTGGAAAAAAGGGGGGCTGAGGGCTTTTAGTTTAATGTTGCACATTTCACTGCCTAAACTGGACTCCAATTAATACACACACTTGTTTTAATGTGGATTATGTACTATCTGAGTTGCGTGGGGAAACTGGTATTAATGGACCAACTAGAACGCTGTCTGTCTGTCTGTGTCAGAATGAGGACTACAAGCTACATCCTGACAAGTACGCTGACCTCCGTCTCGACGATGGAGAGATATCCCCCAAAGTTCTGGTCGGGAAAGGGCGGAGAAAAGGATCAAGTGAGTCTTTTTAACCAGTCACACGTCACTGTCAGTTTCTCACCTCACTGCCTTCTCCTTTTTATTTTCCTTTTTTTCTCCCCCATCTTCCCTCCCTCCTTTAACTTTTGCATATATACCAGAATACCACAATTAACTATGGATACCGACCATTTTTTTGCGATTTTTACACTTTTGCTCTTTTTCTCTCTCCTCCCTTATACGTACCTCTCTCCTTTCCCTCTCTTACCTCTTGTTATTTCCTCTCCCAACAGAGGATATTCAGCCACTGAGTGTTGCAATAGACGAAGACGAAGAACTTGACAACATGGAACTTTCTGACAAAAGTGGTAAGTGGACGCCATTTGACCTGTTACCCCCTCCCTCTCCTATCTCTTTACTTGTTACACGCAAACCTCTCGCCTACATGTACAGTAGAACCTCCGATAAGGGACCCTCCGAGATTGGGACAACCTCTCTACAAAGGACACTTTTTTCAACCCCATGCTAATACTTTAGACCTCAGAGATAGGGACAACCTCTCTACAAAGGACACTTTTTTCAACCCCATGCTAATTGTACTTTAGTTGACAAGGGACATAATCGTTGACCCCCATAGTGTCCCTTGTTTGGAGATTCCACTGCAAAGACAGACATCACGTTGATACACTTGTCTCTGTTTGTGTCGTGTTTCAGATCGAATCCGCAACAGGCTACGGCGGTTGATGGCACGCAGACCACAGATGGAAACTCTCCAGAAAAAAGGCATCATTGAAGGTGTGTATGTGATATTATACCGTGGACTGTGTCTGTGGATGCAGTATATATACAGCAATGATTGAGAGGTATAATGTATAGTCTGTGCTATGAGACCAACAAATGGAAGACACCTACTACACGAAAATCGTTCCCCTGGGAACCCACAGCACTCTGTATTTTCAGTTCCTATTTGTCTGAATCATCTCCTCCCCTCCCTCCCTCCCTCCCCTCCCTCCCCTCCCCCCACCACAGATCCAGTATTTGGAGCCGACCTGGCCAAGTACTGTGAGTGTAAGAAGGTTCTGGTGCCCCAGTTCCTGGTCCAGTTCATGGAACACATCGAGGCCAACGGGCTGGACACTGTGGGTCTCTATCGACTCTCGGGAAACGCCGCTTCCGTCCAGAAACTGAGGTGCCTCGTCGAACAAGGTACGTGAAGTTTTGAAAACGAATTTGTATGACGAATTTTCCATCAGAAACGGTTTTGCTAAACAATTCCATATGTACTTTGCTTATCGTGAGACAAACGGATTTCGTGGACATTGTGAAGTATTTTTCAGCTTTTGCGCACCACGCATGCACCTTCAACTGTTTTTTTGTGAAAAACCTGCTTTTGAGCAATTAGCAAGGGTTTTTAGTTATACACGATGTATGTGTATGTAGATCTCGAGAGGTATACATATACAATTATAGTTGAAGGAAAGAGTTCTAACAATAGGGTCTGTCTCTCTCGTCTCCCTCCGTGCACAGACAGTCCGTTCAACCTGGACGACGCAGAGTGGGCCGACATCAACATCGTGACCGGTTGTCTCAAACTCTATTTCAGAGAGCTCCCCGACCCTCTCATTCCCGCCTCGCAGTTTCAGAAATTCATCGACGCTGCAAGTACGTACACACCGTGAGATAATGCAGCTGTCTTTCAGTTTCATGGTGGGTGTGCTCTAATTGAAACTTCCTCTTCCTCTTTTACCTCCCTTTCTACTTCTTCCGTTCCATCTTTGTCTTCCTCGCCTTCTCTTTGCCTCTCTCCTTCCTCCCTTTCTCTTCTTCACGCTACTCCTCATCCTCATCCTTCCCTCCCCCCTCCACTGTGTTCCCCCTTTCAACCTACCCCATTCTCTTTCTCCCCCTCTCTCTCTCTCTCTTTCTTTCTCCCCCTCTCTCTCTCTCTCTTTCTTTCTCCCCCTCTCTCTCTCTCTCTTTCCTCTAGAACTTGCCCCGACACCGGCCCAGAGAATATCGGGTCTGGCAGACCAGGTCAAGGAGCTGCCTAAGATCAACTACTGCACTCTCGTAGCTCTCATGAAACACTTGAGAAAGTAAGCTTCTACCGTTGAGCGTTAAAAATTTTTCTTTTTGTGGATTGTAATGTGTTGGTAAAATGAAGTGGGAGTGAGAGCTTCTAAAATGCAATCGCGAAAAATTGCCTCAGTTTTTGGTCATACTTCAATGAAATATTTTTCTGTTTACTCTTAATTTTGCTCTACATTTTCTCCAACTTACTTTTAATCTTAGTCGCTATTAATAACTTTCATGTCTTTCTTTCGCCCTTCAAGAGTGATGGATAATGGTGCAGTGAACATGATGCGATCGCAGAACGTTTCCATCGTCTTCGGACCCACCCTCCTTCGCGCGGAGGGAGACCCTTTTGAAATGGCAAAACTGACGCCCTTCCAGAACGGGATAGTCGAACTAATGCTGACGGAATTCGAAAAGATATTCACGAGGAAATGATGCTAGTCCTTCTTGCCCTCTGTATGTGTGTACTATCGTGTGTGTGTGTGCTTTTGTATTGCACAGTCCGGTACTAGGTGTGTGTGTGTGTATGTTATCCCACTGCCGTGTTTTTGTACATCATCGTCGGATGTGTGTTTTTGTAACCAGTTGTGTATGTGATTCCAAAATTGCCATCACAACCTCTCTTTAGTCACACAATTCTAACAAAACGAAGACATTTTGATGAGCATGCGCATGCAACGTTTAGCGCCATTCTACTGCGCATGCGTACAACGCACGGAGCGCGCTTAGGTTATATTATCGCGATCGGTCGGTACGTCATGACAAAAGTTATGATGGCCTTTGCGGCGAGATTAAAGGTTCAACATGTGAGGGCTTCTTACTACTGCCGCTCCGTCTTGCTCTTTCGTTCTCCGGCCCTCGTCTACAAGCTCCGTATACTCCACCGTCTATGCTCCGTGTCACCACCTCCGGTTCTGTGCATACCCGGACTTTCTCGACGACCACGCCCACTACCGTACATCCTTGGAGGTATATAAAAGATCTGAGCACACATTCGAGCAAAATCGCCCCTTTTTTCAGGTATCCTGGGTGTACTGTGGTATAGGGACAGAGAGGACACAGTTCCTCCATACATAAAAAGTCAGTTGCTGAAGGCACAGCGATCTCTGAGAGATGGCGACTACACTGCAGCCAACGAGGCCTACCACAGAGCTCTGAGAAGACTGGCCACATCCCAGTTTGCCGAGGCTCAACCTTACATTGAGGCCAGAGCTGTGGTCCTGGATAAGGTGCACGGGCCACACTATCTACTTTGCAAAACCTCCAAGTATAGACGTGAAGTGAACCCCATAAATCGAATAACCCTAAACACATTCAGACATTTATAGCTCCTGCTATAAAGATGGTAGATTTAGTCCATTTTATCTGGCTTTCTCTCTGGATTTCAGCTAGCTAACATGTACCTAGAGCAAGGTCTACTGGCTGAGGTGAGATCCTGTTTCTTAGCTAGTGTAGTGGTGATGACAAGAATACCGCCAATGTGGAGAGCATGTGTGTGTGTGACTTGTAGGCAGAAACAACTTTCAGAGAAGCGATGAAGTTCATGCTACGTGCAGGAATGGACCAGGTATATATGTCGTAATGGATACCCACAGATCTAATAGGAACTTCTGATGCACACAGGAATCCGAAGCAATGGTTGAAATGTCTCTCAAACTATCAAAGATATACACCAACCAGAACAAGTGAGACTATATAGAATCCCGAGATGATACCTCTCACCCTCTCTTTCCCCCTATGCAGTCACGAACTGGCCGAGGCTGGGTTCTCGTGGTGTGTAGCTACTGCTGAAAAACTCTGCTCAACTTCTAAAACTGAAAATAAGTGTGTGTCTATAATTATAGTCCGCTGTTTTTGGCCTCTTGTTATATTTACAATCCCATTATATATAGTGGGCAGTAATATAAAACACAACCCCCCCCTATACATTTCATTCTATTGCCATTCTTCGATATGCTTCGATAGCAAAGTTGTTCCATGCTCAATTTGGTTGGTAGCTCAGCAATTCGGACTACGCATGCTTTTAAGGAGCATAATAATTTATAATACTATGACAAAGTCTGTGAATTTTTACCTAACTTCTCTGAATTAAAACACTGGATATCCCTTATTCACAGGATCGCTGTAATTGTATACTATTTCCTCTCAGCCTGGCACTGTGGGGCATGTGCCTGCACAGCAAAGGGCAGTATCATCTCTCCAGAGGTCAGTGGAGCCCAGCAATCCGCTGCCTCATAGAGGCTCTCCAGATATCACTGGAGGTCTTCACTGCCTCACACTTACAGGTTAGCTATAATTATAGCTTGGGAGGGAGGGGGGGACCCTCTAATTAGAACAATATCTTCTCCGTCTGCTGGTCACTTTGCAAACTGAGAACGAAACTCCCTCATTAAGCGATTGCATTTGCATACATTGCTCATTTCATTTGCATACATGGTGCTCCTCTTGAAATGTGACACAAAAACACTATCCTACAATGCAGTGTTGTGTTTTTTACCGCTTGAACAGACTGTTGTGTGATTATATAATACTGAAGCGTCTCGCGGTAAACGTTCAGGTTGGAGTTCTTCATAATGACCTGGCCACAGCACTGGATGGAGGTGGGCAGCTGCTGAGTGACGCAGAGTCCCACGCCCGTACCAGTCTGGAGATTCTGTCCCAGTCTCGTTCCCGTGACACGGAAGAGTATCTGGCACGTGTGTACTATAACCTGGGAATGATCCTCAGCCACCAGGGTCAGTTCCTATTCCGATGAAATCTTTACTTATTATACAGCAAAACCTCTGAAAAAGGAGCCTCAAATAAAGCACTTGGTTCTGCCTCGTACTAATAGCTACATTAGTGTATTAGATTACCTCTGAATAAGGGAAACTCTGTATATGGGACAATTTCAATGCCATGTCCCATATACAGAGGTTTCACTGTATGTATATAATATGTACTACAATGTACGTAGGTAAAGTCGTGCAGGCTAAAGAGTCGCTAGAGAAAGCACTGGAAAAGGCTGAAATATCGAAGGACAGACCTCTACAGAGACACATAGTGAACATCTTGGACCAAATAAACCGAGATACATAGTTTTGGTGTTACACACATCGATAGCTACCGCTCCGGTTTGAGGACAAGTTTGCAAGCCATCAGCACTAGTTTTCCTCCATGTGGTTTCTCCATCCATCCATCCAATCCACGCACAGTTGTTGCAGTTTTACAGTATGGAAGACACGTCTCGAAAATGGCTAGAAATGTTTTGTCCACATGATAATTATTATAAATAACCTATATACACATTACAAGTATGTCGAAATAAATAATGATTTTAAAATTGATGAAATAAAAGTTGCATCGAAATAAATAATAGTGCAAGTTCGGTTCTACTTGTCGATTTTCTTCTTCAGTTTAGCCTTGTAATCAAGAATATCACCTTTCCAAGGATGAATACCTTGCTTCTCGCATACCCATATCTCCCGGGCAACCTGAAACAAACGGTACAGGAAACTAGTTTGTCCCGATTAGAAAAGGTCATAAACCAGTTTGTCCCACCTGTCGTATGAGTCTGAAGTCGTGACTGACTAGAATTATGCCTCCCTCGAAGCCGTTGATGGCGCTGGCAAGAGCGTCGATTGTCTCCATGTCAAGATGATTGGTCGGCTCGTCCATGAGCAGGAGGTGTGGTCTGCGGAAAGCCAGCCAGGCAAAGATGACGCGACACCTCTGGCCATCCGAGAGGTTCCTGATCGGACAAATCTGAGAGATGCCGGACAGAATTACGTCAACACCAAACCTTACACAGATACAGGCTGAAGCACTTCATGCTAGTGCTATAACACAGCTTGCAGAAAATTATACCTAACGAGATCGATCGTTGGCCATTGACCAAAGATGCTCTTTAAATGGAACTATATACTGTAACTCTGCTGCAACAGAATTGCTCTGTAGAAGTGTGGATGGTCTCAGTCAAAGTCATCACTCACACAATGGAGTCAGTTAATACATGCAAAATATATTCTGGCATCATTGACCTTCCACATACGGCTTCACAATAGGCACAATTCTGATTATTTCCTCTAATACAATAAACCTGCAGAAGATGAGTTATTTATGATTTGAAAAACAAAACCGGTCTCTGCAAATAACATTTCTCAGCATAATATAATTATAGTAGAGGTGTGAGTGACTAACAACATTTGCAGAACTTTTGTCGATTCACGAAAAAATTTGCACCTAAATTTGCCGATGCTCATGGTAATACCTGCTGTTTGCCGGTGAGTCCGTACATCCCCAGAGACCTTCTCATGTCCTCCTCATCTTTATCCTCGGGATAGCAGGACAGCATGTACTGTAGGGCCGACTGGCTCAGGTCTAGATGGTCCTTGAGGTGCTGGTGGTACCGGCCAACCCGCACGTGGGCATGCTTACGAATGACGCCGTCTGTTGGGACGAGCTTATGTAGAGGGAGAGAGGGAGGGAGAAAGAGGGAGTGAGGGAGGCAAAGAAGGGAAAGGAGAGAGGGAGGGAGTGAGGGAAGAGAGAGAGAGGGAGGGAGAGGGAGGGAGTGAGGATGGAAAACGGAGAGGGAGGAAGAGTAAGAAGAAGGGAGAGTCAGATTTACAAGTGAGGTATACAGGAGAGGCATTTCTGATACATATTATATAGAACACCAACATGTTCACATTCTTGTCGATGTTTTTAAAATGCTGATGAATCTGTTAACGCGCGTGGCAGATCAAAGACACTCACTTCTCCGTCGATGAGTTTGAGAAGAGTTGACTTCCCTGCACCATTAGGTCCCACCAGAGCAACTCTCGTCTCCAGATCCACTCCAAAATCAATGTTCCGGTAGATTAGGGGCTTGTCCGGTTGGTACCTAGTACACACCGGGATTACTGAGGTTTACTAAAGATTTACTGAGGATCACTGAATTTTTGTGGTGGTTTACTGCTGTTGACCTCGTGTAGTGAATTACTGATTACGCCGAGTTAATTTACTGAAGATTACTGAACATGTGCAGTAAGATTACTGAGGTGTTCACCTGAAGCTGACGTTCTGGACCATAATGACTGGAGGTGGAACGGAGCCACAGTCTGGGAATGAGAACTGGACCAACTAGTGGAACGGAACAGAAATCTTGTGTAAACTCCCGCAATCTCTAACAGCAGCGTCCGCATACTAGCAAACCTTGTCTGAGACGACCTTCTCTGCCAGCCCTCCGGCCACCATCTTTGCCAGAACCTTCTCCTTGCTCTGAGCCTGTCTCGCCAACTTGGCACTCCCGTGACCGAACCTTGCTATGTAGTCCTGGACGAGAGAAAGATGGTTCAATAGTTAGCAACTGCAGTAATAATTGATTATCTGCTTTCGTCGCACAAAAACAGAGTGTATAAGGTATTCCGTTCCGTTTATTAAGAGCATGCGTGTGGCTTCCGAGCTCTCTGTGAACACTTTCTCTCTGCAAGCGTGTTTGTGGGGTATATAATTGTATGGATCAAGCCAAGCAATCTACATGCAGCTGATCGCTATATACACAACCCTCAAAGGTTCCTGCTGTACTTTGTGCTCTAGGTAAAAGTGTACCTATATACCTTCATATGTTGCATCTGGTCCTTCTCCCAGTTGTAGCGTTTCATCTGATGCTCCTCCAACTCACTCCTCGTCTTCACATACGCATCGTAGTTACCCTGGCAACACAAACATTGCGTCATAATACATCATGCACAGTTGTTTCCACGGCAACACACAAACATGTCATAATTACAACATGCTATCCTGGCAACACAAACATTATGTCATGCTATCCTGGCTATCCTGGCAACACAAACATTATGTCACGATGACATCACAGTTCTATTTAAAGCATACCCGGTAGTAGACAAGCGTGTTCTTGTGGAGGTGTATGACGTTGGTGCAGACTCCATTCATGAAATCCTGGGAATGGGACACCATGACTAGAATACGCTTATACCTGCGACAAAAAGATTAAAAAACACATTGGACGACGTCAGTACAATAATGCAACACAGGTTATGGAGTTCACTTGCTAAATATTTGCTGGAAAAACACGGTTTAACACAACAATCCTATATTCAAACCAGATGTATGGAGACAAACAGGAATAACCAACTTTTTAAGCTCTTCTTCGAGCCAGACACATGCGTCCAGGTCGAGATGGTTGGTGGGTTCGTCAAGGAGGAGGAGGGTGGGCTTTACATAGAGTGCCCTGGCCAGGGACACCCTCATCCTCCAGCCTCCGGAGAAATCCTTACACGGTCGCTGCTGCATCTCTGGTGAGAACCCTGGGAGGGAGGGAGGGCAGTAAATAAAAGGAGTGGAGGAATGGAGTGAAATAAACCAATGATTTGGCCCAAAAATGAGGTTTCTGATTTCCCGTATACACCTCGAATTTTACAGAAATTACATGAAAAAAACAAGCTAAAATCATGGTATAAATAGTTGTTTATACACCTCGTTTTTCCCTTGCTTTCTTCTAGCTAATGGAAGGAGCTAGAACAAAGAATTATGGATTAGCTAGCTATGGAAGTCAGGCAATAGTTGTGCTAAGCACACGGAAAAGGCTCAGAGCACGCGACAACCACAATTTCATAGATAGAAGTCAGACTGAAAGATTTTTGTCCCAAAAACACTGGCTAGTGTGGCCTCCCTGTATTCTGACTGGAGCCATTACTGTAGGAGCTCCATCAGTAGTCAGAGGAGGTCTGGGGTTAGGGTTGATCTGTCTCCAAATTTTAACAGACCCACCACTAGTCAACTGTGGGTTGGGGTAAGCAAGGAGACGATAGGCTTCTGCTACAATCTTACATCAGTCCCCCTACCTCACTCCAATCTTTCATCTTCCACCTATCTCACTAAAATCTTTCACTCCAATCTCGCTCCAACCTGTCGCCATATCTCATCTTTTCCCCCTACATCCCCATTCATAATCCTTTTCCCCATGGTTTAATCACCAAACGTGTCTAGCTATACAAAGAGTGTTATGTATATACCCAGTCCGTGAAGCAGTCTGGCAGCCTTGGTCTCAGCAGTGGCAGCGTCTAGTTCATCCAGTCTCTCGTATATATCCTGGAGCCTCTCGCTCTCCATGTCCCCCGACAGCTTCATCAGTGTCTCCGCCTCGGTCTCCAGTCGCAACCTGGGGGAATGGGGACGTGGGGGAATGAGATATACGGAATGGGGACATGGGGAAATGAGTGATCTGGAATGGGGACATGTGGAATGGGAACATGGGGAAATGAGTGATCTGGAATGGGGACATGGGGCAATGAGTGTTCTTGAATTAAAAATCTGAGACATAGATGAATGACAGAGGTAGAATGGACAAGGAAAAATAACGACGTAACCGGGATTGAACAAGTGATGAAACAAACTGAGAATGCTAAAATTTAACGGACACGTTAAAAAAATGACACCGACGAAAGTAATGAAACTTTGGAAAATGATAGAATGATATTATTTGAACAACAGAATTAGGCTTGAAAAATAATGGACGAGAGAATAAAACAAGAAAGCTCCTCACCTCTCCTCGTCAACCTCCATGACACACTGGAGTGGAGTCATGTCGCTAGCGGCAACCTCCTCCGTCAGATGAAAGATGTCCATATTTGGCGGGATCGGAACCTCTCGATTTCCCAGGGCATCGAGCAGTGTTGATTTACCTATACATGCCACACAACAAGAGGTACGAACAGGTCCCTAACAGATTTTTGTCAATATTTAGAGATGTTGCATTTTGTTTCAAAAGTGTGTCTTGAAGACTGAGAATTATGAGATCAGGTCAGGAATATAATGTTGTCCTAATACTAGGGTCTCAATTCGGAGTTTAATGTTGTCCTGATAATGTGTCCTAAAACACCGAGGCGCCCTGATATCAATTGTCCACTCCCTGTAATCTGGTGGAGTCAAGTTACCCCGGAGTGTCGGAGTAATAATACTCCACCAGAACTCAGAGGCGAGTGTGTTTCTCTCTCTCCATCATATACCACATCCACTATATACTACCACAGAGTGGGGTGGGGTAAGAGTGGAGAATAACCAGCCAGTTTAGTACTCCTATTATCTACTACCCAGTTAGCAACTATTGAACAGTTTCTTAGTTGTGCTGAAGCAGTACAGTAGCGTCTTTGCAAGCCCAAAAAATCGCTGAATTCATAATTATATCTTACACTATAGAAAACATGTGTCTGGGAATTTGCTCATTACTGTGTACCCTGTACCCTTTTCCTTTCTTTAGAGCGAGGCTTCCTGTTATTTCTTCCCCTTTTAACGCCTACCATTACATCACCAGTAATGAGGTAAGCTTACCACTGCCGTTGAGCCCCACCAGTCCATACCGCCTGCCAATGTTTAACTCCAGACCAGTGTCTGATAGGAGCTCCACTCCGTGGAAAGTGATCGATAGCCGGTTGATGTGGATATCACGTGACAACGGATGTGACGCCAACACCCCTAAAGAACAAACTATAGAAATTAGCGAAAAAACACGCACAGAGTCTACCTGTGCATGATCTTGCCGCGGATTTCTTGTCCACTGGTTTGCTCTTGACTTTTGCGTCGTCTTCAGACGGCGTAACGGCCCCCGGCGCGGCCGCACAGGCACCCTCGCTACATTCGTTTCCGTCCACCCCTCCGCTCGCTCCGTTCACCTGTTCCTCTGCCTTCTGCTTCTTTTTCGCCGACGTCTGTTTCTGTCTCTGCCGTTCTCGCTCCTTTTTCTGGGCCTGGCGCTTCTTGGCCGACTCAGACGGCATATCCGCACCGTCTTCCTTGGAAACCGCAAGTGAAGAAACACGTGTTGACTTCTGACTATTATACGTACGTGCGGGCATGCGCGTTGTCTGCATTATTGTGATTGGTTGATATTCCCGGTCCCCCCGCCCCCGCGCCGGCCCCACACAGACACCCACGTGCGCGTACGAAAGAAGCCGGCCTAGCTAGCTATATAGCTAGGCTCTAAATATTAAATACACACTGCTGGATTGCGCGCATGCGTTAGTCAGCTTCGGGAGGGGGGCGTGGCTACTGGATCTGTAAACCAACCGAGCAAAGATGCTTCTGAAAGTAGCTGTCGCTCTTTTCTTTCTTCTCCCACTGCACGACACTCTGCAAGACAATGAGATCGGCGAGAAATCTTCATACCTCAAGAAACTGACTCAACTCTACGAGAAACTGGGATTCAGCGAAGGCGCGGAGCGTGCACGGCGGCAAGTATTGACGGGTATGCTTTCAGACGCCCTAAACGAAGGAACCAAGTCACCCGGAGAAGAGAGATTCGTTAGAGACGCGGAGATCACGTACCTTTCCGAGAGAGACGGAAGCTTCGAAGTCCGACTTTTGACGAGCTCGCTGCGGACAACGTCGTCCGATTACGAGCTTGTACGCGGCAACGCCGACTTCGCACACTTCGTGGCTAACGTTAGTAGCATTCAGAAGTTGGATTTGAGTCTTTATGCGGGAGATAAGGTCAGGAAGCGACGCAATATTGAGAGCACTCCATTCAACAATGGAAGTAAAGGTGAGACGGCATACTAAAAGGCAAAAATCTGTGATTTTTTAGTGTTTCTGTTTTTGGAAGACTCAATTTTTCACCATCTCACAATCGTTTGAGGTTATATACTCAGCTCTTGTGATGGACCTCTTACATTACAGGCATCCGTGAGCTGCTCTCACTGGCTGATCACACTCAATGCAAGAAGACTGAGTTGGACGAGTGCGAGAGGGGTTCCGTCGTCATGGATACCTGGACCAATCAGAGTCTGGCGTTTCAGAGGTGGCTTCAGAGAAATCTAACCTTTGACCTAGTACAGACGCTGGGGACGCATAATTCCTTCAACAACAAGGCTGACGGGTAAACATTATCACTCTCTTCTTTCTGTTTTGCCATTTTGATTTTAGCTGATAGCTATAATTAGGTGAAAATCATAAATGTGATACTACAAATGCTAGACTTGAAAACCCCCATGGTATATACAAGAATTTGAGAGCGAGGAGTGAAAAATGAAAGGTTGGAGTGAGAAAATGCTCAAGTAATGTATTTTTGTCAGGAGACCCAAGTTAAAATCTCCGCGACATGAATTGTATCTTTTGAGGTTCCCACTCTACGCTATAATTCTCTTCTATCGTAGATATGGAACGGGTGATTTCACGCTGGGACTAATACTTGAAGCCCTGAGCGACGGGCGATGGGAGTTTGTGTGGGCTCAGCAGTGGTTCACTATGACGGACCAACTGAACATGGGAGTCAGGCATCTCATGCTGGACCCAGTGTTCTTCTGGGGAGAGATGCGCCTATGTCACTGCGGTACATCCTTCAAGTGGTTCGATGACGTTCTGCACTTCATTGAAAAGGTTGGGCATGCGTGCAACCATGGCCTTAGTGAAGACTGGTGTGTAGGATTGAGGCATTGCAGGATGTGCAGAGATTGTGTATAAGCACTAACCCTTGTATATTAATTATTTATACTACGGAAGGTTTTTGAATAAAACTTGCAACCGCGACTCTCTTGGACTATATGGTTGCTTATTTTTTTACAGACCCTGAATATCAGTCTACAGTTCGACTCTGCTGATTTGGGATGCATGCCTCATGATAGGACACTAGTAGCAGGTACAGTACGTACTCATTTCTTTCTCTTTCAGTATTCAGTGATGAAGGTGACTTTGAGTTATAATATTCTACACTATTATGTGTGTAGATAAAACAGCACTATATTAGATGTGAAAGACTTAGACAAAGAGATAGAGAGGGGGTGAAGAAAGAGAGAGGGAAGGAGGACCAATGTTCCAGGGTCCCACCGTGTCTTGTAGAGTGAGTATGCTCAGCAGACATTGGCTCCAGTGAGCCGTTTTACGTCTGCCGACCAAGCCCAATCTACAACACACTAGTGGGGGCGGAGCAAAAGTGGGCGTCGTCAACAGGGGTGTGGCAAACTGACACTTTCAGAAACCTGTAGTATAGATTCTGCAGAAATACACAATAAAAAAACTGTTTCAATTTGTCCCTATACTTACTTTCTAAGGCATTAGTTGCTTGCTTGTGAATATCAGAGCATCTTGAATGTTTATTTTTGGACGACTGTGAACAGGGATGGCGTGAGTCGGACGGAAGCATTGCTACTATAGTGTTGTAGGAGAGACCTCATTCCCGCTCCCAATTTCTTGTTCGTTTCTCTGAAATTGTGTGGAATTTCAAGCCTTTTCGCAGTTAGCAGCTCTCGTGTTTTGTTTGGATTAAAAAACACAGCACTCTGTTTACCTTTCATTTTCCAAAGAAAGAGGGCGGTTTGCTTTTCTTCTTTCGGTTGCGCAATAGGTTTCCAGTCATTGGAGCAGCTGGTAAAAACCAGTTTGAAGTCCAGTGTGTCTGGTAAAACTGGTTTGGAACAGGTTCAGCAAGTTAGAAGTCCAGTGAGTCTGGTAAAACCGGTTTGGAGCAGGTTTGGAGACTCCACTGCAGACGTGGCTCCCAGGAGCCCTGTAGATTAGGAATGGTTAGCAGACACTGGCCGTTTGGGGGAAAAACAAGCCTTTCTTGTATGTCTGCCGACCAAGCCCAATCTACAGCACTCTATGGGACCTCCATGAAGACCTGCTGTTGTGTACACTGCCCCAGACTCCTGCTGTAACTATTGACCGTAGAGAGATTTTCTTGGATTCTAGTGCAAAAAGTTGTTGCATGCATAAAAATTTTGGATTCCAATGTTATAGAGCTAGTTCAAGAGCAGCCAGCACTGCAGAAATGACTACTATTACTGCGAAAATATCTTTTACCAGGCAGTTGAGAATGCATAGCTAAGAGTTTTGGCTTTGTTGTAAAGGAGAGTAGAAATAGCTGCATGTTTTAGCACTAGGTACTGGCAGAAGATTGCTTTTCTTGAACTACACTTGCAGGAACTCACTGATTATGAGGTTTGCCACTGACTTCAATGTTTTCCAACTTGTTTTAGACTTTAGCTGGCACTCACTTTGCCTCCTGTTCTTTCTTGTCTAGACCAGCTTCTCTGTCAGTAGCTTGCATCATAGCTGCCTCTTCCTGCTCTGTAGCAACTTACTCCTCTTCTTTCTCTGCCACCTCTTCCTGTCTTCTTGCTGCTTTTTGTCGGACTGCTCAACTGGCCTCAGCTCCACTGCTTTTATACCCCCACTCCTCCCCCACTGGCAAAGTCACGCATCACATGCCGAAGATTACTTTCAGACCACAGGAATGTGTACTTGCCGGTAACCGCTTTGTGTAGTGCCCCTTGCTACCCACAACACTAACAGTTTCATTAACTGTGGCAAAGTATGGAGATATCATGCCTATGTTTGTATAAGTGCCCCCCCCTCGCATTTCCTCTCCTCTGCACTGTTTAGAATAGTGATTGTGGTGTTTCGGGATGGGTTGGGAGCACGTGTGTTTTCCCATTATGGATGAGGTAGAATGGACCTTGTTTGCTAGTTTAGTCCCATTTCCGCCTTCCTTTTCCGTGTCTTGTTTGGTAAATCTTCTGGAGTTTCCTCCTCCTAAACAATGTAGTCGTTTTAAATGGACCTGTTTTTGAATAGCTCTGCTTCCGCCCTCACCCTTTCATGATCTCACACTTTCATAGCGTTCTTAATGCACACTTTTAAGAAACCTTTGAGGTATAAAATGAATGAATTGCGAGAAACTTCGGATTGCACCGTGCAAATTGTCTAGATCAGCCCACAAAATTGCCGATAAATCTCTGTGGTTGGCCGTCAAAACCACAAAAATTTCCCTCTGTTTTCACCTACCCCCATTTTCCCTCTCTCCCCTCCTCCTCCATTCCCTCACACACACACACGCACACATGCAGGTCTTCAAGAAATACATGACTGGGTGGTAGCTCCGGGCCACGAACAGGAAGTACTAATGGTCCACATCAATGATGAGGGTGACAGTGCAGACTGGGGGCACATAGATCTCATACAAGACCCCGTGGCACAGATATACAGCGGACATCTCTTTACTCCCCAGGACAAGAAATCTCTATTTCCCACTCGCTGGTAAGTTGAATGTCATAATTATTATAGTGGGACATATTTGAGAGTGAAAAAAAAAGTGAACCTCGCAGTTTAAAAGCCGCCTGAGAAATTTTATCAACTATTATATTTTGCAAGAAGGAACGATTGTGTAGAGGGATAAGCAATCTATGAATGTAATTTCTGTGTAATCTCGTGTTGCTACTGACTTTTTGGAATTTCAACACTTAACCAGTCACGGACACATACATAGATGTGTCCAGAGCCTTCATAAGTCCATAAGAATTTATATGGGGGTTATAATACTAGGCGCTAATATATACTTTAAACATCAAATTCTGCTTATTTAAGCAGATACCCATGTGGTATCCCATAATATATACAGGCAGTTTGCTGATGCACCTACGTTGTGGTCATTTACGTCAACTTTCCATGTTTGGTGTTGCTTTGTTGTGGCCTGTTTATGGCTCTGCACACGTGAAACTACAGACGCGAGAAATGAAAAACCTTTGATGTCCGTAACTGTTACGTTTTCCCAAAATCGTCTAAAGTGTTCATTTTTTTCACTCTTTCCGTTTTCTTCTCTACTAGGCCGTCTCCAAACGAACTCGTCCGACTGGGAAAACGGGTTATCGTAACCTGTACGGCTCGCTGCAACGACTCTCGGATATTCCTGGACATGCACGTACCGGACTGGGACAACGACACGACAAAGTATTTCACGGTGGCCCCCCGTTGTGGGGGGTTTGCCCCCGGTCAATTTTACCTCGTGGGGGGCGAAAGTCAAGTAGTGGGTCCAATATGTGAGTTCAAAATATTTGCTGGTTCTCCTCTTTTCATTCTTACCCCACCCAATCTTTATTCCTTTCTCATTCCTATGTGTATCTCCCCTTTCTCTCTACTGACCTTGCCCTCTCTCTTTCTACATACATCTTTCTACGTATCTTTCTACATACATCTTTCTACATATCTTTCTACATACATCTTTCTACATATCTTTCTACATACATCTTTCTACATACATCTTTCTACATACATCTTTCTCCGGTGTATTGCTGCCATATACGGAATGTCGGTGAATGGGTTGGTTTCCATGCCGTTCCATGTGTGTATGTTTCACTGTTTTGAGGTGAAAGGGAAAGTTTTCGGTTCTTCATTTGTCCCATTTCGACTCCTTTGGGGATTTTGTGCTCCCAACAGTGAACAGTGGGTCTTTTGCCCGGACTCTAAACACCGTCAGTTTTTGCTTTCACTGTGTGCATTGGCGTATGCTCTGGAGAAAAGAGCGAGCGGGGGGAGAGGGAGATGAGAGAGACAAGGGTGAGAGAGAGAGAGAGAGAGAGCGTAGAGAAGCAATCTTATGCAGAACTCCACCAACAGTTATTCTGTACATAGTTTACAGCATTGCTCTGTACACTACATGTGTACATATATTCACCGGCTAAAGTCCACACTTTAGTGTATATATGAGAGCCCCATGCGACACTCGGTTTGCTTACACCTACGCTGAACAAGCACACACTGTGTGTCTTTTACCGGCGGTCTGCATACACCGCACACTGCTGCCCCCCACCACCCAGGACTAGATGTACAGCCCTCCCTCGCGCCATATGGACGTGTGGGCAAAGCACACCAATTTATGGGTCTTTCCAAACACTGCGGCCAGGGATACAGTGTACGTTTGTACCTGCACGTTGGTGTGGCCACTCAGCCACGTACACACGCACATAGAAGCAGTGCTCGGGAAGCTTACGAAACTGTCAGGGCGTCGCGTGGTTTTGTTTGCAAAGCTGCCCCCCTGCGAGCTTGCATAGCACCCGAGTGGTTAAGACTGAGATCAATGGTATATACAGCAGCTGACACTGGTAACCACTAACAAGGGAGGTGGAGGCTTCAAGACCCAGTTGAAACCAATTTTTCTTTCATTACCTCCCCCTTTCACTTTTCATGCTTTCCCCTCTCTTCCCTCTCCTTTCCCTCTCTCTTCATCTTTCTTTTTGCCCTCTTCCTCTCTCCCCCAACCTATATTTCATCCCCCCCCTCCTTCCCACCCTCGCCACAGACAATGGGCCAGAACATGAAGGTCTAATAATCCCCGAGAACCTTCCCTACCTCACCCAGTGCCCAGTAACAGTCTCCGAAATGGACTTAGTCTCTCCACCTCTCGTGGCAGCTGCCATCTGGTCATGGGCACCTGGATTCTCCCGTTAGTTAGTGTGTGTTGTGTGCCATTACATCATTACGATGTAATGACCCAGTGGGTACTGGGTTCTGTGCACATTTTTTGTTGCCGTGTGTGTGCCATTACATCATTACGATGTAATGACCCAGTGGGTAACATGGGTTCTTGTGCACAGTTTTTTGTGTGCGCGTGTGTGTGCCTTGCCATTACATCATTACGATGTAATGACCCAGTGGGTAACATGGGTTCTTGTGCACAGTATTTCGGTTTCTCTACTGGTCACAGTCCACAAAGAGAGCGAAACTCTTGTGCATGTGAATGTGGGTTCAAGTACAGGGTGTGTAGGCTTGGCTGTGTAATATAGTGCTACTCCCACATTATGCTTGCCTCCTGTTCCGTTTTCATTTCACCCCCACCCACCCTCTCTTCTCATTGTGCGCCCCCTTCTCCCTCTCTTGTCCCTTCTCTTGCAGTTGGAGCCACTATAAAGCTTTAACGCTTTACTTAATTGGCAATCTACGCATGTACCAATCTTCTATTGCCTCTCTTCCTCCCACAGACAGCAATGTGACCACCGCCACCCAATGTCCAGCTGTTGACATAGAAAGAGAAGGTGAGAGAGAGAATTGTTTACCTTTTCAATGCATGCCTAGCCCTACTTTCTGGAACTGTTTTCTCTTCCTAGCCTGCATAAACAACCTCCATACACACTGCTTTTAGAGGGTTAGAGGGTAGACCCCTTTAATTTCACTTTCATTTCCCACTATATACAACCACTCTATATTGTATAACCAAGTATGGTAGTATGTACATATGTAGGTATAGGGATGGTATATACTTGATAGATAATGTATGTACTATGTTTAAAGACATTGTTTTCTTTCCATTCGTACGTAATAGGTCGCTGGGTGGTGTTGTCTTGTTCAGAAGACCTAGTTCACATGTGTCAGAGCAGTGCCAATATTTCTGATGTGGCGTTGAGCATTGACAGGGGACAGTGGGGAACAGCACAGGTTTGTGAGTGGACACAAGTCTAGCTACTTTGCCATCTAAAAAACACACTGACACTGTAAGGGATCAAGGGAGGCAACAAAATCGTTCGTATGTATGCTTAACTTTAGTTGGGAATATCATATCTGTTGACTCGATGTCTTATTAAAGTTTCACGGCACGGTGTTAGTGCAAAAATAACACACAGTACTACACACAACAGGTGCTGTGTAGTCGGTTGAATGTGAAATTTGGCACTTATCACTTCTCTGTTTATTTGAGTACCGTCCTCTCCCCCTCCCCCCTCCCCCACACACACACACTGTCTTGCAGTGTCCACAAGGCTATGCCTTCTCACTACCACAAACAGGTTATGTAAACCGGAAGCTGTACGTTGCGGCAACAAACACCAACACCTCACACGTATGGATAAACCTGCCAGCCTCAGCAAAATAACAAACAGCGTGAGACATAGCGCCGTGTGCGTGTGTGTGCAAATTTTCATTCTGGTCAGTTTTATTTTCATTCGCTTTTAACCCGTGTGTATGTATTTCAGTGGAATAATATTTATTTGGAGCTATCAAACCATACGTTAGTAGACTGTAGCCGACAAAAGGCTTTCAAACCATACGTTAGTGTGTTATATACACATCAATGTAGCCTGTCAGACGGTTTGGATTTGGAGCGAGTTAGGTTACTCAGTGGGCTGTCTCTGTTTTTCTTTGTCTTTTGAGATAGCACGGTGACTTGAGTGTGAAGAGGAGACAGCAGTTTGCCAAGAAATGGAGGAGATGTCACCTCTGTGACTGTCAGAACGTATGAACCTGCGGACGTGTGTAAAGTTAGTGGTGCTGTTTCTAATTGGTCCTTATTTCAAGCATATCGACGTTAGAGTGTGCACTTTAGTAGGACAGTCTTTCATTGGTTATGTGTCCCGATTTTTGTCCTGGATTTAGGGGTACATGCAGTACGTACAATGGTTTGGTCCAGGTGTGAAGCTGAGAAAGTACACATGTTCAAACCACTGTGTATGCAATAGACGAAAGAGACGATATTTTACCTGGTGTGCAGAACTTTGCCCTCTTTTGGATCAGTTTCTTGGCAGCTTTAGACTGTGGAGAAACACCCTTCTTCTCGTCATCTCCCTCCCTTTCTCTAATCGACACACTACTTTCTCCCACCAGCAGAGAGCTGGGAGATCGAACTGTCCCTACTATTGACTCTCTAGATTGACTCTGTAGTGTTTGAACTCCACCACCGGACTGTGCTCCCTGCTCACTAGGAGGTGGTGTTTGCGACTGGTTTTCCCTGGATTTGAGGCTGCGAGATGACGACCGTGGAAGTTTCTTTGACTTGATTTGAGGTAGAGGGATTATGGGAGGTGGGAGGAAGAGTTCCGGAAAGCTCCCCTCGCCCCCGTTCGTTACGCTAATCGACGGGGTGGTGTAAGAATCGAGAGCGCTGTCATCGTCGGCGAAGCTGCTCAGGTCTTGTAGGGATTTCGTGGAGGTTGTAGGCTCGAGGCTGGAGCGACGTGGTGTGTCGTTTTCAGAGTCTCTCGAGAGGAGACTGAGGCTGTGGGTACTGGAGGAGTGGAGCGGGTAGAGATGCCTCGTTAGCCGGCTTAATTGCAGGGGCTGGGCTGATTGTGGGGGAGGGGTGGAGCCCGAATCAGGTGGAGTTGTTGTGGACGAACGTTGGCTGGAGTCAGTCGACTGTGGCAACTGAAGTAGCTCATATGGAGTAGCCTCATACCCACTAGAGATACATATACAACACACATACACAAGTGCCTATAGAAATTGAGCGCATGATTAATGTGTATGTAAGAGCTTTTGTGCTTTCGTGCATTTAGGAAATGTATATATGCACATACTGTAGCAGAAAGTTTTACCGGGGAAAACTTTGCAGCCTGTTTGTGGATGCTATATAGTAGTTACTGTGAAAGTATTGTCTCGCAAATTTCGCATTGAAAAGTGATTTCTCTCCCACATTCCCCACCATGCGGCTGAATATGAGTGTGTGTTGTGTGTGTGTGTGGCATGCACTATCAAAGAGGTTGAAACAGCAGGACTCACAACGGTGGTTTGGTAAAGTCTCCAGTTTCTGTGTCTTGCTGCTGTTGAGGTGAGGCCTTCCCAGTCACTCCAGCCTTCCTCTGGATGGCTGCAGACACCCTGAAACTCCTCCCACTCTCTAACATCAGACAACAAGTAAGACCTTGGTCAAAAAGTCACAAAGAAAGACCAAGTACAGTGGAATCTAAGGACACCCCTATAATGAGGACACCCCTATAATAAAGGCAATGCAATGGGCAATGACTGTACCTAAAGTGGCTATAGATCCGTTGGAGTCGAGACAATGGAAGTGGATGTTGAATCTTTCTCCCTGGACTACGACCACCTCCCTGCCTCCTTCTCCTGCTAATCTCAGGCACACTGACTCTCCTGTGATGAATAATACACTCAGCTCACATTATGGAATATATACAGTGCTGAAGGATACAGTGACAAATGTATACACACTCAGCTAAAGTAAATATTGTTGGAAATCTTTGAACAGAGTTCGTTGGATGCAAAAAGAAAACTAATGTACTTACCAGTGGGTCTGCCATTGACCCATAGTCCAGAGTAGGAGACTCCACTGCAGTGGGACATGGTACCCTCTCCATGGTACACCCCTCCTCTCCACTGACCCTGTTCATTAGAGGACACACTACATGCATACATACACACAGTCTGTGATACTTAGTAACCAAGCTCTATGATTACAGTGATTATACGGAAGGCAAAAAGATTAAAGTACATATCGTGATTGGTCCAACCGACGTTCTTGATTGCCTCGTCAACATACACATTGCAGCTAAACATTGTTTTATGCTATTTTAGTAGATTGAAGTATGGTGATATATATATATATGTACAACTGCCCATTTCATGAACATCAGATTATGCTGTAGTGTCATACTTCATAAGTGGTTCCATTTGAGCATCGCAGGACTCCGTGTCCATGCCTTTGACCTTTGACCCAGTCACCCTTGTACTGGTCTCCGTTGGCGTACACCTGGAAACCCTCGCCATGACGACGGTTGCCGTGGAATTCACCCTCGTAGCACGCTCCGTCTCTCTCAGTAAGTGTTCCAAAACCTAAATGCACAGCACTGTCTAGCTCAGTCATGCATGTACAATATAATTATAGGATACACCCTAGCACAGTGGACCACTCTCCTAAGAACACAGGACATCTCTCTAATAAGGGCACCTTTTCTTTCCCCAAGAACAGCCATTTAAAAGAACACCTCACTAATATGGAAAATTTCTTCTGTCCCATTAGTGTCAGGATTGGAGGGGTTCCACTGTATTAATCCTAAACAGTAGCCACACTGAGTCTTTCCCCCTCCCCTCTCTCCTCTCCTTCTCGTCCTCACCTTCCCTCCTGCCCTCTCTGAAGTCACCCTCAAACTGCTCCCTGTCAGGAGACCTCATTAGACCTTGACCGTAGGGCTCTCCTCTGCGGAACTGACCGGTGTAGATATTGCCACTTAGTCCAAACACCCTGCACACAACACACACACACACACACACCATTTCTTTAAAATGGCACAATCACCAAAGTAAGTAAATTAAAAGTTTTGTAGTGTTGACAAACCTATAGCCATGTCCTTCCATTTCTCCCTTTACAAAAGTGCCTTCATAGTGGCCTCCATCTCCCAGCAGCAGCTTACCATGTCCTGTGTAACACAGACATCGGCTATACTTCTGTTTTATAAAGTGTCTTCTAGCAGGCAACAAGACTAAGTGTTGTTTCTGCAATTGCAGGATGTAACTGATGGTTGGACTTTTCTCTCTCATACATTCTATAGCTAGCTGGGATGAGACTGTTTATCAACTCTGTGTGTGTGTGTTTGATTTGCATTTTACCGTGCTTGAGCCCGCTCTCCCACTGTCCTTCGTAGCGAAAGAACTTGTTCTCGTAATTGTACACTCCGTAGCCTGCGGAGCCAGCAAAAACAAAGACGTTTTTCGCCATATCGCTGATAGCGAGCGGCTCACTGACCATGTCTGAGCTGGTTCTTCGTCTCTCCGATGTATCCACCACGGTTGCTCTCCGCTTCAGCAGTCCGTTGCTTCGCTGTGCCGTTTCTTTGTCGTCTTCGCTGCTGATGAGCAATTGCCGCCATTTTGTTTCGTATCATAGCAACAACACGTTACGCGCGCATGCGCACTCTTCTGAAAAGTTGAACTCGGCGGTTCGCTGTATTAGGAAAAACGCACGTGTTGTTTTGTTGTCTCCACACCTTTTCTCCTCGTATCGTGATGGCTTTCCAGACGCAGGGAACCTCTGGAAGGTGGTCAGATACGAGCCAGAGACCTAATCCTATCAGTGCTGCCGGCGAGGTTCGTTCTAATAACATGAGTCACCCTTATCGACGAGCACTACCGGCGAACGTGGGCGAGAAGCGGGGACGCCACAGACAAGAGAACTCGGCGCTAGGCGGCGGGGATACGGTGGAAGAGCCTCCGGACAATGCTGCTGAGTCTCTGATGCCAGAACAGAAGAAAGCTAGGATTGAGAAGGCCGGAGAATCCTCGTCTGGAGATAATGAGGGGACAGAAGGGGAATCACATGCCGGAGATGATGATGCTGCCAGGACGAAACCTACTGATATGGAGCAGAGAAAAGTATGAACCCTTATACTATTCATTTTCACACTCTTGCCGGTGGCCAGCAAGAGTTTTGCGCACCTCGTGTTACTCCTTTTCTCTCTCACCCACCTATTCTTCCTCCCCACTCTTCCTCCCCACTCCCCACTCCCTCCCTCCTTCCTTTTCAACCGTTCCTGTTCCATGTTACCCTCCAGACCCTGTTGGAACCAATCTCAGACAAGGCACTGAAGACCCTGAATCAGGAGATGATAATGATGGACAGGTCCGCCCGATTCTTCTTCTGCCGCCTCTGCTATTCCAAACTCAATACAGTCCAGGTGAGGACACACTTCTATTTAATGCACACCGTTAACTCGTTTAGCCTAAAATCGTTTTTCATGCTGCAGTTTTTTTTGAAGCATATCATGGGTCTGGAGCACGAACGGAAGGCAAAGATGTTTGTCAACTGGAACGACAACAAGCAGCAATTCCCCTTTTTCTGCCAGGTAAAGACCACACCCACTCATAATACACTACAAAAATGGGCGACATTCCTCTCAAGCTTTTGGGCGAAGTGCTGAATATTCAGCTGAAAGTGTCCGTATTGGTGAGGGTTCATTACATGTTTCAGGGGTTAAAATGCATGCAAGAACTGTTCTTGGGGAAAAGAAAAGGTCCCTTGATTAGAGAGGTGTCCTCATTTCAAGGGTGTCCTTAGAGAATCCTTTTGTAATCTGTGTACTGGTGTCTATAGGTCTGTGTTGCACCCTGTACATGTGAGTCAATGTTCCAAGACCATCTGATTGGAAAGAAACACGCCAAGGTTAGAGAACCCATCTCTAAACTTTTGCAAAAGTGTTTTTTCCCCTCGTTTTCTCCTATATACTGCAGACACTCACGGTGGTCCAGGATCTAAAACGTAAGCGACTACAGTAACAGGAGTGATTTGGTGGATTGTACGAATAATTTCTAAGTTGAATACTTCGCTTTTGTACGAATTTTTTTTAAAGAGTTTTTTTGCTGAATACTTGGCTTTTAGTGTGCAACGCTTGCACCATCCAAATGCAACTGCCATTTTCGCGAGAAGTTCACTTCACTAAACTTTAGTTACGCGGTGACTAATGTCACTCTACTACCCTATGCAGGTGAACAGTACGGTCCGTTGCCACCTCAACTGTTGACGAAACTGATGAGTGGACCTCCGGCAAAGAAAGTTGGGAACGGAATATCTCTGGGGTTGAGTCCTACAATGTTGAAATTCTTCAGTCTTACTGGACCCTTTATTGGTAAGCCTTCCACCACCACGAATTATTGTGTGTGTGTGTGCGTGTGTGTGTGCATCTGAATGAGTGCTTTTTGTGACAACTGGGGCTCTTTAAACACGGGAAGGGGGAAATTTTTAACCCCTTCAAATCGGCAACTAGTTGGTCATTACATAATTCGAAATTATGTAATAATGATGTAATGCCTCGGTAAAGATTAGCTGAAATGCGTACTTTGTTTTCGCAAATTGAAAAGCAGAATCTGTAGTTATAAAACTACACATTTCTGATGAACATGTGTGCACAATATGTCGGGTTACCCCAGTGCAGCTAGCATGCCTTGTCCCAAAGATAGAATAGCTTCTATCCTTGCGACATGCAACATGCATTGCGTCCTGCATATTGTGAACACTGCAACTGGTCACACGGTACCGGTAACCCCAGGGTTGAACTACGCGGAGGAGATAGGTGAGGAGGGAGATCCTACTCCGCGCTACTTCTGCCACATCTGCCGGACGCACATGGACTACAGCAACACTGAGCTCCATTTTACTTCCACCGCTCACCGACACAGTGTGTTGGTGAGGTGACATTGTTTATAAGTAACGGACAAGCTCATTGTCCGTTATTTGGTGGCGTACTTTTTATCGTTTGAGAATTGCCTTATTATATGAGGTGCTCATTATTTGGAATCGTGGGTATCAATCCTGCTGATTCCTCGAAGAGCAGATTTCCCTGCTAAACCCTCCAATGTTTAGTGGCAGACTTTTGATTGAGAACGCCGGCGAAAAGCTGCCTGAAATATTTCAGATAGCCTGTAAGTATTGGGGCCTTGGTACATGCTGAATTGGATGAATGACGTTTTAACCTTAGTGTTTCCTTGCAGAATAAAGATTACCCCGACCTGCTGGCACAGAACCCGAGAACTGCGGCCAAGAAAGACACAGAGAGGTGTGCGCGACTGGCCGCCGAGATCGAGGTACGAGAGGGAAGAAAAGTCGAACTGATATCGAGAAAGATCCTCCAACAAGGTAGGCGGTCCACCGCTTGTATATACTTAATTTTATATCTGTGGTATAACACTTCCTCCTCCCACCCCTCAGCTGGCTAAAAAATATCATCCTGACCGAAATGAAGGAGATCCAAATGCAGCCAAACAGTTCACCAAGATCGGAGAGGCCTATGAGGTGAAGCCACGCAACAATAATTGAAGTTTTAACCCTTTTGCCACTGCAGGTCTTGAGTGACGAGGAGAAGAGGAGAATGTATGACGTGACGGGACACTCTGAGTACACCCAGATGGGAGGAGGGGGTGGGGCAGGGGGCGGGGCTCCATTTACCACAATGAGAGCTGAGGAGATATTCAGACAGTTCTTCGGAGGAGACCTCGGCGGTCTGGGATCCATGTTTGGGGGAGATTTTGGAATGGGTAACCAGCAGGTAAACCAAATTACGATAACTTGTCTGTTGCGTCTGGGTTTTTGAATTTCGCCTTCCAGCCTCTCAAAACACAAGTTAAGTTATTGTTTACCTGTAAAGCAGGAAAATGTCTTAAGCACTCCTGTTTCGTCGGTGGTTCGTTTGTTTAGCTGGTGCTGAACCTGTCGTTCATGGAGGCAGTTCGAGGCTGCACCAAGCCGGTGGCAGTGAGGATCCAGGCGACATGTGAGAGATGCAGGGGTTCTGGTGGCGAGCCTGGCACCAAGGAACAGACCTGCCCCTACTGCAGGGGGAGGGGAGAGGTGAGAGTATCCTGGAATATACTGAAGTGTGTTGAGTTTACTGGTACACCTAATGTAGAGGTATCGTATACAAAGAAGTCATAGTGTATCTAAAAGTTAACTCATGTACTAATGTAGAGGTATCCTGGAGATTACTGAAGTTTACTGAGATGACTGAGGTAGTATCCAAGAGTTTACTGGGGGTATACTGATGTGTGTGCAGGAGGTGATCAACACGGGTCTATTCCACATGAAGTCGACGTGTCGGCACTGCCACGGACAGGGGAAGGTGATTGCCACGCCCTGCACTAGGTGTGGTGGGCGTGGCACCACCACGCAGGCCCAGCAGATCAACGTGCAGGTCCCAGCTGGCGTGTCCGATAGACAGACGGTCAGAGTTCCAGTCGGACGATCTGAGACACACGTCCTACTGCAGGTGAGCTCAAAATAGTCCCTGATCATATAGTTTCGTCTTACCTCTCATCTGTGTGCTACTGTGGTGGTCTAAATTCATGATGCAACTTGCAGTCAGAACACAATAGCAGCAACAAAGAGCCACTTGATATCATGCACAGAGAGTCTCTCTTAATTTACCCATTTTGTAAATGCCTCTGACATCGCTAATGTAGTCTTTCTCAAATCCCCTCAAGTCTCTGTTATCTGCATGGTGCAGGTTGAGGAGAGCCCTGTGTTTGAAAGAGATGGCTTCGACGTCCATTCTGACGTTCACATCAGTTTCACGCAGGCCGTCCTTGGAGGGGAAGTGAGGACCAGTGGTCTCAGTGGTCCCATTTTGGTCAAGGTGTGGTCTCTTTGGACACTGTTCGTACATAACTGGTGGTAAACCCTTTTCCAGATTCCAGCTGCGATTGCATCACATCACAGAATACGACTCGCCGACAGGGGAATCCCCCGACTGAACAGCTATGGCAACGGGGACCACTACGTTCATGTCAAGATAAAGACTCCACGGTTAGCACCATTCATCAGACGGCTCCACACGTCGCTGTGTAAAGTTTGTGTGAGACATTTTGTGTCTGTGTGTGGCGTGTTGTTGCAGTAAGCTGAGTGAGCGGCAAAGAGAGCTGATCCTGGAGTTTGCCAAAACAGAGCAGCTGGATAATGGCACTGTTAATGGACTTGAGCAAGGTTCGCTTTTGTATCTTTTTTTAGAGTGTGGGTTAGAGCTTTAGCTAGCCTACTCAAATCATCCGTAATTCCAGATTTTATAAGCTCACAAGTACACGTTTCAACAGATTTTTTCATTGTAGGCATTTTTTGTGTAATGCTTCTTGTTAAACTATTCGCTTTTTCCTAGGTAGGGAGGAAGAGGAAGAAGAGGGAGGAGGAGGGAGAGAGAAGAGTGTCGTAGTACAAGAGAACAAGGGGTTTCTGCAGAGGCTGAAAGACGTGTTTTGGAAGGAGGAGGGAGAGGGGGAGGGGGAGAGGAGGCGGCAAGAGGGTAGCTGATCAAAACCAAACTATAGGGACAACTCCATTTGCTGTCAGTGCCGTTTCAGTTTCACTGTTTGTTGTTCATGTTCATGACAAGGAAAATGTCACAATTAATGAAGATGGTTGACTTTGACTAAGATTGATGGTGATACGATGGCATCTAGTGAGTCCTGAAGCCAACCCGGTCTCTGGGAATGAGTCTCAGATCCGAACCATGCTTCAAGAATATGGAGCCTGAAGGAAGGGGGGGGGGGGGACCAAACCATGCCAAACAAGACCGGCAGCTACCGTTCGCTCACCTGCAGTCTGTGCTGGATTGATGCCAATACCATCTGCAGTGGGGAACACCTCACTTCACCAGAATGAGAGCTTTTTTGGCTTACCATTAGTGATAATGGCGCTTGTTGCTGGTGGAACCTTGAACTACACATTACACATATCAATAGAGTATTAGCTACGTATTGACTGCATAAACGGAGCCTCGGCTAACCTCTTCAGCAGCGAACTTGAGTACGGCTGTGAACGGTGTGTTTTCTGGCACGCTCAGTCTACGTAACGAAATAGGGTTGAAAACGTGCTTTCTTTTCCGGCTCATAATCCCTATATAGCATAGCCTAGCCTGCTCACTCACACTTTGTACGGCAGTTTTGGATCGGACGTTAGCGTGATCTTGAACGTCACCTTGGACGCCATCTCTCTCCGTCTCTCTCACCGTCTCTCTAGTCCTACGAGCTCCGTCTGTACGATCGACTGACCGTGCCACGAATGCGCTCTATTTGGGGATAATTTCCGGGTCCGCTTATAAAATCGAAAGTTCACAGACAAAACAAACGCTGGGGATGGCAGGAAGCTACCGTGCAGCAGCTTGTCTGGCTATCCTAGCCCTTCTTTCGTCGCTAGCTGGAACTGGTAAGTGTATATACACAACGCTAGACTCGTGGTGTGCGTGTGTTTAGATATTGTACGACAGTGCTAGCCGAGAGTGTGGTGGATGACAGCAAGTGTGAAGATAACGGCTTCCAGTGTCCCAAGGACGGAGAGCCGTCCTACAAGAAGTACTGCTGTGTGGAGACCAATGGCGGTCTCACTCTCTACTCCTGCTGCAACCCTTACTTTGGGTTAGTCTCTGTACAACAGGGTTGAGTATACAATCTAACACCCAGAGATAGATGTTAGCTAGTATTATGCAAAGGCATGCACATCATAAGGTTAGTTTCCACATACATACTTTACATGCTTGTAACAATCACCTGTTTGTGTACATATGTAATTCGACAACCATTTTTGGGCTTCCAATTACCATGTGACCCAGTTTCCTATCTCAGTATAATATATCATGCCGAGAAACAAATTTTTTACATCAAACTTTGTGTTGCAGATTGATAATTGGCATCAGTGTCGGCGTGCCGATTGTTATTCTCATCATAGTTGCCGTGGTAGTGGCGTACTGTGTGTGTCACTACTACCACAGTAGGAAGATAAGGAGCCTCATGGCCACCTACCACCGGAGGAGACAAGAAGAGAACCGACGAAGAGAAGTCCAACTCCTCGCGCCCCCTCCGTACTCTGTCCTCGGGGAAGACGGCGAGGGAGGGGAGAACGAACTCCCGACATACTCCGAGAACGATCCCTTCAAGATACAGACGCAGTCTGAGGCTGGGGTGACTGAGGTTAACGAGGAGGGACCTACCCTTCATTTGGAGACTGTTTCGGCGAGTGTTGAGGTGGAGGAGAGAGAGAGGGAATCCGTGAGTACCGACCACTCCAACTCCGACCAAGCTCCTCTCCTTGACAACGGGGGGCAACCCCAGTAAATGACTTCTAATGTGTATGTATATCTGTATATATGTGTTTGTCCCTATAGTTTGGTGTATATACCACATCACAATTCTGTCGTCATTGTTATTTTAACTTCAAAGTTCTGCCCCCCTTTTGCAGAACGATAGAAGCTAGTGCGCGGGACAAATACAAATCGAATGAAAAGCACTAAAGTGCAAACCCTCGGCACACTCTATAGAAATGTGGAACCCATACACAAGTGTGGCACCACCACAATTGATGGTCTTGACCATGCATCAAAAAGAACAGCATGTTATGCATGGTGAAAAAAAATGGCCAGCCCTATTTCTGTTTTGAGGCCCAAAAAATATATAAGGTTGAAAAATTGCCAACCTTTCATCTCTCTATTAATTTTCGTATTACCCAGGGATTGTTTAGTGGGCAAAAAATTTTTAAAACCTAAGGTTTAAAAAAAATTATTTTTAAACGCCCAGCCCTTCATCTCTCCAGACAGACGTCTACGGACGCAGTGCAATGCCGAACTATACGCTGCCCTTTGAGAAACGTGGGTCAGTGGTAGATTTGTGGGTAAGGGGAGGAACCAGAGCTGTTCCCAGCCAATGCTCTGGACCACCTGACACTTTAGTGCGGGATCGGGATTCGAACCCCGGCACCTATGGTGTCAGTCCCCACGACCCTAGCCACTCGGGCTGGCCTTGAGAGGTGATGAAAAAAAGTTCCACTTATACCAACAGCCAACACTCCTATATAATATTACATCATTGTAAAAAAGGCGTACACACCCGGGATTCGAACCAGGGACCTCACGATCAAGAGAGGGGGTGCTTATCCATCAGACCCCCACCCATTACTTGAATGGGAACAGTGTAAATGAAAGCACTAAAGTGCAAACCCTCGGCGAAGTAGCTCGCAGAGAGTCTGACACTGGCTAGCTACAGTAGTAGATAGCACGCGAGAGTCGATACACGCCATTGGTTGTGACTTCTTGTGCCTTCAAGATAGACTAGACACACAGAGCCAACTACAGTACCCTCGCTGCGCATGCGCGCAGAGGGTAACGATGGACAAAATTTACGTGCATGCGCAGTGTGTGGGAGATAGAGGAAATTCGGTCGGTTGAGAGATTTTCGTCGAAATGGACGGCTACAGCCAGGTCCAGTCAGAAAAGACGAACCAGAGAAACTCCGAGGGCTCGGCGCTGCTGGGATCCCGCGCCACTCTTGCCTCGACCAACAAGACTACGGCTCTGGGCTCGCCGCCGATCGACTCGTGGGATGACAGCCTCGTACCGCACCACAGGAGCAAGAGATCGGAGCACAGCACAAGGTAATAATCCGACCATAAGAATCTCTCGCCGGGCGCAATTAGCACTGGTGTCATTGGCGAACAAGCTATCCTGACGGGGACAGTGTAGTCGAGCAGACCCGGACAAAAGATTTGTCCGTAACAAACACTGATAGCAACGGCGGTAGTTTTTGACAACTCTCTGTTGTTGTTCTGCAGTAATTCCCAGACCCTGGCCCATCTCCTGAAGGGAAACATAGGCACGGGACTACTTGCACTGCCGCTGGCCGTCGAAAGAGCTGGAGTCCTAGTGAGCTAGTGCACAACTAGCACATTCGCAGAGGAAGCGGTGAGGTCAGAGCTAGATGAAGCCTGTGTGTGTGTGTCCCTGCAGGTAGGTGGGCTGGGGCTGCTGGTGCTGGGGGTCGTGGCATCGCACTGTATGATACTTCTGCTCCAGAGCTCACGGACTCTTTGCAAACTGTGAGGAATCTTGCACAATCACGTATAACCAGTTTATTTTCCTCTTACAAATCATTTTCACAATGCACTGAGCAGTGTAAGTAGTATTAGAGTTTCGCAGGTTTGTATATACCTCAAATTGTATCTGTGAGGAAAAGATTTACGTATCATACAAATGAATTTGCGAAATTATACACCATGAAAATTTGATGATGGTAGTCTTGTGTTGGAGTATGGTAGGAGAGGGAAGGAGAGTCTGGACTATGCCCAGACCACAGGAGAAGCTGTTACCTATTTCCTAGAGGAGCAGAACCTGTTGAGAAACAAGAGACTGTTTCTCAAGAAAGCCAGCGGGTAAGTCGCCCACCGCCCCTGCTATCAGTGTCAAAATTAGTTCTCTCATCACTTGGTGTAAATTTCAGGGTTCTAATCAACTTCTTTCTCATCACAACTCAGTTTGGATTCTGCTGTGTGTATTTCGTGTTCATTGGCATCAGTTTCCAGCAGGTATATATATCTATATTTATACTGTGCGGCAACTTTCAGAACAGCCCTGTTGTTTGTTTGTTTGATTGCCTTTTTAACTGTTGTTTGTTTGTTTGTTTCAGGTTCTGGAGGATGTGTACGGTGTGTCACTGAGAAAAGAGGTGGCGATTGCCATATTTGTGCCTCTGGTCATCGTTGCAACTTGGATAAGAAATCTGGACGAGCTCGCCCCTCTCTCCACCATTGCAAACATCTGCATCGCCTTTAGTCTCCTGGTCATTGTCTATGACGAGATGGAGAGATTTCTCACAGACAGAGAGGACATCAAAGCAGCTGTGAGGGTGCCAGGTGGAGTAAAACTGGCCACGTATCAGACTCTGCCACTGTTTTTTGGCGGAGTGGCGTTTGCCTTCGAAGGGATTGGAGTGGTTCTACCGCTGGAAAACAAGATGAGGAGACCGGAGCACGCCGTCTCCGTGGTGACAGTTGGCATGACGATGGTCGTCTTGCTCTACATGTTTTTCGGCGTGCTTGGCTACTTGGCCTTCGGGGCTAAAATTGAAGCCAGCATTACCTTCAACCTGTCCAGTGATAACTCTGTTGAAAAGATGTATGATTTCTGTGCACATTTTTGGCCCACCAAAGTGATAGATTCATTTCATGTTCACTCGCAGTTTCTTCTCGCTGGCCAAGCTGTACTATGCCTACGCCATATTTGCCGGGTACCTGCTGCAGTTCTACGTCCCGATGGACTTCCTTGAGGTTCCGCTCTATTCGAGACTGAGACTCCACCATCTGGAGTACCGGTTTCCTCACCGCCGTAACTGGGTCTTCTCCACTTTCCAAATCCTCTTCAGACTAACAGTTGTCCTCATTACAGGTATATTATATGAAATAACAAATTGTGGACCCTCTGAATGAAGGACATAATGCGACTAGGACCGTGGAAAATGGCGTTCTTTATTCAGATGTTCAAGTAGTAGTTGAAAAACACAAAGATTGAGCATACAATCTAGTATTGGCACCAATCAGACCAAATGTCTTTATTGAGAGGGGTCTCTCCACTCCACTGTATATATACAATGAGGTTTATGAGGATGCAAATCAATCGCTGTCTTTATATTTCCTGGCAGCTGGAATAGCAGTGAGTCTGCCAGACCTGGAGGACCTCATCAGTCTAGTCGGAGCTTTCTCCTGCAGTGCCCTGGCCTTCATCATCCCACCATGTCTGGAGATGCTCACTGTATTTCCCCAGAGGAAGTCTCGGAGATGGTGGCTACCTCTCTTTGTCAAAGACATTGCCATCACTGTAACCGGAATAGTGGGATTTCTGTTTGGAACTTACTCTACTCTCGTAAACATTGTCGAATATTTCAGGAAAAACGGATGATTGTGTTTTCATAACCTATTATTATCTGCCAGTTTTATTATCAATGTTCTCTCTTGGTAAAACTATTATCATTTTCACAAACTGTAAGATACATACACTATTTGACATTCAACATGTAATGAGTGGGCGTGGCTGGCTGGATGACCACGCCCACTCAGCTGTACTCGGTAGCTACGTGTCCAGAGAGGTAAATGTTGTCGTACATGTGACCGAGGAGTTCACTGCTCACGTCAGGAGTGGCCTGCCGCAAGTTACGGATGAACTCTCTTTTTGACATCTTGTTCTTGACGTGGGGACTGGTGAGGTCCACGCTCAAGAGAATGAGAGAGTAACACACCACAAATATTGTATCTACAGAGAGAGAGAGTTTGTGTTTTTCTCCCCCTTTCTGTGGGAATGTGAGAAATCTCACCAGAGCCCAGATCAAGGCTGGGGTTACACTCAATGTACTTCTGTGAGAAGAGATTCAATAGGGTCTCGAGGTGCTGGCCCCTCTCGTTAGGGGCCGGGATGAGGGAGAAGAACTTGCGGAGGGCGTCGGGAAGGAACATGTTGTCGTATCTGTGCAGCTTTACCAGAACCTGTAGCACATCTCGTCTGGGAGGAGAGAGAGAGAGAGGGAGGAGAGAGAGGGAGGAGAGAGAGAGGGAGGAGGGGGAGGAGTACAGTAGTTGTAACTTCTACTCGATAGTTGTACAGTAAGTAAAGTAAGGTAGTGTACCTTTCTCTAAGGAGTCTCTCCAAACTTTTCCAGTCGAGGAGAGTGGTGTGGTGAATGAACTCTGCGATTGCCTCGGACCTGTCCTCCAGGACCCCCATAGCCACCAGGTAAGAGATTCCCTCATGAGGATCCGCAGCAAACGTCAGAGTCCCGTTGTCCAGCACCAGATAGAGCTTCTTGTAAGAATTCTTGAGCTGTTGTCAATGGACACAAGGAACAGCTACAGAATAGCCTTACGCCTGCTACTTCAGACACAAGGACAACGTTATACCAGTTCCACTTGTTTGAAAACGGTAGCTATATATACTGTACATATGTATCTCTGCTAATGTATTAATTATAGGGGCTTCCTTGGTGGCTTACTGGATAGTCTGAGGTGTAGGCAGACACCTTCCCCCACTTTTTGTAGCAGAGTCTGTAAGGGGTTAAGATTGGAATGCAGGGAAAGGGGTTAAGAATGGAATGCGGTGGGTGACAGGGAAAGGGGTTAAGATTGGAATGCAGAGGGTTACAGGGTTAAGAGCAGTCTTGGCTAGCAGCTGCATTTCAATTAGCAGCGCATGTGGACTCACTTCTACACTTACTACCTTATATCCTCACATGGGGAGGAAATAAGCAAGTAAAGAACTACTTGCAGTGCAGGAGGTGTGTATAACTTATATCCTCACACGGGGAGGAAATAAACAAGTAAAGAACTACTTGCAGTGCAGGAGGTGTGTATAACTTATATCCTCACATGGGGAGGAAATAAACAAGTAAAGAACTACTTGCAGGGCAGGAGGTGTGTATAACTTATATCTCACATGGGGAGGAAATAAACAAGTAAAGAACTACTTGCAGTGCAGGAGGTGTGTATAACTTATATCCTCACATGGGGAGGAAATAAACAAGTAAAGAACTACTTGCAGTGCAGGAGGTGTGTATAACTGACTGTTTCCAGAGAGGGTCAATGTTTGCAAGTCCCCACCAACTCTCATTGACGCATGAGGCCAGGCAAAGATCAGTGGCATCCAGATGAGACAAAACCTGAGACAGAGAGAGAAAGGGAGTATGGTGTGCGTGTGTAGAAGTGAGAGGGGGAGGGGGACTGACCTGTGCGGCTAGCTCAGGAGGCAAGCTGGCAAGATCAGGAAAACTCTCCAGAGGCAGGAGGCGCTCTTGGGTGTCCGGGGAGCACTGCTGGCAAGACGATATCTGCTGCCCCATTAGCTACTCCACTAGCAGAGAGAGAAAGAGAACAAATCTCTAAGGTAGGCTTACAACAGCATACTGAACCTCACCTCGAGGCTTCAGACTCTCCCGTTATCTCATGGTGTTTGTAGCTAGCTCCCGGAGGCTCGTAGATCGTGTCTGCGCGTTCACTGCTTTCGTGGACTTTCCAGCGTCAGCAAGGCTGACGTCGATACTTCCCCGATAAAGCCACGCCCACAATCTGGCATGGTTCAAAGGTCACCCATGTTTTTACAACAGCCACGCCCACTAAAAGGTCATGTGCTGCTTTACCTCTTCAGAAAACAGAAACTGGGTACAGGGAGCCGTCTCCAGCCCGGAGCAGGGATGGCCGGCAAACACTCGGAAGGCATGGAGCTGTTCGTCAGTCCAAAGGACATCCAGAGAGGCCGGCGGCGGAGAGCGGGGCGACCGCATGCTGGTTACCAGTCTGAGGGAGCTGGTGCAGCCGCTGCTTCTGAGTGGCATGTCACATCGTCCCAGACGACGAACGAGGAGCTGCTAGACACGCACACCTACCTCTCAGACCACGGTCTGCCCAGCGAACGGGCTCGCATCGCGGCCAGCAATCGCTACAGAGAACTGCAGCAAAGCGGGGAACAAGAAAACTTTGCTAGCACCGAGAGAACGCCTCTGTTGAGCTCCCAGATGAAGGAGACGGTGTTGGGTAACACGCTGGAGCCAGGGACTCCTGTGCTGGTTCGAGTTGAGCCCGCCGAGGAGAAGATGACGGACGGTGTAGCTGACAGTCTAGCTCACGAAGCACTGGTTCATCATAAGACCAACGATCTGAGGGGTGGTGGGGGAGAGAGCCTCAGGGACGAGAGGAAGAGACTGAAACGAGAGAAATAGTAGGTCCTCAGCAGCTACTACTAGTCCAGCCACAAGTGTACTCAATGTTCTCACTCCCAGCTACAGAGTTGGTCGTTTTCTGAGAGTAGCTGTACTCACTTCAGTCCTCCTAGTCTCTATGGTCAGTCTCTCTCTCCTCTCTATCGCCAATCCCAGTTATTGCGTGGTTAAAACTCTCTAACAGATACTGTTCTCTATAAATGATGAACCAGTAAGTATGCTTCAGATAGTCTCAGCAATCAGCAACACAACCAGTATCCTCTGATCACAATGTAGCTCCCCTCCTCTCATGTGTTGTTTCGTTCACTTATGACTGAAAAAAGAGTTTTCGTTAACTCCTGCCAGTGTCTCTTAAATTTCCAGACAGTGAGGACTGGGAGCATGCAGTTCTCTCTCTCAACGGACCGTTTAAAGGTGAGCAGGCCAATCACCCGTTCCCATTCCCCCATTCCCGTACCGCTGTCCCCCAGACGTGTCGTTCAGGAATGGGACTCAGGACAACTGTGAGGATTTTCTGTGTTTTTGCAGCCCTCGCATTGAAGAGGGAATGACATGCGAGGAAACATGCGTGAGGATTATTATATAGGGTCACTATTATTTTGATGGTGTATTCATGAAATATGAAAAGACTCAATAATTTAATTCCGTGGCATCTCCTAGGGTCAGACTTTATAACCCTATAAACGTGCTGCACGTGCAAGTCGTCTTGTGTACAATACCACCGCTCAGTTTGCTGACAAGGAACACATGTGACCATGAATAATGGTAGCATTCTGCCCTCTTCCAGAGCTCTGACCACTGTCACTCAGTGAGAGTGCTCAACTTCAGCCTGTCCGACCCTCCCTTCTTCCAGTCCTCTGATGTCATCAACAGAGACATACAAATCTCTCATGGAGACAGAGGGTACATCATAGCCGTTTGTTTCAATGATATCCAAAGTTTTGTGTCCCTTTTTCAACTTTGTGATCCCTGTTTTGGCCGTAGGTAAGTTCCATGGGTATTTTGAAGTTCAGTGAAGTGAAACCAAATGCACAATAGGCCTGAGAGTGACCAGAGCTACTACTTTCAAATGTATTATCAGCACAATAGTAATAGGCTGAGGGTGCTTTACCACTGTTTACCACAAGGGATAACTGGCTACATTTGTAAACCAAGCCATGACCGTCTTCTGTTGTCCTCTGGGACAAAGAATTCTGATATAGCTGGATGACACAGGCCTGACCGACATGAAAAGCCAGAAGCCTCTAGCATGAAACATGTTCCATGCCACGGGAAGGTTTGATCAGTGTTGACATAGTGTTGGTTCCCATGTTGCGTGACATCCACACACATTCCACAGGGGCAGTTTGAACTCGGATTTCTCTGTGGTCATGACATCTCGTTCGAGGTCTCCGTCAGGGGAGAGCTCCTCAGTAACGGTATGCAGGTGAGTGGTGCCCCATACCCCATTCCCTGTACCCCATACTCCATTCTGCATTCTCCATACTCTCAACCCCATACTCCATACTCCATTCTCTATTCTCTATGCTCCAATTTCTATACCCCATACTCCATTCCCATATTCCCCAGGTGGTAGTGGCTACAAGTATCCTGGTCGGAGTCTATCTTCTCATCACTTTTGACGTGAGCTATCAATAGTATTGCAGAGCAAACTTACAGCAGGTGTCCCATTGGGTATGTATAATTACATATAGTTGCATGGATGAAAGGGATGTGCTCTATGCAGTTATTGATGCTTACTCATCAGTGTCTGCTGGCTATTGAAGCCCACTCAATAATGCCAGTCTTAAAATCCACCCAAGCATGTTTTTCTAGACCCATCGTGAGTGGACTAACTCTCCCTCCTCCTCCTCTCTCCAGATTATTCATCGAACTCTGGCTGCCTTCATGGGCAGTACTGCCACCATAGCCGCACTCTCCATGTTACACAAGGTATGTGGCGTACACCACGGTGCTGGAGCCTGTAAGGATGCTCTTTGACTACGATATTCCAAACTCTCTAAACTAGTCGAAAGAAGTTTGCTAGTGTGTGTGTTGATAGAGGAGGTGGGTGGACCTGTTTGTGTGTTCAAAGCTTGCTGCGCTACTTTATCATGGAGACAGTGTATACAACTGGTGTGAAGGTGTCCTCTTTCTCTCCCTCTCTGGTTGCAGAGACCAACTCTCTACGAGGTGGTAGAGTGGGTGGATCTTGATACCATCTGTCTCCTCTTTGGAATGATGACCCTCGTGGCCATCTTCTCTCAAACTGGATTCTTCGACTACTCTGCCGTCAAGGTATCTATCTCTCTCTCTCTCTTTCTCTAATTCTAACTCTGCTTGGTAAATGTACCTCTCTCTCTCTCTCTCTCTCTCTCTCTCTCTCGCCAGGCGTACAAGTTAGCCAAAGGGAAAATTGGACCACTGATCACAATCCTCTGTCTCTTATCAGCAGTCGTGTCGGCATTTCTTGTGAGTTTCAGGAACACCTGAATTCTCATGCTACATAGCTCTGTGTCAATCATCGGTGATGTAATGCCAAAGTTGATTGCTGCAATCCCTAAGGGTCTACCTTATAATACCTCGTTACTGTGTCCCATAACACAACATGTATCACAAGGCCTTGTTCTCTTATACATATAATATCACCAACATTTCTGCTGCTGATTGTGCGCAAGGCCCAGCCACCGGTTTGACAAAACTCATGCAAAATGTATTGGTGTAATGGTCCATGCGACAAAGTTCAAGTTAGTATATATAATTATAGTGGATATGTGGTCTTTTGTCCACCAGTCATTCCCATGCATAGATATCTTATAGAAACCAGTTGCACTGTATTACGTAACCATTTGTTTATTTTACTCCATTTTACCCCAGGACAACGTGACCACCATTTTATTACTAACTCCAGTCTCCATAAGGTCAGTATAAATACTTTCCAGTTGTGTATAAACAGGACGCAGTGGTTAGTTCTCCTCATTTCACAGGTTATGTCAGGTCCTCAACGTTGACCCTCTCCCTGTCCTGATTGCCGAGGTCGTCTTCTCTAACATCGGTGGCACGGCAACCGCGGTGGGGGATCCCCCCAATGTCATCATAGTCTCAAACAAACTCATTCAATCTCAAGTTAGTCAGGGGTTCCCCCCAGAACATGTCACCAGGTCTTTATATCCCATTATTTCGAGTCGTTTTGCATTCACTTTCCATGTCAATAGTACATCTATAAAATGTATAGATGTAATTATTTTTTGCTGCTTGACATTATCAGTACAGCATGTGAGAAACGGGAAGTTCTCTGATATTATACGCACACCTTCTCACGTGTGACTTTCTCTCTTTCTCCTCCTTTCCTCCAGGGTATAGGTTTCGCAGAATTCACTCTCCACCTCTCGCTGGGGATACTGCTGTGTATGGTTGTGGCCTACGCGGTCCTGGCCTGCATCTACTGCACGTGTGTCCGTCTCCCGAACAAAGACCGCCCGCACATCGCGGAGCTGAAGAGGGAGATTGCCATCTGGGAGCGGACGGCGTTGCAGATGCCAGTGGTGTCACTGGAGGAGACTGCGGTGAGGGACGCTCTCAGGACGAAGGCCAGCGAAGTCAGGAACCAGCTGCACAGAGAGGAGCTACTCAGGTGGCCTACGGTGGAGGGTGTTGTTGTGTAGAGGAGGAAGGGTTTAGGATATCCGTGTGGGACATTTTCAAGAAAAGTTGAGGTTTTTGAGCCATCTGTTGATGTTTTATGCGGCAGGGGTCCCATTTACCAATCTGCAGGGGATTTATCCACATATAAGTGCCTATTATTACTGTGTCCTCCTTTTTACACCATCGGATCACTAAACACCTTATACACACTACATAAAGTTTAATATATATGAGGTTACATTTGTCAGTGGCTTGTTTGTTGTGATGCAGTGTTCAGAGCGCCACGGACATGTGGCAGACCAACCTGGCTCAACTGGAGAAACAGTACCGCATCACTGACCCCGTCCTCCTGGTCAAGTCGGCCTCTGTGCTGGCCGTCGTTATTCTCCTCTTCTTCCTCGCCAGCGTCATACCCGGAATAGAGCTGAAGCTAGGTGGGTGGGCGGAGCTTCCTAATGAAGTGGGTGGAGCTTCAATGGGTAGAGTTTATGGGTGGGTTCAGTTTCAATAGTGGATGGCAAATATCCCCAGGGGGTGTGGCTTACTGATGAGTGGGCGGAGCTTTAAAATGTGCGGGTGTCTTACAAGGAATTTGCAATTGGGGGCTTTTTGCAACAAGTATATACTAGAGGACATGAGGATCGAAAAAATATTTGCCTATGTATAATGTACTCTTCTTGTAGGCTGGATTGCCATATTTGGAGCTGTAGTCCTCCTGATATTGGCAGACACTCAAAACCTAGACCCCATCCTCCACAAGATAGAATGGTCAACTCTCCTCTTCTTTGCCGGACTCTTCGTCCTCATGGAGGTGATGATGTCATCATTACATCATTTCCCACATTAACCCTATTCTCATGCACTTGCAGGGTTTGCAGGAGCTGGGGTTGATACAGTACATAGGGGACCAGATGGTGAGTATGATAAAGATGGTTCCTCCGGAGAACCAGATGGTGGTGGCTCTTATTGTGGTGGTGTGGGTGTCTGCGTTGGCGTCTTCTTTCATTGACAACATCCCCTTCACCACCGCTACTGTGAGCTAGTGCTGTATATAGGGCCTCAGTGTTTAGGGCGCTGAGTATACTGTAGGACACTGTTTAGTTTTGTAGGACAATGTTTAGGACGGTGTTTAGGACAGACATTGTTGGTCTAACAGGACACTGTAAACTGTACTTTTCTCAGGTTAATATAGTGATTGTGTTTAGTTTCTGAATGCAGAGGTGTATATACATATTACAGTATCTGTCAGTATATATACCAACTCATTAATTAGTGGTCTAATTAGAGGGTCCTCCCCCACAGATCCCGGTGATTGTGGAGCTGGCAGAGAATCCGGAGCTGTGTCTCTCTCTCCGACCTCTGGTCTGGGCGCTGGCCTTCGGAGCCTGTCTCGGGGGGAACGGTACTCTAATTGGAGCCTCCGCCAATGTCGTGTGCGCCGGGATTGCCGAGCAGAACGGATACAAGATCTCCTTCGTCAAGTTCTTCAGGTGAGTGGGTGGAGTTTTTTCTTTTTATGGCTGTATATAATTGGTGAACCAAGATGTGTGTAGCTATAATTATACAGCTGTGAGACTTGGTAATGTGTGTTCATCATCCCTCCCCCTCTCCCTACTCTCTGATCTCCAGTATTGGGTTTCCAATGATGCTGGCCACCACAATGACAGCTATGATCTACCTCCTCATATCTCACGAGGCTCTGCAATGGAACATTGACTCTTCCTGCTCATCATGACCATGACCACCTCTTACCTAATGTGTGTTTCTGGTGTGTTTTACGTTTGTTTGTTTACAATACCCATTTTAACATGAAAATCAAGGCAAGGTGATATTTATTTATACCCACAGTTCAAAATTTTGATCACTTTATGTACCACATACCAAAAATGTGTACGTCAGAGTTTTAAAATCATATAATTATAGTGTTTTGTTTGTCTTCGAGTGTATATTTATTTATTGACAATGTGCAAGCATTTTGACTTCCGCATGCACTTAAACTGCGATGATGCAATAATTTAATGTGAAATTTAACGTGATCGAACACAAATTTAAAATACATCAGACTGGAAACACAAAACTCATGGTATTACGACCAAACCTCATATCAAACAGTAGAGTGAGCTGACGTGCCTGTCACCCCACCCCTTACTCCACCGGTGGTTGATATGGCAACAGGCCCCGCCCCCTCCTTTGAGTCACTCGAACCAAACATCTCTTCTTCGTGGACGGCACTTAGTCCTACAGCCGACTGTCTCTTTATGCTCCCTCTCCTCCCTCCTCCATCTCTTGAGCCTCTCCTTGTGGCCGTCTTCTCTATCCCCGACTCACTCATTCTCTTCCTCATGCCCCTGTCATTAGCGAGAACATCGCCCGGGCAACTATTCTCTCCCTCGACAGCTGCATTGTAACTGTCATGCCGCGACACCAATCGCCCGGACACTGTGAAATTTCTCGGGAGTGAAGAGGTGGGTGGAAGTGTGTGGGTGCGGCCACGGGGCAGGTTGGAACTAAACGCAGGGCACGAACCCTGATGGTTGTATATGGCTGAGCTGCTAGCTGAATGCGCACAGTCCCTCTCCAGTGACCCACCACCGCCAGTGGTACAATACCGCCCTCTCCGGAGTGACGCACTGGGACTGTCTCCGAAAGAGAAAGAGTTAGTCTCGGAGCTCCGTAGCCTTCCGAGTGACGAGAGAAGCTGTCGCGGGGCGAGAGGACTCCTTCGATGGAGTTCCGCCGCACGAGGCTCTTGAGGGAGTGGCTGGAGGTGTCTCGAGGGATTGAGAATGAGAGGGGAGGGGAGTCCGTCACGGCGAGGCCACCCGACGCAGAGATGATGGGGAAAGTTGCAGACCTGCTCGATTCGTCGCCATCTCTGGTGGTATTCCTCGAAACTCTCAGACACCTTCTGCATGTTGTTACTGTGGTGGAGAGAGAGAAGTTGAAATTCTGAAATCTGTGTAAAGTTCACAAATGGTAGGAAATAGGTTTTGGTAGTTTCAGTTTAGTTTCACAAAATGTCAGAACACATTTGGTCTGGCGAAATTTTGATGCATTTTCCACCAGAAAAGAGAAGGTTGTGTACTATGTGGGTGATAATGGGAGGAGACTTACACAGCTCTGGTTATCTGGAGTCCAGCTTCCTCGAGAGCTGAGGAGTTGGCCAAATGGAATGTCCCAAACAGAGACGTTCGACGCTTCTTGATCTTGTCACACTGTGTGAAAGAAGAGAGGGAATGTGAGGCACCACTGTACCAGTGATGATAGATACTAGATATCATTTCAGAGGGATGAGTGATCTTGTTTACTAGGAGCCCCTTAGCCTCAATGGATGCACATGCAGATCACATGTCACACAGTAGAGATCCATTGCCACAATAGGCATGCATTTGGAGAGTATCACATCACAGGTCACATGAAAGATCATGTGAACATTACTAAAGATCACATGATAGGTCACATGACTCACCACTCTCTGAGCCCGAGTTATTTCGTCCTGGGCCTCTCGTCTCCTCTTCTCCACATGCTCTCTCTCATAACGACAGGAGTCCTGCAGAAGACTCTGGGAGGAAATGGACAGGGAGAAGGTTGAGGTATTTCATTTTGGCATCAACACAATATTCTACTTTCACTAATGCATTTGGATTTGACCCAAACCGTGACCAAAAGTTGCACTAAACAGCCACTATTACACCCAGTCAACTGCAACACTTGAGAACTATGGAAGTTGCTTCACATTTCGACAATATATACCTGTAGTAGGGAGCGTGATAGGGTGTTGGAGGCCAGCTGGGAGCCCAAATCATTCAATTCTCTTCTCAACAAAACAATCTCTTCCTGGGCTCGTGCTAGCGACCCGTCGAAAGAGGTTGAGGCACTGCACACACACACACACACACACACAGAGAGAGAGAGAGGGAGAATAACGTAAAGATGGAACTACAATAGGCCCCAGTGCAAGGAGGCAATCATATTTCAGTTTCAAGGTAGATACTGCCACATTCCCTTTAAATGTTTCTCTTCTCCACCTGAATTTCGTAACTTCCCCCCCCCCTTTCCTCCACACAATGCAACTCTAACCCATAACTCAAATGCCGACATCACTGAGCTGAGACTGTTTATGGCTGGACTATGAAGGAGTGATCCACCATAACAAGCCATCCCTCCACACCAATATGTACTGTAGTTGCAGGCCTATTAGACCCGCGTTAATAACGAACATGGTATGTAAGTAGTAGTTATGGACTCGCCAGTAGTGTAAACAGGCTAGAGGCAGTGGGTGCATTCACAGTCTCTCATGGACCACTGCAAATAGAATTTTCATGAATGGGGAACTCACTCAAGCGGTGAATTTTGCCAATATAATTAACTCACGCACTCAAACGTTTTAATGACATTTGGTGTGAAAATAGAAAATGAAGAGACTGACCTTGAGTTCCGTGAGAAAGGAGGGAGAGAGGCCTCACTCTCCGGGGAAGGGGAGGAGCCAGGGAACGACTTGGCAGGTGAGCTGTCCCCCTCTTCTCCCCCTGTCTCCTCTCTCCCTCTTCGTCCTCCATCTGTCTCATCACAGCCTTCTTTCTGCTCCTCCAACCTGTATAGAAAGGAAAATTTTGTCTCTTCTCTATTCTCTTTCTCTCTCTGCTTACTTCTCATCTAGTGCTCGCAGTTCTCTCTCTTTCTCTCTTTCTCTCTCTGCTTACTTCTCATGTAGTGCTCGCAGTTCTCTCTCTTCTCTCTTTCTCTCTCTGCTTACTTCTCATGTAGTGCTCGCAGTTCTCTCTTGTCTCTCTCTCTCTGCTTACTTCTCATCTAGTGCTCGCAGTTCTCTCTCTTCTCTCTGTCTCTCTCTGCTACTTCCATGTAGTGCTCGCAGTTCTCTCTCTTTCTCTCTCTCTCTCTGCCTTCTCATTAGTGCTCGCAGTTCTCTCTCTCTCGTCACCCGTCTCATGTAGATGCTCGCAGTTCTCTCTCTTGCTATTCTCATCTAGTGTCGCAGTTCTCTCTCATTTCTCTTTCTCTCTGTACTCCCATGTAGTGCTCGCAGTTCTCTCTTTGTCTCTATCTCTCTGCTTACTTCTCATCTAGTGCTCGCAGTTCTCTCTCTCTCTGCTTACTTCTCATGTAGTGCTCGCAGTTCCTCTCTCTCTGCTTACTTCTCATCTAGTGTTCGCAGTTCTCTCTCTTTCTCTCTCTCTCTCTGCTTACTTCTCATCTAGTGTTCGCAGTTCTCTCTCTTTGTCTCTCTCTCTCTGCTTACTTCTCATCTAGTGTTCGCAGTTCTCTCTCTTTCTCTCCTCTCTCTTGCTTACTTTCTCATTAGTGTTCGCAGTTCTCTCTCTTTGTCTCTCTCTCTCTCTGCTTACTTCTCATCTAGTGTTCGCAGTTCTCTCTCTTTGTCTCTCTCTCTCTCTGCTTACTTCTCATGTAGTGCTCGAAGTTCTCTCTCTTTCTCTCTGAACGACTCGAGAAATGTGTCGATGCGCTGCTGGGTAACCCGTCTCTGTCGCAGGGCATAAGCCACACCCACCACACACAGCGACACCGACAACGCCACGACGACATCCTTCCACAGTGAATATTTGCCTGGAGACAGACAGACAGACAGACGGACGGACAGACAGACGGACAGAAAGGAAACAAGAGAGATAGGGGAGGAAAAAAGGTTAGAGAAAGAGCAGTAAAATGCCCTTTCCTCCACACACACTTCAAGCTCAAACAAACAGTGGTTAGAAAGAGAGGTACAATACATGTATGTAAACAGAGATATATAATTATAATGCATATATGTACGTAAATAAATCCCTTTCCTCCCTACACATTGCAAGCTCAGTTAGCCTAGGCCATGGGTGTGAGAGGAAAGAGAGAGAGAGAGAAATACCCACCATTGGGTGGGCCAAAGAGGACCAGGTCCATTGCTCTCAGTCTTAGTTTCTGCTTGTGTTGGCTGTCGGTGACCCCTAGTAGAGACTGCAGCATACCTCTTGTGTTGTTCGCCAGTCTATGGGGGGAGGGGGCAGTTACAGTGGAACTTCTGATTAAAGGACACGCTGGGACTGTGCTTTCTATGAAGAGTTCTCCCTTCCAAGACATATATTACACTGAAGCATAATGAACGACTCAAAGTGTCCATTATTGGATATATCACTGCATTACAATATATAATCCTATGATAAACAATAAACATCCAAACGCAGCAGTCCCCAGCCGGGCCCCTGGTAAAGTCACCAACCTCGGCAGATGTCTCCCGGTGACATTCAACTTGTAGAACACGTCTCCGTACTGAGGCAGCTCCACATACACCGTCAGCCAGTGAACCACTTCAGCACTGGTCCAATGAAACACTGAAAGACAACAGTTGTTTATGGACTTATGGAGTTACATGTACATCTGTCACAGGCATATATACTTATTTACAAACAAACAGATGGCATATATACCATGCCAAATTACTGTATACTTAAGTTAGAGCCATATATAAAACTTATTGCACTGTTTAACGATAGCTTGTTTGTGTGTATATGTAAATCGTGTGTCAATACGGACCTAAACTACCTTACTTCTAGCTCCAGTTGCTACATAATGCTGTACAGGCAGCCCTAGCACCTGCCTGTTGCAGCATGCTGTGCACTGTTCATGTGTAATTAACACCTCGACACATGCAAGGCTCCTTAACTAATGGACTTCGGTTGTTTGAAGAACGGTGACTAGAGACATGCATACACAAACAGCAGGGCAGAGACATGCTCACTAAATGGGCTCTATGATCATTAGTGAGCTGATCATCTCGTTGTTTGAAAATTCTTGGAATTCCGACACAGCTGCCCGTACCTTCGTTCTGTTGCCACGACAACCATAGGTCCTCCGACGTGATTTGCGAATCAGTCTCGTGGAATCTGTGGCTCTTTTCAGTGTTGTCCTTCAGCTCCATCTGAACAAACTGAGACAGGGAGGAGAGAAAGAGGAGGGAGAGAGAGAGGAGGGAGGAGAGAAGTGTCTAGAGCTGAGCTGTAGCTTCGTACCAATTAGGATAAATTAGTAGATATTTGACTCAATAACTGAAACACTTCTCATGAAACGCACACATGTTGTTCCCCTCCTTAAATTTCTACACATTCCTTCTCAGATGAAGCTGTACTAAGGCAGCATGCTAACAAGATGAAGTCAGTAATCAGTATATAGCTGAGACACAAACAAGTCAGTAATCTATAGAGCCGAGTCAGTAAAATCTAGACAAACAAGTCAGTAATCTGTGATAATCTGTGTGATATGAAAGTAATCCACATGTGTTTGGTTGCGGATAAACAGGCCATTTTCTGAATGACCTACTATCATCAGTTGGTACTGGATCCTTTGCACACAAACTTGAAAGGAAAATGAAACATCTCCTTTCCCCCCGAAAACAGACGCTGGCGGAGACGGGTTGCTAAGCAACTAAAACATACCTCCTCAGACTCTTGCAGGTCGACGGAGCAGTCGTTGTGTCGTCACAGGCTGACGGAGGGGGAGAAGAAGATCAGTATTCGTAACC